CCTTTCAAGTCTGACATGTTCTCTGTTCTAACCACCCCCAACGTGAAGCCGCTCTGTCGGAGCCCTTAGGCCAGGGGAGGCAACCTTGGCTCTTTTATGACTCGTGGACTTCAACTCCCCGAATTCCTGAGCCAGCATACTCATTGTGGCCCTGCTTATTCTCTTAAAATCCCTTCCTCTCCAATCTCTCTGCTTTAAGGAATAGGTGAAAAAAAAAACAGGCATGGCTGGCTCAGGAATTCTGGGAGTTGAAGTCCACAAGTCCTAAAAGAGCCAAGGTTGCCTAATCCTGCCTTAGGCTTTCGGGGAAGGTCTGCAAGGTTGTGAGCCGACCTCACATGGGGGGGGGATGTTCCAAAAGGGGGGAGCAATTGCAGAGAAGGCTCTTTTCCTTCCTGGACCCCACCAGCCAGGACACCTTGCCCGATGGGGGCCTCGCATGCTGGCATGGGTGGGGAGGGCCAATCCCAGTAGGATGAGTTGTAGGAAGGCAACTCAGCTCAGCGCAACGGGAAGCCCCAAATTCCGGGTACCTCCGCCCCAGAGCGAGGAGGGATGGCAGCCCTTCCCAAACTCAGGACTCGGGGACTGCCGCCCGCCCAGGTTTGCGGCTGCCCTTGCCCTCGTCGCTCACCGGCTCATGGCGTCGTCGTCTTCCGAGTCGCACAGGCTGGTGGTCTCCAGCTCACTGGTGAGCAGCGTGGAGGAGCTGTCGTAGCCCGCCAAGTGGCGCTCCAGCCGGGATTGCCCGTTGATCCGGTGCCCGCCTGAGTCGGAAGACGGGGGTGGGGTGGGGTGTTAGAGCGGTCCACCCGCCGGGATTCGATCTCCCGCCTTCCCTCCCCATCGGGAAAGGCCTTTCCGAGGGTTACCTCCATGCTCCGTACTCTCCCTGCGACGCGGCCGGTCCCTCCTCAGCGACACGACGGACTCGGTCTCCGTTTCGTGGTCCGAGTTCTCACAGCTGCCCGAGAGGTTTGGACTGCCAAGAGAGTCAGTTGGGGATAGTGGGGAAGGGGCAGAAACCGGGAGACGGTGAGTTCTAGTCCCGCCTTAGGCATGAAACTCAGCTGGGTGACTTTGGGCCAATCACCAGATGGTGAGTTCTAGTCCCGCCTTAGGCATGAAAGCCAACTGGGTGACTTTGAACCAATCACCAGGAGACGGTGAGTTCTAGTCCCGCCTTAGGCACGAAAGCCGGCTGGGTGACTTTGGACCAATCACCAGGAGACGGTGAGTTCTAGTCCTGCCTTAGGCACAAAAGCCAACTGGGTGACTTTGCACCAATCACCAGGAGACTGGGAGTTCTAATCCCGCCTTAGGCACAAAAGCCGGCTGGGTGACTTTGAGCCAATCACCAGGAGATGGTGAGTTCTAGTCCGGCCTTAGGCACGAAAGCAACTGGGTGACTGGACCAATCACCAGGAGACTGGGAGTTCTAGTCCCGCCTTAGGCACAGAAACAATCTCTCACAGGGGAGAAAATAGAAGGAAGAGGGAGAATTATATACGATTGGCAGCTTGAGTTACTTAGGAAGCAAAACAGGCAGGATAATAATCTCATAAATAAAAACCAAAGCTGCTTCTGAAAAAAAAGTGAGTCCTAGCTTTCCTGCCATTAAGCTAAGAGATCCCCCCCTCCCCCAAAAAACACCTCCAAACTTCATCCCGATCACATGCTGGTTAGCCCCCTCTTTTTATTCCCACAATGTAGAATTCCTCCCCCCCCCTCCATGACTGGTCCTACTCACTGGAAGGAAGGAGGGCGGGAGTCCCCGATGCCGCTGGTCCTCTCTACGGGCAACGGAGGAAGAGGAGGGGGCGGTGGGGGTGAAGGCTCTGGCCGGGCTTCCACAGGAGGGGGTGGAGGGGGCGGCTCGGGTGGGGGGGCCTCCGAAGACACCAGCTGGGTGGGGACAAAAGGAGGGGAGAGGGGGGGCTTAAGGCAGAGTCAGCCCCTTTGGTCTGCACGAAACAAATACAGACCTTCATATTTTCAGCACATGCCGAAGTAGAATATAAACAATTTTTTAGCACTTATGCGCGTTAACGCTAAAGAATATTACAGGGATGAAGAGAGGATCGAGAAATATGCTACCAATCAACGTATTAATTGTAGAAGTCAATTATCATTGACTGTTTCAAACATATGAACCCAGACGACACGCTGTTCACAGGCGCTAAAGCAGTGGTTCTCAACCTTTTGAATGCCGCGACCCCCAACCGGTCGTAAGTCGAGGACTACTCAACCGGTCGTAAGTCGAGGACTACTCAACCGGTGCAGCACCGTTTGCAGAATGGGACTTTTGGCAGGCTCAGCAGGGCAGAGACAGCCTGGACAATTCCTATTGGCTTTGGAAAGCCAATAGAATTAGACTCTATTCAAGAGAGTCTATTCTATTGGCTTTCAAAAGCCAATAGAATAAAAGAGAGTAGCACAGCCAAGGAAAAGTGGGGACAAATGGCGGACTGCATTGTTTGGCGACCCCCGTGAAATGGTCGTTCGACCCCAAATGGGGTCCCGACCCACAGGTGGAGAACCGCTGCACTAAAGATTATGGTAAAAAAATTCATAAAAATATTTTTTTAAAAAAATATACAGTCAGCTCTTCTGGAAGAGACCAGACCGCCCCCCCCACCCCACCCTGGGAAGCCTTTCCAGAGGCTCTGCTTCAGACTCCCTGAGCCCATCATCCCCGGCGGGAGGGCAGGGGCTGCGTACCCAGGAGACGACTCTTCCGTTGAAGCAGGGCAGCTGGGCACCGTCGTCCGTGATCTCCTCCTTCACCACCCTGCAAAGGGAGGTGGGCTCAGCTGGGGGGGAGGCCGGCTGGGGAGACCCTTCCTCAGCTCCAGAACAATGGGGGGGGGTGAGTGGAGCCCCTCCCTCCCTCTCCAGAGAAGCAAAGGATGCTGTGAGCTCGGACTTGCCCCCCTAATTTTGTCCTTGGGAGGAGGGTCTACAGCCCTCAAAGCTTCTCCGAAGCAACCAGGAGCCCCCCCCTGCAGAGGCAGAAAGCAGGGTCTCCTCCTCCTCCCACCCATGGGGGCCCCTCGAGGCCCACAAGACGGGCCCAGGGAGGTCTCTTGTCCTCCCTCTCTCCTTAGGCCCCCACAGCTGCTCTGGGGCGCCCAGGACCCCCCCTCTGCAGAGAGGCAGAAAACAGGGTCTCCCCCTCCTCCCCCCACCCCAGGAGGGGTCCTTCGAGGCCCACAAGACGGGCCCAGGGGTCTCTTCCCCCCCCAACGCTCTCCTCGCGGGGGGAGGATTCAGGGCTCCCCACGGCTGCTCTGGAGCACCCAGGACCCCCCCTCTGCAGAGAAGCAGAAAGCAGGGTCTCCTCCTTCCACCCCAGGAGGGGCCCCTCGAGGTCCAGAAGACAGGCCCAGGAGGGTCTAGCCCCCCCAGCGCTTTGCTTGCGGGGGGAGGATGCACGGTCCCCCACGGCTGCTCTGGGGCACCCAGAACCCCCCCTCTGCAGAGACGTGGAAAGCAGGGTCTCCTCCTCCTCCTCCCATCCCAGGAGGGGCCCCTCGAGGCCCACAAGACGGGCCCAGGGGGTCTCTTGCCCCCCCCCAACGCTCTCCTCGCGGGGGGAGGATGCAGGGCCCCCACGGCTGCTCTGGGGCGCCCAGGACCCCTCCTTCTCCTAGGGTCCTTCTGCCCCCCCCAACTACGGGCCCCCTCGAGGTCCAGAGGTCGGGCCCGGGGGGGGCGCGGCTCTGCCCCCCCCTTCCTCCCCCCCGGGCGGGGGGGGTCTGCGGGGCCCACCCGAAGTCCTGGTCCATGCTCTTGAAGAAGTACTTGGCGCCGGGCCGGGCCAGCGCCGCCTTGACGTGGCCCAGGGTGAGGCGCTCGGCCGGCACCGGGATCTTGACCAGGTAGGGCGTCTCCTCCTCGTCCAGGTGGTAGATCACCTTCGTCTCGCCCGCCGACGGGGGGCCGCCCGCCGTCGCCATGGCGACCCGGGGAGGGGACGGCCCGCCGGGCGCGCGGGGAGGGGGAGGGGCGGACCTCGCGGCGGCGGAGAAACAGCGGCGGCGGCCACCCGCCTCCCTCCTTCCCTCCCGTGCGTCAGTACGTCACCACGCACGGCACCGCCCCCCGGCCTCCGCTCCCTCCCGGCGCGCATGCGTCATCACACACGCGACTCCGCCCCCACCCCGAGGAAAAGCCGCCCCCCCTCTCTTCGGAACGCACGCGTCCAACGCACGGCCCCGCCCCCGGAGGGCGCACGACTGCCTCCGCTCCCTCCCGGCGCGCATGCGTCACCTCACACGCGACTCCGCCCCCCCGAGGGGAGAGCCGCCGCCCTTTCTTCGGAGCGCATGCGCTCTACGCACGCCTCCGCCCACCCGAACTCATGACCGCATTTTCCCTCCTTCTAGCTCTTCACTCCGCCCCCGAGAATTCTCCTGCCGCCCTTTCTCTTCCCCCTCTAGCGCGCATGCGTTATATCGACTCCGCCCCCCCGAGGAACATTCTTTCGCCCCCGCTGCCTCCAGCGCGCGTGCGTCCAACGTAAAAAACCTCCCTCTCGGCGCGCACGCGTCAGTTACACCACTTCGCCTTGGAGAGGCGTCCTTTGGCCCTCCCTCCTCCCATCCGTCCAGCGCGCATGCGCCAGAGGCAGCACTCCGCCCCGGAGAGTCGTCCTAACGACCTGCCTCTCGGCGCGCATGCGTCGATTAAACACCACGCCGCCCGGGAGAAGCATCACTTTTGATTTTCTGCCGCGCACGCGCAACTCACCTGTCATTCTTGGTGCGTCATGGCGGAAGATCACGCCCCCGACGTTGGGCGCCCAACCGCCCTCTCGCTGGACGAGCGTCACGTGATAGGAGGGACACGCCGCCGGAAGTCAGGCCTAGCTCGGCATCACGTGGGCGGAAGTGCGTGCGGGGCATGAGAGCCTCTCTAGCCAGGGCAGTCTACCTGCCTCCCCTTGCCCCCCCACCGAAAAAATAATAAATAATATCAATGAATAGCCGACGCCTCTGTAGAAACTGCCAAAGGGTCTACGTCTCTTTATTTACAGTCGAAAACTCTCCCATGTACACGTCTGCCAATATTAAAAAGAAAAAGGGGGGAGGGAGGGGCCTGGCCTGGCCTCTTCCCCCCCCACCCGGCCTCAGAGGGGCCGGAGGGGGGGTCAACATAGGGTGGTGAGGGGGAACCAAAGAAACCCCCCTCCTCTCCTGCTCTTCACTGCTTGAAACTAAGGGGGTCTCCAAAGTTTCCCTCCCTTTGATGACTGGTGGACTTCAACTCCCAGAATTCCTCAGCCAGGCAGACTACTGAGGAATTCTGGGAGTTGAAGTCCACCAGTCATCACAGGGCCAAGTTGGAAGGCCCCTGCTTGTGGACTTCAACTCCCAGAATTCCTCAGCCTGGCACGCCAGCTGAGGAATTCTGGGAGTTGAACTCCACAAGTCATCAAAGGGTCGAGTTTGAAGACCCCTGGTTTAAACTCAGGGGTCTCTGAACTTTCCCTCCCTTTTAAGATGGGTGGACTTCAAGTCCCAGAATTCCCCAGCCAGCTATGCTGGCTGGGGGATTCTGGGACTTGAAGTCCACCCATCTTAAAAGGGAGGGAAAGTTCGGAGACTCCCAGTTTAAGTGCCTCAATACTAACGGGGACCAAGTCAAACTGCGCCCCTCTTTGAAGCACAACCAAAGAAACCGGGGTCCGGGGATCCCCGTCTCCGTCTCTCGGACCCTGGGGAGGAAATGAAACAAGATTCGGACGAGTCCAAAACCAGGAGCACAAAACATGTGTTCAAAACATTCCCAACCGGGAAACCAACTGACCAGCCGACCGATCCAGCCGGGGAAAGAAAACAGAAAAAGGAAAGAAAGAAAGAAAAAACACAACCCTTTTTTTCTTCTATTTACAGAGAAGAAGTCGGAGCAGGACAGGGAGGGAAGGAACAGGGTCCAAAATAAACCGAGGCTTCGCCCCCCAAAAGTGGACACCGGACCTTCCCGATCGAGCCCACAAGCAGGAGACGGGGAGGGGGGGGCGAAGGCCAGGAGGGCCCGCTGAAACCTAGCCGGTTTTAATAAGCGCCGGGAGTCATTGCCGGCACTTCCGCCGGCCCGGCGCCTCGTCTTCGGGGCCCGACACTCAAAGGGGACCCCCAAATCCAGAGCAGGCCTCCCCCTCTCTTTCTCTCTGCTCCGTCCAGTCTGTTTTTCCCTCTGCGGGACAAAAGGCCCGCCGAGAGCCGTGGCCCCTCCTGTGCTAGGGTTCCCCGCCTGCCCGGGACGCCAGGGGGGCCGTTGCGCCGAGCGCCGTGGGGGGCTGAGGGCTCAGCAGCGCCTGCTTCCGCGTGCTTTCTTTGCATTTCTGGCAGAAGAAAATGTCGGGCACGTTGGTCTTCTTGATCTTGGCGCAGGAGAGGTGGATCCAGGTGCCGCACTGATTGCATTCGATCATGGGCCGGCCGGCGAAGGGCTTCTGGCAGTAGCAGGTAATCAGGTCCCACGAATCGTCGCCTGGAAAAGCAGACGCAAAACGGATCCTTGAGCAAAGAGCGCAGAGACATTTTAGAACAGTGGTTCTCAACCTGTGGGTCGGGACCCCATTTGGGGTCGAACGACCATTTCACGGGGGTCGCCAAACACAGTCCGCCATTTTCCCCCCCCTTTTCCTTAGCTGTGCTCCTCCCTTTTATTCTATTGGCTTTTGAAAGCCAATAGAATAGACTCTCTTGAATAGAGTCTCATTCTATTGGCTTTCAAAAGCCAATAGGAATTGTCCAGGCTGTCTCTGCCCTGCTGAGCCCGCCAAAAGTCCCAGTCTGCAAACGGTGCTGCACCAGTTGAGTAGTCCTTGACTTACGACCGGTTGAGTAGTCCTCGACTTATAACCGGTTGGGGGTCGCTGCATTAAAAAGGTTGAGAACCACTGTTTTAGAACATTTAAAAAGCCCGGACAATTCACTTTCTGGGATCGAACGACCCTTTGTTTGAAAGGATATGTTTCCTGCTGGAGCAAGGGGTTGGACTAGAAGACTTCCGGGGTCCCTGACAGGAATAAAAACCCAATATAAAAACCCAATATAAAAACAATTACAGGGAATAACTCCTCCCCTTGGATAGTCCTCAACTTACAACACTTTATGTGGTGACTGCTCAAAGTTCACAATGACACCGGGAAAAGTGACTCTGTTTTTCACACTTACAACATCCCTGGCGGTCACGTGATCAAATTTGGAAGCTTGGCAACTGACTCACATTTATAATGGTTGCAGCGTCCCAGTGTCACGTGATCTCCTTTTGCAAGGTTCTGATGAGCATATCCAAGGGAAGTCAGATTCACATGTCACTAATTTAACAACTACAGCCTTCCCTCCTTCCGAGGTCGGTAAAATGAGGACCCAGATTGTCGGGGAGTCAAATAATGTTGACTCTGCGAATCGCTTAAAGCCCTGCGAAGCGGTATATAAGTCTTAAGTGTTATTGCTGTCGTGATTTACTTAACAGCTGTGTCAGGAACGTTTGCAAAATCGGGCAAAATTCAGTGAATTGTCTTGCTTAGTAAGAGATTTGGGGCATCTGTTTGGTCATAGACTGAGGACTTCCATCAGTGGGAGATAAAAGGGTCTACTTTCGCTTTTGGCTCTTCAATGTTAAGATTCTCTCAAAGATTCCAAAAAACCAAAAAGTATACTGAAGGTGCCAAAGAGGAAGGGGCGGGTGATGGACCACGTTTTCCAGCCACGTTGAACACCGTATTCCTTTCTGAGGGTTCCAAAAAGTGCACAACTTAATCCCCCTGCGCAACTTTGAGTATTTGGAGAGACTCTAGGGCAGTGGTTCTCAACCTGTGGGTCGGGACCCCATTTGGGGTCGAACGACCCTTTCACGGGGGTCGCCAAACAAGGCTGTCCGCCATTTTTTCCCCCTTTTCTTTGGCCACGCCCCTGGCACCCGGTGATATATAAGTGGTTGGGGGTCACCACAACATGGGGAACTGTATTATGGGGTCGCGGCATTAGAAAAGTTGAGAACCACTGCTCTAGGGTTATGAGATACACAGGCGCTAAAGAACTGACAGCCCCGTCGTTGATTCAAAATCTCCCACAAATCTGACGATAATAAGTAGAGAAAGTTGCTGTAAAGGGTGGTTTGATACGCTGAAGGGTATAAATTTAACAAACAGCTAAAGAAAAGTGGTTGGGATCTTAGGAGGGGTAAGGTAGAGGTGGGGAAATATGACTTGTGGATTTCAACTCCCAGAATTCCCGAGGCAGCTGGCTCAGGAATTGTGGGAGTTGAAGTCCACCCAGCCGTAAAGGGGCCGTAACTCTCCACCTCTGGGATAAGGGAACCAAATTCAAAAAAAAAAAGTCTCCAATATTCCAGGATTGGGCAACTGGATCTTGAACAAACGGGTCTCTAGGGGGAAAACAGACTTGGCTGCTCCCTAATGGGGGACTGTCCAACCTGGCTTCCTGTCTCAGGTCCGGGGGAGGCTGGGACTCTAACCCAGTTTACACAAACCTGGGACTGAACCAGCTACGATCTTTCATCTGCCATTAAGCAGGGATAAAGCTAAAGCCACTGGAACTCAACACTGCCTATGGTAGTCCAGCCTTGCCCCAGAGGTTGGGAATGGTGCCTGTGCATGTTTATTTATTAAATTAAATTATTTATTTTATGCTGCCTTTCCTTTTTCGTAAATAAAGATGGCAGATATATACCTAAGCTGTTCTCCTCCCCTTATTCTCTCCACAAGAACCCTGTGAGGTGGGTTGGGCTGAGGGAGAGCGATTGGCCCAAAGTCAGTCAGCCGGCTTTCGTGCCTAAGGCAGGACTAGAACTCCCAGCCTCCTGGTGACTGGCCCAAAGTGACCCAAACTGGCTTTCGTGCCCAAAGCGGGACTAGAATTCACCGTCTTCTGGCGATTGGTCCAAAGTCACGCAGCTGGCATTCAGGCCTAAGGAGGGACTAGAACTCACCGTCTCCCGGTGACTGGCTGAAAGTCACAGAGCTGGCTGTTATGCCTAAGGAGGGACTAGAACTTCCAGCCTCCTAGTGATTGGCCCAAAGTCGCCCAGCTGGCTTTCATGCCTTTAAGGCTGAACTAGAACTCACTGTCTCCCGGTGACTGGCTGAAAGTCACAGAGCTGGCTTTTATGCCTAAGGAGGGACTAGAACTTCCAGCCTCCTAGTGATTGGCCCAAAGTCGCCCAGCCGGCTTTCATGCCTTTAAGGCTGAACTAGAACTCACCGTCTCCCGGTGACTGGCTGAAAGTCACAGAGCTGGCTTTTATGCCTAAGGAGGGACTAGAACTTCCAGCCTCCTGGTGATTGGCCCAAAGTCACTCAGCCGTCTTTCATGCCCCAGGCGGAACTAGAACTCCCAGCCTCTCAGTTCCTAACCTGGTACCTAAACCACTAAACCCAAAAACTATCGATCGGTGAACGTAAGAGACGTCAAGACAGGGGCACCGGATATGCAGCCCCCTGCCCGAGTCCCGACAGACTCACCCTGACCCTCCAGGGAGGTGGGGGGGGTCTCGTCTCACCTGATTCCACCATGATGTCCTCGTCCATGACCCTCATCTCTCCTTCGCTGGAGCTGCCTTCCTCCCCGTCCTGGCTGGTCTCCGTGCTGATGCCCTCCTTCCCTTCCGTGTCCTCCAGCTTAATGGGAAACGGGGTGGCCAGCAGCTCCGGCGGCGCCTGGGCCGTGACCCGCACCGCGGCCGCCCCTTCCTCCCCGCCCGGCCGCAGAGGGGCCGCCCCGTCCACCACCTCCTCCTCCTCCTCTTCCTCCTCCTCCTCCTCCTCCGAGTCCGTCTCGCTCACGGAGGTTTTGTGCTTCTTCTCGCCCCGCTCCGACCGTTTCAACTTCCGCTTCTTGCTCTTTTTGATGCGCGAGCGCTTCTCGCCCACCGAGTCGCTCCGGTTCCGCTTGGCGGCCCCGGCTTCCAAGGAGGCCTTCCGGCTCCGCTTGTCCTTCTTCTTGTCGGCGGCGGCTTTGGGCCCGGCTAGCGGGGGCGGCTGCTTGCCCACCGGGTCCAGGTCGAAAAGGGAGTCTTTGAGTTTCATCTTCTCCAGCAAGGAGCTGTCAGATTTCAGCCGCCGGAAGGCCGTTTTTTTCTTCGAGGAGTTGGCCTTCTTGACAAAGGTCTCGATGGTGTGCAGGTCCGACTGCGTGGACTCCCAGCCGTCACTGTCCACCACACTCTCCGGTCGGAGCGGCGAGTTGGACCCGGAGGCCGTCCAGTCGTTCTCCTGCCAGGAAGAGAAGGCAGATTAGCCCTAATCACCCGGATGAACCAACATCCAGATTCCGGGAAAGAACCTAGCTGACCCGACACACAAACATTAGCAGGTTTCCATGCCAGGACAGAGAATCCTCGATTTACAAAAAGTTCACTTAGTGACCATTTGAAGTTACAACACCCTGGGGCAGGAGTAGGCCACCTTGGCTCTTTTAGGACTTGTGGACTTCAACTCCCAGAATTCCTGAGCCAGCATGGGGGAACTATGGCTCCCTTGATGACTTCTGGACTTGAACTCCCAGAATTCCTCAGTCAGCGTGAGGGAACTATGGCCCCCTTTAAGACTGGTGGACTTCAACTCCCAGAATTCCTGAGCCAGCATGCGGGAACTATGGCCCCTTCATGACTCGTGGACTTCAACTCCCAGAATTCTTGAGCCAGCATGGGGGAACTATGGCCCCTTCATGACTCGTGGACTTCAACTCCCAGAATTCCTGATCCAGCATGGCTCAGCTTAGAAACTTTCCTTTTCCCCTCAGCATGGCTGGCTCAGGAATTCTGGGAGTTGAAGTCCACAAGTCATAAAAGAGCCAAGGTTGCCTATCCCTACAGCATAAGGGACTTATGATCGTTTTTCACCAAGCGTCAAACATTTGGCAACTGACCAGTTGCAGCGTCCCAGGGGTGTCACCTGATCCCCTTTCCCGACTTTCCAGCCAAGCTGTTTACTTAACAATTGCTGTGATTCAGTTAACAACCAGGTCGTAAAATGGGGCAAAACTCCCTTAACCGCGGTCTCACACATCGGCAGAAATGTTGGGCTTAATTGTAGCAGTAAAGCTGACGACAACCAGGAGGAAAAGCAGATTTTCTCCAACTAACGAATGCGGCGCTTCATTGGATGGCCTAGATTTGAACACCCCAGGGGTCTTCCAACTTGGCCCTTTGATGACTCATGGACTTCAACTCCCAGAATTCCCCAGCCAGAAAGCGTTTACCAGAATTCGGCGAGAAGAAATATGGCTAGACTTTTCCAAAGTTTATTGCATTGCTTGATGAGGTAACTTTCTTAATCAGGGGTAGTTCAAACGCCTGGTTACTCTCTTGTAATCCCTTCCTCTGCGATCTCTCTTTCTCTCTCTCTCTCTGCTCCAGAGCGTGGGAGGCAGAACACGGGCATGGCACCTGGCTGAGGAATTCTGGGAGTTGAAGTCCACAAGTCATCCAAGGGCCAGGTTTGAAGACCCCTGGAATATACGGACCCCTTGATTCCATTCTCGGGGAGCCCACGTACTTCAGCCAACGCAACCTGTTAACTTATGCGTGACTTCTTGACTTCCTCATACCTTACAAAGGTGATTACATACTTGCATTGTGTACGTGCCATAATATTATAGGCTGCTTTTATCCATGTGCTACATGTAAATAATTAAAGCCCTGATCGCCATCTTGGAGAAGGCCTTGATCTCTACATTTGTTCTCTGAAGCCCCTGAACCCACATTTTATGCCCACCCTACCCCACCCCAGGCTACATCCTACCCTATGGCTGTCCCTGTCTGGCCTTCGTGGATTGCTTTTATTTTGAGGAAGACCTCCCCCCCCCAGTGTATATTATATGGGTGTGAGACCTCCCCCCCCAGTGTATATTATTTGAGGGAGACCTTCCCCCCAGTATATTATATTATATTTGGTTTGGCCCTCCCTCCCTCCACAACAGTGGCCGTTTTTCCTGTGGCTCCTTCCGGCTTCATGTCACTGGGCACCCCCAGATTTGGTGGCTTCCCTTGCATCCCAATTGGTCTCCCTCTGCACCCCAACAGCTGGAAAACTGCGACAGGCGCAAGGGAGAACTGAGGGACGCAGAAGCGGTGAGCTTTGCAGATACGACCCTACCTCAACTAATCAATCAATCAAACCAGAGCTGGAAGGGACCTAGGCCGACCCCCCTGCTTGAGCGGGGGACTCTGTATCATTTCAGACCAATGTCTTAAAAAACTCCAGAGATGCGGCACTCATAACTTCTGGTGGCAAGCTGTCCCACTGGTTAATTGCGTCCCGTGTTTCGTTTGCGCTCATTTTTGCATGGTTTTCTAAAATCCATACATGGTTTCATACAAATAATTACAGAAAAAAAGGCTCCCTTCTTTTTTGGGGTTGGGATGGTCCAAGAGCAAATCAAACATTCATAGCGGGTGGTTACCCAGGTCAAAACAAATACTGCCATGCTTTAAACTTGGATAAGGGGTTTGTGGGGGGGGGGGCTAGGAAACATTTGCCTTGAATAAACAGTTTGTGGGAACGCAGCCAACGGGCTAGTCTCTGATCTCTCTTTTAGCCTCATGGACAAGAGGCACCAAAACAGCTGCGGAGTCCAGTTGTAGCGTTACAATAAACCCAGGTTCTCCAAGCTTGGCTACTTTTAAGACCTATGGACTTCAACTCCCAGAATCCCCTTGAAAGTCCACAGATCTTAAAATGGGCCAAGCTTGGAGACCCCCGGACTAAAGCAACGTAAATTTTGATCCCCTCTGGACTTCCAACGATTTCAAAACCCACAAACCACGGTTTAAAAACTTCCCACGCACCCAGGATTTACGGGAAGCTCCATTTTGCCAGCGCCCGTGCGCTTCTAACTCCTCTGTACGTAATTGGGATTAAAACAAGGAGTAACCAAGGAGTTGCAAGCCATCTGCTCCTTGGAGATGCGAGGAGGTTAAGCCACGGGAAACAGCCCAGCTTAGCAACATCCAAGGTTGTGGGGAAAGGACTCCGAAAGCACCACTAATCCCAATCCAGGGTCAGCTGAAACAGCCAGGAAAGCCAGCAGGAACACACAGCCCGGCTCCGGGGGAGGGGGGGCCAGAACTACACTTCCCAAGATGCACCGCGCCAAGCCCGGCCACACGACAAGCCGAGGCACGTCCTGGCCCGCCTTGGCAAAGGAGCTGCCTACACTTCCCAGCATGCACCGCCCGGCGGTGTCGGGCCGAAATGGCCTCCGAGGCGTCTGGGAGTTGCAGTCTCTGCCGAGTTGCAGTCTCTGCCGGAGCTTTGCAAGCTCCAGGCTGGGAAAAAGCAGCGGGGGAAGGCGAGAAGGGGCAGCGGGGCTTCCGATGCAACCAGGGGCGGGAGGGGGGGTGGAGGTCGGGACCCCCCCCCCACCCAGAAGCGCCCCCCCACCCTCCCTTTCACCCCCCCTCCCGCCCATAGAAAGTGGCCCTATTGTTAAGCCGCCCGGGAAGCATGCCTGCGATTTAGGGGAAGGGGCGATCTCCAAGCCCCCTCCCCACTCACCTCTTTGGAGGAGGGGATGTAGCCGGCATAAGCCAGGACAAAGCTGCAGAATTTGTTGAAGTCCTCGATGGTGCGTTGCCGCTTCTCCGGAGGCTGGTAAGGGGGGTTTTTTTGTGGGGGGGGGAGAAAGAACGGACGTTAAATGGAGGCAGGAGGAGGTGCTTTCTCTGCCCCCCCCCACCAGCCCAGTTCACTTCCAGGGAGAGGGAGAGGAGACCCCCTAAGAGCCCCCTCCCCATCTGCTCCTTTGCAGCCCCCCCCTATGTAGGTCCTCAAGGCTGGGAGGGGGGATCTGAACACACCTGAGAGCCCCCTCCCCATTTGCTCCTTTCCAGCCCCCCCACATGTAGGTCCTCAAGGGGGTGTGTGGGGGGGGTTAAACACCCCTGAGCCCCCTCCCCTTTTGCTCCTTTCCAGCCCCCCCCACATGTAGGCTCTCAAGGCTGGCAGGGGGGTTTAAACACCCGAAAGCCCCCCTCCCCATCTGCTCCTTTCCAGCCCCCCACATGTAGGCTCTCAAGGCTGGGAGGGGGGGGGTCTAAAGACCCCTGAGAACCCCTTCCCCATTTGCTCCTTCCATGCTCCCCACATTAGGTTCTCAAAGGTGGGAGGGGGAGGTTAAACATCCGAGAGCCCCCCCTTTTGCTCCTTTCTAGCCCCCCCACATGTAGGTTCTTAAGGTTGGGACGGAGGGGGGGGAGCTGAACACCGCTGAGAGCCCCCTCCCCATTTGCTCCTTGCATGCCCCCCCCCTTATGTAGGGTTCTCAAGACTGGAAGGGGGGGGGTCTGAACACCCCTTCCCCTTCTACTCCTTTCCAGCCCCCCCCCACAGGTAGGTTCTCAAGGCTGGGACGGAGGGAGGGGGGGGCTGAACACCGCTGAGAGCCCCCTCCCCATTTGCTCCTTGCATGCCCCCCCCTTATTTAGTGTTCTCAAGACTGAAACGGGGGGGGGAGAAGGAGAGCTGGCGGGCGCTTCCCATCCGGAGCACATGCGGCAATGTTGCAAGCAGCCCCGGCTTTGAACGGCGGGGGGGGGGGAAGGAGGAGAAAGCCCCCTCCCCAGCACGCCTAGAGCGGAAGAGCCCCCCCCGCCGCGCGCCCCCCCTCCTCCTCCTCCCCCCCCGTGGAAGGGAGCCCCCCTCCCCCCCTTGAAACTTTTGCCCGCCTCTCTTCCCTTCCCCTCCCCCCCCCCGGTGGCTCTCCTTACCTGCGTCTCGGCTTTGAGGCTCGGAGGGGGATCTGGAGGGGGGAGACAGAACAAGGAGGGGGGGTTGTTTTGTGAGGGGGGGTCGAGGGAAGGCCTCCGGGCGGCCCCCCCCATCCCCCACTCCACCCCGCCCCAGGGAGGGAGGCAGGGAAAGAGCCGCACAAAGCGGGAGGCGCCGCGGCCGCGGAAAGAAGAGAGCCCCCCCTCCAATTCCCGGGGAAGCCATCCGGCAGCCCCCCACCCACCCACTCCCAGCATGGCCCCCCCACCCACCTACCGTCCCCAGCCCCCCCCCGTGGGGAGTGCAGCCTCCCCCCCTCCCTGCTCCTCTCTGCGGGGAGGGGGGCTCGGAGGAGACCCTCCCCCGGTTGAAAGAGGGGTGGGGGCTGCCCGGGAGCCCCCCCCACACACACCCCGGGTGGGAAGCGGGTCTCCGGCCCCCCCAACTTCCCCCCCCAACCCCGACTTTCTCCTCGGCCGGCCCGACTAGCCCCCCCCCAGCCTCGCGGTGCCCCATACCGGAGGGGGGGGCCGCTCCGAGACCCCCCCCAGACCTCCCGCCCGCCCGCCCGCCCCCCTCCCTCTCTCCCTCCTCTCCCCCCCCCCCAGTCTGGCTGGCCTCTCCCTACCTTCGGGGCTCGGCTCCGCCATGGCCGGCCCCTGCCGAGCCGGCCGCCCTGCCCGCCCCGGGACTCGCAAAGCCAAAGCCGCCGCCGCTCTCGCCGCCTCGCCCGGTGCCGCCGCCCTCCTCCTCCTCCTCCTCCTCGCCGCTCCCCCTCCCTCCCGCAAGCTCGGAGCGGCCGCCCCTCCCCTCCCTCCCTCCCTCATGCCCCGCCGCGGAGCATCTCGGGAGGTGGAGTCTCGCCAGCCGCAACGGTGTCCCGCCGGCAGGGCGGCCCGGCACTACGGCTCCCGGCAGGCGGCGCGCGCGACGCGCCTGCGCCCTTCGAGACGCTCCCCCCTCCTCGCCCGGCTGGAGGGAGCGAGGCATGCCGGGTAGTGTGGTCTGGGCTTTCGGCCCGGAGGGAAAAGGAGGCGGTGGCGAAAGAGGATCTTGGGGGCTGTAGTTTCCCCTCGCCCTTCCGCGGGAGGCGGGGGGGGGAGGCACGCGACGGGCGGGCTTTCTTGATAGGCCCAGGACCCTGATGTCCAAGTTGCCCCCCCCTCCGCGCGCTGGGGAGGCGGCTTTTCAGGACACGCGTCTCGTGTGAATGCAGCCAGAGCCGTCCGCTTGTGCAGCAGCTTCTGCAATAGCTGCAGGGTTCGCTTTCTTGTGGGCAAACCACCACGTTCGGCCGGCCGGGGGAGTGCTGGCCTTTGCCAAAAGGGCTTGTTGTGGGGAAGCCAGCTTTTGGGGCCCAAAGGGGAAGAGACCCACGTAGGTCTCCAGCCCGAAACGGGGACCAAACTTGCTAAGGGGCGAGTTAGGTTTCATTGACCTGGCAACTCCCAAGACTGGTGGACTTCGACTCCCAAAATTCCCCTTTCAACCACGCCTGGGTTGTTTTTTTTCTTCTCCCCTACTCCTTACAGGGAGAGATTGCAGAGGAAGGGATGAGAAGAGAGCAAGCTGGCAAAAGTCCACCAGTCTTAAAAAAGTGGCCAAGCTGGGCGGTCCCTGACCCAGAGCAATGCAAGTCCGGAGGGTCCTTTAGCCGCCAATCAAACCAGCATTACCTTCCGCACGAAAAACCTCCCACCGGCCCAGGTGACTTCCTTCCGACGCTGGCTGGCTTTTACCCCCCCTTTACTAAACCTTAGCAGAAAGAGAACGCCACATTTATCCAAGGTAGCACGGGTGGAACCCGGTTGCGTCAACTCACACCTTTTATTAAACACTGCCACTCGCAAAAGGTGTGATCGGGCACATCTCCTGGAAGGATCCGGCGGGTTGAATTATACCTCGGCCAGTAAGGATTTGACCCACCACCACAATCCCCTTTAGGGCTGGAACAGAATATGGGGCAAAATTCCGAGAGTCATAATTGAGATTCTTCCCCTCCCTCGGCCAGTTAATTCAACTCCGCTGGCCCAGATTGTTGCAACGTCCCAGATGTATGTTAATAAACCTCGGCGATAAAAAAAAAAAGTCTCCAGAGTCCGACATGTTCTCCTTATATACTTTTTTTTAATTAGCATTCGTTTCCCCCCCCCCGCCCCCAAACTCTGGTTACAGAAATCTACCAGGCGACGCACATCCCTGATGAAAGCAAAGTCGGAGCGCGTAGGAAAGGAAATTTGAAAAAAACAAAACAAAATGGGGGTGGGCGAGTAGGGTGGTCTGTCTCGCTTTGGAGGGAGAAATTGGAGATCTCCTACCTTTTCAACAAAAAAAAGAGAGAAGGAAAGAGGAGCAAGGAAGGGGGGGCAGAAGGGGGGGGGAAGGAGAGAACCATCACGGAGAGGTATTTAATTTTAGCCACAACCACCTCAAAAGGAAAAACCCAGAGCAAAGCCAAAAGGAGGGAGGGGCGAGTTAAAAGAGGAAGAGAGAGTTAAAGATTCACAGCCAGAAATAAAAGGGGGGGGGAGGAATGGGGGGAAGAGAACCCTCCGTTTTCCTGGAGCAAAAAAACCCCAAAAAACAAAACAAAACTTTTTTTTTTTTTAACATAAAGTCAACAACAAGTAACAACAGAAAGTGCAGGTCCCTTCGGGGTCAGGTGCCCCTTGGCGGCAGACGGTGGGCTCAGGGGTCTTACATGCTGCCATAGACGCTCTCATCGCTGTAGGCAATATAAAGGAAAAAGTCCTCCTCATGGTGTTCCTGAAAAAAAAAGGGAGGGAATGCTGTTAGATCAAAGAATTGGGGGGGGGGGTGAAAATCTCAGATAAACCCACCCAACCGGTTTAAGCTTTATTGCATTGATTGTAAATTTATTGTAAAATTTACACTCAGCCTCTTCTTTAGTAAGTGAAACGCGCCCCCCCAAACCACCGCCTGTATGACTAAGCCAGGCTGAGGAATGGTCTGAAGCCCCCCCCCAAACAAACCTGCCTCCTTACTTTCAGTCCCAAAGACTACAATTTCCCCTCAACTCCTGCCCAGCCTTGGGACTTTTTTAAAATAAATTTATTGGAAAACTCTAGGCTGCTAACAAACGAAAGGAACAGAAGAAAACAGTAAAATGTCACAAACGAAAGGAATTGTTTATTGCTTTTGTTATTTTTTTTTTAAACTTCCTACCTGTATACTTATTATTATTATTATTATGTTGTTTTGAAAGTACACGGAGTGTTTCTGTACCGGAAATAAATTCCTTGCATGTCTAACCACACTTGGCCAAAATAAATAAAAAGTATAAAGCACAATTTGTAGCAGGAACATGGAAAGATGACAGGAATCCGAGTCAGTTAGGAGGCTGGCCTCATCCGAAGGTTTTCATTTGTCCAGAATATATTTACATTAAGGTTTTCATTTGTCCAGAATATATTTACATTAAGGTTTTCATTTGCCCAGAATATATTTACATTTAAATTTACATTATATTATATTAGATAGATAAGAGAGAGAGAGAGAGAGAGCGCGCATTTGTACACCTTTTGCCAATTCTCCCCAACCTACATTGTTTAATGTGGTTGACAATAAAAAACAGTTTGTCATTTCGGAGAGGCTGATTTTTTTTCCTGATTTTTTTTTTTTGGTCTCCTTTTTTTAAGGGGAGGAAATAAAAATGAGGTTGGGGTGGGGGTGGGGAGACCCACCTGGTAGAGCTGCCCCATGGTGGCACTGGTCGGAGGGATGACGTTGTTGACGAAGAAGAAGAGGGCGTCCTCGGCCCGCAGGTGGATTCGTTTCCGGATGAGGAAGTAAAACTGGCCCACTGGGGAAAGGGCACCAAGAGGAGAGCCAGTCACCCGTAAGGAAGCTCTTATAATAAAGGGGCCGGGGAGGGGGGGAACCCCTTATAAGGGGAGGGGGGCTCTCAAGCCTGGGGGGGCGGTTTTGGCCTCGGGGGGGGCTTCTTCGACCCCCCCATCAGTGAGCACCCCCTCCCTCCCCTCCCCCTCCCGCACCTGTCCGGCCGGATCTCACCTGTGAGGTCGGAGGGTACCAGGTACTTCTTCTTGTCCAGGTCCCCTATTCGGGCCTTGGGGGCTTTTTCCACAATGACCTGCCGGAGAAAGAGAGGCGGACGCTCAACGGGGGGGGGAGAGAGAGAGGGGGGCAGCCCGGTCCGGGAAAGTCCGGACGCCGTCTTAAAGCGGGGCGTCGGGCCACCGACTCACCGGGACCCTGTCCGGGTACTTCTTGCGGATCTTCTCCCCCTCGGAGCGGCGCTTCTCGAAGGGATGCTCCTCCTTGTAGACGAACTTCATGGCGGCGGCGGCGAAGGCGACGGGCGGAGGAGGCGACGCGGCGGACCGAGGAAGGGCCGCTGCACCTAACCAGCGCGCATGCGCGGGGCGGACGTGGCGCAGCGATCCGAAGACGGGGAAAGTAGCGCCGGCGCGGAGCGGCAGGGCGCACCAACGCCACATCGGGCTCCGCCGGCCTTTCTTGCTTGCTCCGAACGCCGCGAGGGAGCAAGACGGGGCGGCGGGGCGGCCCGGCCGGATGGGATTCGAACGAAAAAAAAACCGGATTTCCTCCCCCCCCCCCGCTCGCTTGAACTGGGCCCCGCCCCCCTCGGGCGCGTGACGTCAGCGAGCCGTGCGTGGCTTGCGTGGCCGCGTGACACCAAAACAAAGTAGTGCGGGGAGCCGTCGCGGCGGAAACGGCTCTGAAAAAAAGGATTCGGGGGGGGCTCAAAGAAAAAAAAGAGGGGTTATGAAGGGAGAGGCCCCCTCCTCACAAAAAAGTATCCTCCCGCTCCTCCAAAGCGGGTTTCGGGAGAGAGGCGCGGAAGGACACGTCAAAAGGGAATGGCGGTGCAGCGTCACGTCATGTGACTGACGTCAGCAGAGAGAGGAATAGTCACGTGGGCCTCGCCCACGGCTGGCCCAACCAGGCGCGGGTCACGTGGGGCGGCCGCCCCCGGGCTGGATGCCAAGGCGGATTACAAAGCCCCTCCTCCTTCCGCTGTTTGATTGGGGATGGGCGTTGTAGTCCGCAGCGGCATCGGGGATGGCACGAGGGGGGGTCCCAGACATGGGCAGGCCTCGGCCTGGAGCAGCCCCAACCCCACCGCCACCCGCATAAACCACAATTTGGGGTTAACCAACAGATCATGATTTACGTCAGGGGTCTTCAAACTTGGCTCTTTGATGACTTGTGGACTTCAACTCCCAGAATTCTCCAGCCAGGCATGCTGGCTGAGGGATTCTGGGAGCTGAAGTCCACAAGTCATTAAAGGGCCAAGTTTCAAGACCCCTGGCTTAAACGTAACAAGCAAAATGGAGGCTGGCTGAGGAATTCTGGGAATTGTCCACAAGTCGTGAGAGAACCAAGTTTGAAGACCCCTGCTCGTGGAGTTCAACACCCAGAATTCCTCAGCCAGGCACGCTGACTGAGGGATTCTGGGAGTTTAAGTCCACAAGTCATCAAAGGGCCCCGTTTGAAGACCTCTGGTTTACATCAAAGATTTGGGGAACTAGCACACCAGCTCCAGATGCGAGACAAGCCGCCCTGTTCCTTCTTCCAGCTGTGCCCTCCAACACCCCTATTGACCTCGGAAATAGGAGGAATACAGGGGTCCTCTGCTTATGACCACAATGGCGCCCAACATTCCCGTTGCTAAGTGGGACATTGGTTAAGACAGCTTTGCCCCGTTTTGCGACGTCTTGCCACCGCTGTTAAGGGAATCATCAGCGGATCTGACTTCCCCCACTGACCTTATTTATTATTTATTTTATTATTTAATTTTATTTATATGCCGCCCAATCCCAAAGGACTCAGGGCGGCATACAAAATTAAAGCAACCAATTAAAACAACCAATCAAAGACCTTGCCAATCAAAGACTCGCAAAAGGGGATGATCCCGTGACACACACACACACACACCCCGGGACCTTGCGACCGTCGTAAATACGAGTCAAGTTATCAAGTGCCGGAATGTTGACCATGTGACCGCAAGGGATCTCGTAAGATGTTTTTCAGCACCGTCGTAACTTCGAACGCTCCCTAAACCCACCCCTGCAAATCGAGGACCGCCTGGAACCAAGGGGAAAAGCCGCTGCTGTGCCCGCCAGACAGCCTGTCCTGCCCACGCTACGCCAACTCCCTTCCGGCCCAGAAGAAGAGGCACGAGTCGGTTTCGGTGTTTGGTTTTTTTTTCTTTTCTTTTTTTTTAAACCACCTCAGTTCAAGCCTATACGGTCTCCTCCTTCGGAGCCTCTGCCCACCCCAGAAGTCCAAGGATTAAAAACCCAGCCAGGGGGCATGGGGGTGGGTGGGTGGGTGGGTCCTCCGCCAGGCCGATTTGGAGCCGGAAGGGCCCTCCTGCTTCCACCAGAAGGGGAAGGACGGGGGGGAGAGGGGGCGGAAAGAAAGCCGGACTTGGCAGTCATCGGAAAGGTCCTTCTTGGATGAAGAAGCCCCCTCCCCACTTTATCCAAGGATTTCGCTGGCGGGTGTTGGGGGGAACGGAAAACCACAGGAAATAAAAGCCGGGATGGAGGGAGGCAAGGTGCTCTTCCCACTGAGAAACGCAGCCTCCTCTTGGGGGGAAAAAAAAGTCTTGTCGTCGTGTCGCTGGTGCGGTTCACCCCCTTTCTTGTGCGTCTGGGTCCCCCCCCCCACGGGGGCCGCCGGTGTCGTGCCACGCGGCGCGGCCTTCTCCCCGCCTCTGCCCGGCTGGCTCGCTGCCAGTCCATAGGGTGCCGCCGTAGGGGGAGAGGGCGGCTGACGGCCACGGGGCGAGGCCGAAACGGAGTCCCACGGGGTGAGGTCCCCGGCCGGCCGGGTGGCCGGCTGAGTCTGAAGGCCTTTTATCAGCCGCGGCGCCTGGCGAGGAGGGGGGGGGGGAGTCACGATAGCAGGCTAAGGCAGAGGTCGTCGCCAAACCCTGAAGAAAGGAGGGGCCGTCGTCACCACAGGCGGTGCTGATGGAGATTGCGGCTGAGCACCGACCGGACGTCCGCTGTGAACCTGGGGGGGGGGAGGAGAAAAAAGCAGGGGTCACTTCGGCCATCGCCATCTTGGTCTGCAGCCTGTCTTTCGAATTTTGCAAAGCATTCAAGGGGGTGGACAGATCCAGCACCCCCTCGCATTTGGGCCCACCACAACAACCCTGTGAGGTGGGCTGAGAGAGAGAGAGAGAGAGAAAGAGAGATGGACTGGCTCAATCCCCCAGCCTCAGACGGGACTAGAATTCACCGTGTCATGGTGATTGGCCCAAAGTCACCCAGCTGGCTTTTGGACCTAACGCGGGACTAGAACGTCTCCTGGTGATTGGTCCAAAGTCACCCGTCAGCTTTTATGCCTAAGGCGGGACTAGAACTCACTGGTGCCTAGTGATTGGCTCAGATTCATCCAGCTGGCTTTTATGCCTAAGGCGGGACTAGAACTCACTGGTGCCTAGTGATTGGCCCAAAGTCACCCAGCTGGCTTTTGTGCCTAAGGCGGGACTAGAACGCTCCGTCTCCTGGTGATTGGACCAGTCACCCGTCAGCTTTTATGCCTAAGGCGGGACTAGAACTCACTGGTGCCTAGTGATTGGCTCAGATTCATCCAGCTGGCTTTTATGCCTAAGGCGGGACTAGAACTCACTGGTGCCTAGTGATTGGCCCAAAGTCACCCAGCTGGCTTTTGTGCCTAAGGCGGGACTAGAACTCTCCGTCTCCTGGTGATTGGACCAGTCACCCGTCAGCTTTTATGCCTAAGGCGGGACTAGAACTCACTGGTGCCTAGTGATTGGCTCAGAGTCATCCAGCCGGCTTTTATGCCTAAGGCGGGACTAGAACTCACTGGTGCCTAGTGATTGGCTCAGATTCATCCAGCCGGTTTTCATAGCTAAGGCAGGACCAGAATTCACTGTCGCCTGACGATAGGCCCAAAGTCACCCGTCAGCTTTTCATGCCTAGGGTGGGACTAGAAGTCACTGTCTCCTGGTGATTGGCCCAAAGTCACCCAGCCAGCTTTCATGGATAAGGCGGGACTAGAACTCACCCTCTCCTGGTTTTCTAGCCTTAACCAGCCGACCAAACACATCTGCAAGCCAGCCCCAGGACCGGCTGCAAAGGTCCGGTTTAGGAGCCCACCCTCCCTTTCTGTATGAAGCCCACCCTCTTCTCCGAGGCTGAGACCCCCCCTCCCTCGCCCCGGGCTTTACCTCAAGGCATCGAGCATGGGGAGGAGGTTGAGGAGTGCCGTGTCGCTGGGGTCGCTGAACCACGACTTGATGGGGATGGCGTTATCTGCCGGAGAGAAAAGGAAAGGCGCCTTGTTCATCCAACCCAGTGGGAAGCAAGTAGCCAGAGGCCGGCCGGAGGAAGTCCACGGTTGCTAAGCGACTCTGGCTTGCCCGTGGACTTTGCCCGTTGTAGGAGGACCTTAGGGCAGGGGTCCTCACCTTAGCCACTTTAAGACTTGTGGAGTTCAACTCCCAGAATTCCTCAGCCAGCCATGCCTGTTTTTTTTTTTTTTCACCTATCCCTTAAAGCGGAGAGATTGGAGAGGAAGGGATTATAAGAGAGTAAGCAGGGCCACATTGAGTATGCTGGCTGAGGAATTCTGGGAGTTGAAGTCCACAAGTCTTAAAGGGGCTACGTTTGCATCAATGTTTGCTTTAGCATCAATGTTTAAGGTCCCCTCCCTGGGACCAAGGAGACCATGTTCCCCCACCCAAAAAAACCCCAATTACTTGTAGCCACCTTCCCCACAGATGATCAAGTCTCCACCCATATTTTCCCTATGGCGCCTGCTTTATTTTTATTTCTATACTGCTTTTACGATTAGTTTTTTGAACAACTCAAGCTGGAAAACATATCCAATTCTCCTTTTTTCCTCCCCCCATCTCAATAATAACTTTGTGAGGTAGGGCTGGACTGAAAAATTCTGGCCGAAAGTCACCCAGTCTGTTTTCATGGATAAGCTGAACTAGAACTCTCTTGTCTCTTGGTAATTGGCCCAAAGTCACCCAGTTGAGTTTCGTATCTAAGGCGGGACCAGAACTCACTGTCGCCTGGTGATTGGCCCAAAGTCACCCATCAACTTTCAGGCCTAGGGTGGGACTAGAACTCTCCGTCTCCTGGTGATTGGCCCAAAGTCACCCAGATGGCTTTTATGCCTAAGGCGGGACTAGAACTCTCCATCTCCTAGTAGTGACTGGCCGAAAGTCACCCAGCCGGTTTTCATATTTAAGGCAGAACCAGAACTCTGTCGCCTGGTGATTGGCCCAAAGTCACCCATCAGCTACCAGGGCTAGGGTGGGACTAGAACTCTCCATCTCCTGGTGACTGGTCCAAAGTCACCCAGCTGGCTTTCATGTCTAAAGCAGGACTAGAATTCACCTCTCCCGATTCCTAACCCGATGCCTTAACTTCTATATCAAACTCTTACACCTCAACCCCGTCTCCCCGTTCCCCGTCTTCGGCGCAAGCTTAAAAGCCCCCAGGCTCTAACCCAGTGGTTCTCAACCTGTGGGTCAGGACCCCATTTGCGGTCGAACGACCATTTCACGGGGGTCGCCAAACAACGCAGTCCGCCATTTTTCCCCCTTTTCCTTTGCTGGGCTACTCCCTTTTATTCTCTTGGCTTTTGAAAGCCAATAGAATAGACTGTCTTGAATAGAGTCTCATTCTATTGGCTTTCCAAAGCCAATAGGAATTGTCCAGGCTGTCTCTGCCCTGCCGAGCCCGCCAAAAGTCCCAGTCTGAAAACGGTGCTGCACCAGTTGAGTAGTCCTCGACTTACGACCGGTTGGGGGGTCGCGGCATTAAAAAGGTTGAGAACCACTGCTCTAACCCAATCATCCCTTCTTTGCAATCGTGGAGGTCTGGGTCGCTTCTGTTTTTTTTTAAAGTCAGCTTCTCATTTTCCCAAATCTTGCAGGTTCACGCTGGCCAAGAAAGGCCAAAAATAAGGCCCAAGGAGAACTTATTTCTCATAACCGGAGCAACAGGAAGTGACTTGCAGATCAGTTCTCCCACACAAGGAAGGGCGAATCCTCCTCCTCCTCCTCCTCCTCTCTGCAAACCCCCCTCCCTCCCAGCACTGATGAGGTTCCCCAGTTGGGACGTGAAACGTCTGCCAGGAAACCACCATGGACCCCACAGTCCTAATCCTCCTCCTCCTTCCTCCTCCTTTCTGCAAACCCCACCCCTTCTAGCATTGATGATGTTCCCTAGTTGGGTCATGAAACGTCTACAACGAATTCACCAAGCTCAAAGACCACCATGGACCCTCCAGCCCTTTTCCTCCTCCTCCTTCTCCTCCTCCCTTCTAGCACTGATGATGTTCTCTAGTTGGGTCATGAAACGTCTGCAAGGAAACTGCCCAGCTCAGAGAACACCAAGGACTCCACAAAAACGAAATGAAAAACCTTAAAAACCACCCCAAGGTCTTGCCTGGATGGCTCCTGTAGGCTCCTGGGGAATTGTCCAAGATGACAATGCTGGACAGGTCAGTATGGACCACCGAAAGGTCTTTGATGTAGCTGCCCAGCTCCAAAGTGCAGTGCTGGGGGAGAAAAAAAAAAAGAGAGAGAGAGAGAGAAGAGAGAGAAAAGAGGAGAGAGAAGGGAGGAGAGAGAAGAGAAGAGAGAGGGAGAGAGAAAAGAGAGGAGAGAGAAGAGAGGGAGGAGAAGGGAGGAGAGAGAGAGGAGACAGACAAACAGAGAGAAAGGGGGGAGAGAGAGAAGAGGAGAGAAAGGGAAAAGAGAGGAGAGAGAAGAGAGAGAGGAGAGGGAGAACAGAGAGAAAAGAGAGAGAGGAGGATGGAGAAGAGAGAAGAGAGAGAGAAGAGAGGGAGGAGAAAAGAGAGAGAAGAGAGAGAAGAGAAAGGGAGAAGAGGAGAGAGAAGAGAGGGAGGAGAAGGGAGGAGAGAGAGAGGAAACAGACAGACAGAAAGGGGAGAGAGAAGAGAGAGAAGGGGAAAAGAGAGAGGAGAGAGGGAGAAAGAAGAGAGGAGACAGAGAGAAAAGAGAGAGAGGAGAGAAGAGAGAGAGAAGAGAGGGAGAAAAGAGAGAGAAGAGAGAGAAGAGAAAGGGAAAAGAGAGAGGAGATAGGGAGAAGAGAGGAGACAGAGAGAAAAGAGAGAGAGGAGAGAAGAGAGAAGAGAGGGAGGAGAAAAGAGAGAGAGAGAAGAGAGAGAGAAACACATCAGTTGCCTCCAAAGTCAACTTGGCACATGCCAAGTGGGAAGGAGGGCAGCCCGGGAGCTGCCTTGGGCTCCAGGTAAGGGGAAGGTGTCCCCGCGGCCACTCACCTGCCTGTAGTATCTCCGCCTGAGGATGCTCCTGTTATTATCTAGCTTGTCTGCTACAGCCGAGCCATAGATTTCCATGCTGGCTGTGAAGACCACGAGCTCGTACCACTGGCTCACCTGTGGGTGGGAGGGGGGTAGAGGAGGGAGGCAAAAGGTGGGAGGGTTTTCTTACAAAGATTCATTCCCAGAGACTTCCTCAAGGCCAAGGGAGGGCAACTATGGCAATGGTAAGGCTTTCTCAGCCTCAGGCACTTTATCTCAAAGCGGTTTTTCTCCTGGAGTCCGCCGAGTGTTCTGGAAATCGCATTCACATCCCCGCACCTTTTCAAGGGTGCTCCTCCCAAAGTGCACGGCTGAAGGTCTCTGTGGCCACTTGTTTTTCTTAGAATTTCTGCAGGATGTTTGTCCCCAAAACACCTGCGCTCAGCGGGAGAAGGAGCCAGGGCCAGAAAAACATCCCGCAGAAATATAAGGAACATACAAGGAACGGGTGCTGGAATTGGGTCTGTCTAGTTTAATGAAGAGAAGGACGAGGGGGGAAATGATAGGAGCATTCCAATATCTCAGGGGCGGCCCGAAAGAAGAGGGAGTCAAGCTATTTTCCAAAGCGCCTGAAGGCAGGAGAAGAAGCAACGGGTGGAAACTAATCAAGGAGAGAAGCAACCTAGAACTAAGGAGAAACTTCCTGACAGTGAGAACAATTAACCAGTGGAACAACCTGCCTCCAGAAGCGTAAATGCTCCAACACTGGAAGTTTTTAAGAAGAGACTGGACAGCCATTTGTCCGAATGGTATAGGGCAGCAGTTCTCAACCTGGGTCAGGACCCCATTTGGGGTCGAACGACCATTTCACGGGGGTCGCCAAACAACGCAGTCCGCCATTTTTTCCCCCCTTTTCCTTAGCTGTGCTACTCCCTTTTATTCTATTGGCTTTTGAAAGCCAATAGAATAGACTCTCTTGAATAAAGTCTAATTCTATTGGCTTTCCAAAGCCAATAGAAATTGTCCAGGCTGTCTCTGCCCTGCTGAGCCCGCCAAATGTCCCATTCTGCCAACGGTGCTGCACCAGTTGAGTAGTCCTCGACTTACGGCCGGTTGAATAGTCCTCCACTTACGACCGGTTGGGGGTCGCGGCATTAAAAAGGTTGAGAACCACTGGTATAGGGTTTCCTGCCTGAGCAGGGGGTTGGACTAGATGACCTCCAAGGTCCCTTCCTTCCTTCCTTCCTTCCTTCCTTCCTTCCTTCCTTCCTTCCTCCCTCCCTCCCTCCTCCAACACTGGAAGTTTTGAAGAACAGACTGGATAGCCATTTGTCTGAAATGGTATGGAGTTTCCTGCCTGAGCAAGGGGTTGGACTAGATGACCTTCAAGGTCCCTTCCAACTTTATTATTATATTATTATTACTATTATTATTATTATTATTAGTCTGAAATGGTATAGGGTTTCCTGCCTGAGCAGGGGTTTGGACTAGATGACCTTCAAGGTCCCTTCCAAATTTTATATTATATATTATATTATATTATATTTATTATATTACATTATTATTATTATTTGTCTGAAATGGTATAGGGTTTCCTGCCTGAGCAGGGGGTTGGACTAGATGACCTCCAAGATCCTCCAGGACCAGGAGCAGACTTCCCTGGAGTGACTCCCTCTTGACCGCTTTGGCTACTGGACCCCCAAAGAGTTGGTCTCCCCACAGTTAGAGCCCCCCCCCGGACCACCTGACACCCACCGTCCCGCTTTGCCCACTTCCAAACCTGTCCCAAGATTTGTCTGCCTCCCCCCCCCCGCCAATGTGGTTTTTCGGGAACAGTAGAGATGCCACAGCCAGCAGGGCCCCTTCTTCGGGTCTGTCTAGCCTTCTGCCTCCGTAGCCGGAGTCCTCCGGGGGAATCATCCCACGCGCGTGTGTTTGTTCGAGGCGGTTCTTCGCACCCGTAGCCAAGACACTCTTGTCAGAAACACACACACACACACACAGAGACACACACAAACACTGCGGGCTTACCACTTCTAGAAAAAAGTCCACGTGCGGCCTCTTATGTACAAAAAAGCGGACCGGATGCTTATCTATGACGACCTGGGGAAGAGAGACAGGGTCATTAAATGCAAAAAGAGCCGCAAAATTGCATTGGCAAAAGCCAGGAAACCGTGCCACCCTCTCCCCATTTCCCAGAACCAAACTACCGAGTCTGTCCAGGTTAGCTACAGCACGTCAGCACGTCCCAACGAATAGGCAGGGAAGGCGTAGCGATAGCATAGAGATTTCTATACCGCTTTGCCATGCTTTACAGCAGGGGTCCTCAACGTTGGCAACTTTAAGACTTGTGGACTTCAACTCCCAGAATTCCTCAGCCAGCAAAGCTGGCTGAGGAATTCTGGGAGTTGAAGTCCACAAGTCTTAAAGTTGCCAACGTTGAGGACCCATGCTTTACAGCCTTCTCTAAGCGGTTTACAGAGTCAGTCTCTTGCCCCCCCCCCAAAAAAAACAATCTGGATCCTCAGTTTACCGGCCTCGGAAAGATGGAAGGCTGAGTCGGCCTGGAGCTGATCAGGGTCGAACTCTTGGCTATGGGCAGAGTCAGCCTGCAATGCTGGATTCTAACCACGGCGTCACCAGGACTAAAGAATTCTGACTTGGGGGGGGGGTCCAGGAGGAGAGCCATCCCTGCCATTGCCCCCACCCTGTGGAAGACACCCCCCCGCCACACACACACCTGGCCTTCTGTGGCCTTGCTTGGGACGTGCAGAACGGCGTGCAGCCCCGGGGCTGGCTGGCACTCGGAAAGCCATCCCTCCCCTGCCCTTTAATCCATTTTTTAAAACCTTCTTTCCCTCTTTTTAAATTTTATAGACTGTCTGGATGCTTTTCAATATTTTATGGTACAACTCCCAGAGTCCCTCCCTCTAGGAGGGAGACGAGCAATTCTTAGATAAGACAGATTGGATAAGACAGATGATGAGGTGGATAGATGACACATAGATAAGATATAGATAGACAGATTATCGACAGCGATAGAGATAACCATAGATGATAGATGATCATACAGACAATATAGACAGATGATAGATGGATAGATATAGATAAGTAAATAGCTAGGAGGGAGGGAGGGAGGGAGGGAGAGAGAGAGATTCGTTAGATATAGAGATATAGATGATAGACTGATAGATGATAGACAGATGATGAGACGATAGAGATATCTAGATGGTAGGTAGGTAGATAAAGATAGATAGATAGATAGATAGATAGATAGATAGATAGATAGATAGATAGATAGATAGATAGATAGATGATGGGTGGGTGGGTAGGTAGATAGATGATAGAGACATAGAGAGATGATATAGATAGGTAGGTATATATATAGAGAAAGATAAAGAGATGGATGGATGGATGATAGGAGAGATAATAGAGATAAAGAGATAGATAGATGATAGATAGATACATAGACAGATGATAGATATAAATAGGTAGGTAGGTATATATAGAGAGAAAGATAAAGAGATGGATGGATGGATGATAGGAGAGATAATAGAGAGATAGAGATAGATAGATAGATAGATAGATAGATAGATAGATAGATATAGATAGACAGACAGACAAGATACATGATAAAGAGAGATAATAGATATAGATGATTGATAATAGATACATGATAGGGATAATAGATAGATAGATAGATAGATAGATAGATAGATAGATAGATAGATAGATAGATATTCCAATAGATGGTAGACAAGAGACATAGATGACAGACGATCAGACAGATGATAAAGATATAAAGATGACAGATGATGGGTAGGTAGGTAGATATTCCGACAGATGATAGACAGGTAGAGATAGACATAGATGACAGATGATCGGACAGACAAACAGACAGATGACAGACAGGCAGAGGACACATGATACATAGATTAGATATAGATCATCGGACGGACCCACTGACTCTCGAGAACTGGGGGCACCGCTTCACGTCACCGCTTCACGTCCTCCCCGCCCCCCAAAATCCCAAACCCACTCCTCAAATTTGATGGAGCCGCTGGATCCCAGCACTGGCCGAGAGGCCCTTGGCCGGTCCCGGCCTCCAGGTCAAGAGCACCTTAGTTGACCTCCAGGTTTGGACCCAGCAGCTTCCACAAGCAGCTTGATCCCCGGGGGGGAGGGGGGCTCACCCCTGCCCCCCTCTTGAGCCCGCTTGTTGCAGAAGGGTCTCACCTTCAGGATGAAGTCGGGTGGGGTGCCGGGCCTCACGGTGGGCCTCAGGACCCCGTCGTGGTGGGAGTGAATCAGCGTCTCATCCAGGTCCAGGACGAGAATCTTCCTCTTCACCTGATCTGCCAGAGAGAGTAAAAAGGGCTTTTTAACATGGGGACTCCTCGACTTACGACCACCATCTCCGTTGATAAGCGAGACCTGTGTTCTGTGGAGTTTGGCCCCGTTTTACGACCTTCCTTGCGACGGTCGTTCAGCGAGTCACTGCCGTGTGCAGTTAGCAGCGCCGTCGTTAAGAGAAACGGGCTTCCCCGCTGCTTGTGGTCAGGAGGTGGCAAAAGGGGGGGATCACGTGATTTTCCCCCCCTCCCCGGAATGCTGCAACCGTCATAAGTACGAGTCAGTTGCCGAGCATCTGAATTTTGATCACTTGACCGCGCGGGGGCTGCGACGGTCGTGTGAAAAACGGTCCAAAGTCACCTCCGCCCCTCCAGTGGTATTGTAACTTAGAATGGCCACTAAACAAATCAACCTGTATATGGTAGATTTGTTGAAAATTTTGGAAGCTCTGTGTGTGTGTGTGTCGAGCAGCTATATAAACTTGTGTAATCAACAAAGCATAAAAACAGGTGTCTTCAAACTTGGCCCTTTGATGACTGGTGGACTTCAACTCCCAGAATTCCTCAGCCAGCGTGAGGGAACTACGACCCTTTGATGATTTGTAGACTTCAACTCCCAGAATTCCTCAGCCAGCATGAGGGAACTAGAGCCCTTTGATGACTTGTGGACTTCAACTCCCAGAATTCCTCAGCCAGCGTGAGGGAACTGTGGCTCTTTGATGATTTGTGGACTCCAACTCCCAGAATTCCTCAGCCAGCGTGAGGGAACTGTGGCTCTTTGATGAGTTGTGGACTCCAACTCCCAGAATTCCTCAGCCAGCGTGAGGGAACTGTGGCTCTTTGATGATTTGTGGACTCCAACTCCCAGAATTCCTCAGCCAGCGTGAGGGAACTACAACCCTTTGATGACTTGTGGACTTCAACTCCCAGAATTCCTCAGCCAGCGTGAGGGAACTAGGACTTCAACTCCCAGAATTTGTGTGCCTGGCTGAGGAATTCTGGGAGTTGAAGTCCACCAGTCATCAAAGGTGCCGAGTTTGAAGACCCCGGCATAAAAAGGAGGCCAGCGACACCAGGCCCAGCCCCACAAAAGCCCCTTCCAGCCCCCTCCGGCGAGCGTCCCGGACCGGAGAGCAATACTTACTCAGCCGTTCCCGCGAAACCCGGGATAGAGGAAGGATATCGTAGCGCACCGTTTGATACTGGATCACCTGCCGGCAGAAGACACAAAACGATGACAAGGTTGGGACTGTGCAAGCAGGCGGAAATCCGAGGGTCCGATGGGCCGAGGGCACAGCCAGGCGCCGGGTGGCCAGTTCCACGGGAGCGGCTGGCCGGCCGCGGAGGAATGCAGACAAGAGTGTGGTGGCCCCGTTAACCCTGATCCCAGCATTGCGGCTGAAGTGCTGCGAGGCCAAATCCAGCACATCTGGGTCCCCGAGCGGTCCCCGATTCGTCCTTGCTTACTGACAGACGTTAAGGGAGGAAATGACAGGTGAAGGTGCCTGGGAGGGGGTTCAGGGTTGCTGCTCAGTCACAAAGGAGGAGGAGGAAGGAAAGAGGGAAGGGGAGGGAAGGGAGGGAGAAAGGGAAAGAGGAGGGAAGCTGGTGAGAAGGAAGGAAGGATGATAAGAAACAGAAAGGAGGAAAAGAGAAAAAGGAGGTAGGGAAGATGAAAATGGATGAGAAAGAGGGAGAAAAAAGGAAAAAGACAGAAAAAGGAAATAGAGAAGGGAGGGAGATGGGAAGGAAGGAAGGAAGGAAAGAAAGAAAAGAGGGAGGAAAAAGGAGATAGAGAAGGGAGGAAGGTGGGAAGGAAGGAAAAGAGAAAGGGAGGGAGGAAAAAGGAAGGGAGGACGGAAGGAAAAGAGAGGGAGGAAAAAGGAGAGAGAAGGGAGGGAGGTGGGAAGGAAGGAAGGAAGGAAGGAAGGAAGGAAGGAAAAGAGAGGGAGGAAAAAGGAGATAGAGGTGGGAAGGAAGGAAAGAAAGAAAGAGAGGGAGGAAAAAGGAGATAGAGAAGGGAGGGAGGTGGGAAGGAAGGAAGGAAAGAGAAAAGAGAGGGAGGAAAAAGGAGATAGAGAAGGGAGGGAGGTGGGAAAGAAAGAAGGAAGGAAGAAAGGGAAAGGGAGAAAGATAGAGAAGGGAGGGAGGGAGGGAGGGAGGGAGGGAGGGAGGGAGGGAGGGAGGGAGAGGGAAAATAGGTAGGCAAGGGCCACCCATCCCAGGGGGCAACGGGGCCCAAAGGCCGAGGGGCCACCTTAACACGGAGAAGCTCTTCCAGGTCTATTTTTACCTCTCCCCCCCTCCCACCAGCTGTTCCTCCGCAACAGCCTCACCTGCTTCCTTGCAAGGGCACCAGGGTAGTGGGCACCCCCCCTCCCCTCCCCTCCCTCTCATACATGTGTGTCAGTGTGCAAGCATGTGCGTGTGTGTCCCCTCCAGCCCCACCGGCTCCTCTTTCCAAAATTAGCCCCCTGTGGCCGGGAAGCTGGCCAAAGTCTCCGGGTCCCAGCCAGGCAGGAGGGGAAGGGTTGGCAAGGAGAGGAGAGGACCAGAGGCCTGGAGGACCAGACCTGCTCTAGGCTGGCCAGACCCCCCCCAGTTCCGAGGGGGGGGGGTCCTGCCCGCATCCCCCTGGCTTGGCCGAATAGGGGAGGGGTCCACAAGCAGGAGTGGAAGAATGGGACCCTCCCTCTCACCCCCAAGGGCTATGGGGGGGGTCCTTATCACAGGGGGGGCTCGCCACGGGACAGTTCCACCCCGTGCAGGTAGTCCTCTGACTTACGACCGCAATTGGAGTCCAGCCTTTCTGGGGTTAAGTGAGACATGGCTTAAGGGAGCATTGCCCCACAGTTGTTCAGTTGTTCCATGAACCCGGCTCCTCCCCGTAGGAGGGATCACGTCACACACACACACACACACACACACACACACACACAGACAGACTGACACACCAGGACACGGCGGCCGCTGTAACTCTGAGCCACTTACCAAGCCTTTGGATTAACAAACTGCAGTGATCCGCTTCCTAGCTGGGGCAAGGAAGGTGGTCAAATGGGGGAAAAAAATTCACTTAATGACTGTCTTGCTTAGCAACGGAAGCGTCAGGCCCATCATTTGCGGCCGTTAAGCTGGGGGGGGGACCGCCTGCACGGTCTTAACGCAGCCTCATGCTCTCCCCTTTTTTTCTCCGAGGGATAAACGGTGTTTTCTACACCCCAGTTAGGAACACCTTCCGTCACCAGCTTTTCGATGTGGGTTTAAAAAGGGAAGTTCCCCTTTTACTTTCCCGTCGCAAACAAGAGACGTGACACTTGATCCCGGCTACTTTCAGCTCTCAGAGGAAGCACGGAGAAAGGCTGAACAGGCGGTCCTCAACTAATAATACCATGAGGAGCAACTCAGAGGATCCAAGGCCTGGAGACTAAAACCTACGAAGAACGGCTGCGGGACTTGCGTCTGGCTAGTCTAAAGAAAAGAAGAAATTGGGGAGACAAGATAGCAGAGTTCCAGTATTTGGGGGGCTGCCCCAAAGAAGAGGGAGTCAAGCTATTCATCAAAGCACCAGAAGGCAGGACGAGAAACAATGGATGGAAACTGATCAGAGAGAGAAGCAACTTGGAATTAAGGAGACACTTCCTGACGGGGAGGACAATTAACCAGTGGAACAGCTTGCCACCAGAAGTCGTGGGCGCTCCATCCCTGGAGGTTTTTAAGAAGAGACTGGACATTCACCTGGCTGAGACGGTATAGGTTCTCCTGCTTGAGCAGGGGGCTGGACTAGAAGACCTCCAAGGTCCCTTCCAGCTCTATTCTAATTATATTCTCTATTCTATTCAATTTCTTATTCTATTCACTTAGAACAGTTCATTTAGTAACTGTTCAAAGTTACAACGGCACTGAAAAAAAAGGGACTTGGGACCACTTTTCCTACTTTAGAACTGTGGCAGCGTCCCCTTGGTCACGTGATCCAAATTTTGGCAGCTGGTTCCTATTTACGACCCTCGTAGCGTCCGGGGGGGGGGAGGGACGTGATCCCCCTTTTGCAACCTTCTGACCAGCAAAATCATTTCACTTCACAACCGGGCAACGAACTTATCAACTGCAGTGATTCACTTAACAACAACGGCAAGGGGCAAAATTCACTTAAGTGCCTCTCTTAGCCACATAAACGTTCGGCACCATTCTGGTCGTAAGGCGAGGACTCCCCGTGTTTGCAAACTGAGGACGGCCTTTAATTTTTGCCTGCCGGAGACACGTTTGACCTCTGAGCACAAACTGAATTCTCCACTGGGTGATGAATTTTAAATGTTTTTCCTCCTCCTCCTCTCTGCACTCTCCATTCCCTTCTAGCACTGATGATGTTCCCTAGTTGGGTCATGAGACGTCAGCAAGAAAACCAGCCAAGCTCAGAGAGCACCAAGGATCCCCATAGTCCTTCCTCCTCCTCCTCCCTTCTAGCACTGATCATGTTGCCTAGTTGGGTCATGAGACGTCTGCAAGGAAACCACCCAGCTCAGAGAGCACCAAGGACCCCATAGTCGTCTTCTTCTTCTTCTTCCTCCTCCTCCTCCTCCCTACATCCCCTATGCTCCAGCTATACTGGGAGGAGAAAGAAAACCAGCTAATATCTCGGGAGATATTATCTAGAATCCCTTAAAGCTAAGACTGCAGCATCCACAAAAATAATCAAAACAACCCACTTGGGGCTACTAAGTCTGATTTATGACGGCGCTTAACAAACCAGGTTCTATGTGGCCTCAGCTTTCTGCCTCTGAACTCCTTGAAGGATCATAGACCATGATTTATCAGATTAGCCAGCCTCACTATGCGACTATTTCACTCCTACATCACTCACTCCTATCATTTGTAGGACATTTGTCATGAACGCAATTTTTCCTGCAGACACAGGTTTAATTTGTCTGACTGCAGATGTTCAGGGATGGGGACTATTTCCTTCTGCCTTGAATTTACCCTGTTGTTACAGTCCCAGCAAGGTCTTGTCTACTGCAGGAATCCAAAATGAAGCCTTGCAAGCTTGTTTGATATCGGAAGGTGGTCAGTGGAAGCATCCAAAACCTAGGTAGGGTTCTGTACAGAATATGGGGCATCCATAGGAGAGGATGTTGGTAGCCCAGGGTTCAACTTTGGGGGTCTTTGGTACTCTCTGAGTTGAGTTATCTCCTTGCAGACGTTTCATGACCCAACTAGGGAACATCATCAGTGCTGGAAGGTAAGAGGGAAGCGCTCTCTGTTTATATTCTAGTGGCTTGCCCTGTCCGTGTTGTTGGTGGGAGTGTTCTTGGGAATTTCTTAATTACTGCAGGAACTGCCCTAGCCCTTGAGGAGGTGCTCACTGGTAATCAGCACCCAGAGAAGCAGAGATTAAAATCAGAATTGGTGTCAGAGCAATTACCGGGCAGTAAACAGTGTCCAGAACAAGGAACTATCAGCTCCAGACAAACAGTCAAATAGTAAAAACAGGCTAATTAAGGACACACCAATGTTCTTCCAACATTGACAGGACAAACCACTTTGATGGACGGTAAACCTTTCTAGCACGGATGACGTTACCTAGATGGGTCATGAAACGTCACGAAGAAAGCAAGCCAGCTCAGAGAACACCCAGGACCCCCACAGTGCTTTTCTCCTCCTCCTCCTCCTCCTCCTCCTCCTCCTCCTCCTCCTCCTCCTCCCTCCCAGCCCTGATGATGTTATCTAGTTGGGTAATGAAAGGTCTGCAAGAAAATAACCCAGCTCAGACAGCACCCAGGACCCCATGTTCCTCCTCCTCCTCCTCCTCCTCCTGTGTCCAAGCCTCCCTTCCTAGCCCTGATGATGTTCCCTAGTTGGGTCACGAAATGTTTGCAAGCAAACTACTCAGTTCAGAGAGCACCAAGGACCCCACGTTCCTCCTCCTCCTTTCTAGTCCAGATTATGTCACCTACTTCGGTCATGAAAGGTCTGCAAGCTCAGAGCACACCAAGGACCCCACAATCTTCCTCCCTTCTTCTCCTCCTCCTCCTCAGTGAGCACCAAGAGACCCCCCCCCGGCCCGTCGTCCTTTTCCTCTCCACAAATCTCCTTCCCTTCTAGTCCTGACGAGGTTCCCCAGTCTGGTCATGAAACATCTGCAAGAAAACAGCCAAGCTCAGACAGCACCAAGGACTCCATGGTCCTCCTCCTCCTCCTCCCTTCTAGCCCTGATGAGGTTCCCTAGCTAGGTCACGAAACGTCTGCAAGAAAACCAGGCAAGCTCAGACAGCACCAGGGACCCCACAGTCTTTCTCCTCCTCCTCCTCCTTTCCCTCCACCTCCCCTTCCTCCTCCTCTTCCTTCTTCTCTTCCTCCTCCTCCCCTTCTCTTCCTCTCCCCTCCCCTCCACACCACAAACACCACTGACTCCCTTCTAGCCCTGATGAGGTTCCCTAGTTGGGTCATGAAACGTCTGCAAGAAAACAAGCGAAGCTGAGAGCATCCAGGACCCCACAATCGTCCTCCTCCTCCTCGTCCTCCCTTCTAGCACTGAAGATGTTCCCTAGCTGGGTCATGAGACGTCTGCAAGGAAACCACCCAGCTCAGAGAGCAGCAAAGACCCCTCCCCAATTATTTTCCTCCTCCCTCCCAGCCCTGATGAGGTTCCCTAGCTGGGTTATGAGACGTCTGCAAGGAAACCACCAATTCAGAGAGCAGCAAAGACCCCCCCCCACACACAATTATTTTCCTTCTCTTCCTCCCTCCTAGCCCTGATGAGGTTCCCTAGCTGGGTTATAAGACGTCTGCAAGGAAACCACCAATTCAGAGAGCAGCAAAGCCCCCCCCCCCAGTTATTTCCCTCCTCTTCCTCCTCCTCCCTCCCAGCCCTGATGAGGTTCCCTAGCTGGGTCATGAGACACGTCTGCAAGGAAACCACCCAGCTCAGAGACCACCAAACCTTCCCCCACCACAGAATACCGGGGGGGGGGAGCAGAGCATTCCCAGCCTACAGCGACCATCCCACCCGGTGAAACGATGGGGAGAGAAGGGAGAAGCCTGGGGGGGGGAGGAGGAGGAGGAGGAGGAGGAAAAGAGAGAGAGAGAGACCAACCGGCCCAGGGTCCTCAAGCCTCCCCGCCCTTCACCCCCACAGGCCCCTTCGGCTCCCCCAGCCCCCTCCCTCCCTTCCCCCCCCCCCGCGCGCACTCTGCCCGTGCTCAGAGGCGCCCTCGCCCAGCCCTACTCACGGTGCGGGCCTGCCGGCGCAGCAGGTAGAGCAGGAAGCTCCAGAGCTTGGCGGCGAAGGCCAGGAAGGCCCGGAGGCCCAGCAGGCACTGCGAGCGCATCATCCCGCCGGCGGGGCCCGCCGCGCCCCCGGCCCGGCCCAGCTCCGCCAGCTTCCAGCCGGGCACGAAGGACGGAAGACGGGAGGAAGAGGAGGACGGCAGGGCCCTCCGCTCAGCCCGGCCCCGCCGGCCCCGCCATCGCCCCACCGCCGCCGCCTCGGTCGCCGCCGCCTGAGAGGGGGAAGCGCTCCCCCCCCTCCCCCGCCGACGCTCGCCTCTGCTTCAGCGCCGGTCCGCTTCCGGGGCAGCCGACGGAGCGCCAGCCTCTGCTTCCGGGTCGCGGCAGAGGGAGCGCGTCCAATGAGAAGGCGAGGCGGGAAGAGGCGGGGCCGGCAGGGCTCCACGCATGCGCGGCTCCGCTTGAAGGGGGAGGAGGAGGAAAAAAAAGCGAAGAGCGAAGAAAGAAAAAGCGCGTCGAAGGGATTTGAAAGCGGAGCGCGGGGAGGGAGGGCCTGGGGCGCATGCGTCGTCCAGAGAGGAGGGAAGAAAAAAAAAAAAAACAAGAAAGGCAGCGGAAGCGCATGCGCGGAGAGTTCGCGCGCTTCGCTTTCTCTGTGAGGCGAAGTTGAAATGGGGGGGGGGGGGGGGAAAAGGATTTAAATCGAGAGGCCGAAATTGTTTCACAGTATCAGCCAATGTTTGCTTCCTGCTCGACCCTCCAGGACAGGGTTCTCCAAACTTGGCCCTTTGATGACTTGTGGACTTCAACTCCCAGAATCCCTCAGCCAGCAATGCTGGCTGAGGGATTCTGGGAGTTGAAGTCCACAAGTCATCAAAGGGCCAAGTTTGGAGAACCCTGCTTGTGGACTGCAACTCCCAGAATCCCTCAGCTAGGCACGCAGGCTGAGGAATTCTGGGAGTTGAAGTCCACAAGTCATCAAAGGGCCAAGTTTGAAGAGTCTTGTTCCAGGGAGAAACCACAAAAGGGCCAGCGATGAAAGGCAGGCTAGGTTTTTTACTGAGCTGATATGGACAGTGGGCGACACCGCAGGGTTGTTGTAAAGTGGTTTTTCTTCCAATTATTAGCAGGCAAGGTGTATTTTTTTTTTCCTCCTTCTCTGTCCTAGAGTCGTTCTGCAGCCTCTCCAAAGCTCTCTGGACAGGTGCCAGGTCTTGAAACCTGGTTAGAGTTTGTGTGTTACGCATCCTTGCAAGTTGTCTGTTTTCTGCTTTTTGTCTTATTTTTTTTTTAACAAATCTACTTATGTTTTTCTTCATGTGAAAAAGGTGTCTAGATTTACCCTATAATGAGCCCACAGACTCTAACAGTGTTTCTCACCTCTGGCCAGTTTAGTGGACTTCCACTCGCAGAATTCCCCAGCCAGCCTGCTTCAACTTGGATGGACTTCGACTCCCAGAATCCCCCAGCCAGCCACGTTTTAGGATGGCTGAACTTTGACTCCCAGAATTCCCCAGGCAGCCTGCTTTAAGCTGGGTGGACTCCAAGTCCCAGAATTCCCCAGCCAGCCTGCTTTAAGAAGGGAAGACGTCCACTCCCAGAACCCCCCAGCTAGCCTGCTTTAAAATGGTTGGATTTCGACTCCCAGAATCCCCCAGCCAGCCTATTTTAAGCTGGGTGGGCCTCAACTCCCATAATCCCCTAGCCAGAGGGTCAAAAGTCATCTGTAACTGTGTGGGAAGGTCCATTCCCAGATCCCCTAGCTGGCCCACTGGAATTCTGGGAGTTCCACCCTCAGCCTCATCCCCTGTGAAGGGCTGACAGTTTCCTGAGCACATTCCTAGGAAGTCAGGCTGGCTGGGGAATTCTGGGAGTTGAAGTCCACCCATCTTCAGAGGGGTCAAGCTGGAGAAACACTATTCTACGGAGTTTATATTGCCCCAAAGACGCAGTCATGTATTGTAAGTCACCCACACAAGTAGTTTAGTCCATTGCAAAATCTTAAATGCACAGAAAGACGCATACGGGGTACGTTGGTAATAGTGGCAAATACTGTGATCGTTTATTGCGTTAAAAGCCACAGAGCCGGTCATATTGGCACTCAAAATAGTTTACTGGCTACGAATCGCTCCCAAAAAAGGACAGGGGGGACGCCAAATCGCTTTTCACTGTCCTCATCACCTTCAGCAAAGGCTTCTTATCCGGATTCCAAACCGATTTCCTGAAGGCCATTTCTTATCCGTGTCCTTTCCCAGGGGAAGCAAATCTGGACTGTGTTTATCCTGTTCGGATGGCCCCAGGTTCCGCTTTGTCCTGCCAGACCGTTCCCGGCAGTGGATTGCTTCTGTCCGCCATCGTTCCCAAGTTGCAAAAGAAAAAGAGCGGTCCAGATAGACGTAAAAAGGTTCCGGTTCCAGATCTGGAAAAACAAGCCATTTCTCCTTCACACGTCTAAATCGTCGTCTGGATCTTCGTCGTCAAAGTCATCGGCGGCATCGGGTTGATAGTAGATCTTGGCTTCCTCTGTCGAGGTCTGCAGCAGTGAGGATTTCCTGGAAGAGGAGAAAAAAAATATTGGTCTGCCTGTCTGTCTAAAGCAGGGGTCTTCCAACTTGGCCCTTTTGTGACTTGTGGACTTCAATTCCCAGAATTCCTCAGCCTGCGTGAGGGAACTAAGGTCCTTTGATGACTGGTGGACTTCAACTCCCAGAATTCCTCAGCCAGCGTGAGGGAACTAGGACCCTTTTGTGACTGGTGGACTTCAATTCCCAGAATTCCTCAGCCAGCGTGAGGGAACTAGGACCCTTTGATGACTCGTGGACTTCAACTCCCAGAATTCCTCAGCCAGCGTGAGGGAATTAGGACCCTTTGATGACGTGTGGACTTCAACTCCCAGAATTCCTCAACCAGCGTGAGGGAACTAGGACTCTTTGATGACTTGTGGACTTCAACTCCCAGAATTCCTCGGCCAGCGTGCCCCGCTGAGGAATTCTGGGAGTTGAAGTCCACCAGTCATCAAAGGGCCAAGTTGGAAGACCCCCTGGTCTAAAATCTCTCATCTCTCTCATCCATCCCTCCTGTGGAAGTTGCCGGTGCTCCATCACTGGAGGTTTTAATAATAGTAAAGTTGTAAGGTACCTCTGAGGTCATCTAGTCCAACCCCCTGCTCAGGATACTTTTATATCTAGAACTCACCATTGCGTGGCAATTGGCCCCAAATTACGCAGCCCGCTTTCATGCGAAAGGCAGGACTGGAACTCACCGTCTCCTGGCGATTGGTCCAAAGGCACCCAGTTGGCTTCCATGGCTAAGGCAGGACTAGAACAAGCCATCTCCTGTTTTCTAGCCTGGTGGCTTAACCACCAGACCACACTGGCTCTTGAGGAATGTGCCAACTGAATTGTAACACATTTTTTCCCCCATATAACGAATGTGCCAACTAAATATCGGTCCATTGCACCCAAAACCGGCTAAATGGTCTCCGTTTAACCGACTTTTTTTGCAGATTAATCCATTTTTTTGCACAGCAGCTTCTCTCCTCGCCAAACATTCTAAGGTGCTCACAGTTGCTTTGCCGAGTGAGCCGGGCAGGATATGAATTTAATCGACGGATAAATAAAAATACGCAGCGCGTTCAACAGCGAAATAACGAGAGATGCACGCAGGCCCTTACTTTTCCTCGCTGAAGTGGTACGGGAGAGGCACCGATTCCCTGGCCTGGCGCTCGGCCTCCGTGAGGTGCAGGTTGAAGGTCAGGCGGGCTGTCGGATCAACCTGGAAAGATCCCAAGATCAACGGGGTTCATGCATCAAGAAGAAAGGAAAGATCTCTCTGGGAAGGTTGAATTTAGCCCAGGGTCTTCTCAGCCTCGGCAACTTTTAAGTCGGTTCGGCTTCAACTCCCCGATTTCCCCATCCAGCCTTGCCTGGTTTTTTCCCCCACCATCGTGCCCTGATTTCCCACTTCCTCTCCCATAAAGCGGAGAGACCGCAGAGGAAGGGACTATAAGAGAGTAAGCAGGCCACAATGGGTGTATATATCAAAAGGACGGCATTAGCGCCAGGGAATTCTCGTAGGTGAGGCAATTTGCTGAACGACCGGGGCCAAAAGTGTCCTAAAAGTCAGCCGGGGCTCATTTTAACAACCCTCCCACTTAGCGGCAGAAATTCTGGTCCCATAAGCCGAGGACTACTTAAAATAACGCATTATTTCTAAAATGCTTGTGTGCTCAGCAAACCTGGCCCTTCCTGATGTCCTTCTTCCTGAGAGAGCCCATCTGAATCCCCCCCCCAAAACCAAACCAAACCCCGCTCAAATATATCTGCCACAAGCCTGAGACCGGCCAGGCACGTACCGCGGCTGGTTCCCGTCCTTCCTCCGCATCCTCCTCTCTGGAAACGCCTTTAGGTGGCAGCTCGCCAAGGAATTTGAACACAAACCCCGGGAGGACGCTGAAGAGTTGTGTCTAGGGAGGGAAGGGCAGAAAGGGTGAGGGGGGTGGGGGGTGTATCCAAAGAACCTGCCTCAGCCTTCCTCAGCAAAGCCCAAATCTTCCAACGATCTGTAGTCCTCGACTTACGACAGTTGCTAAATGAATTCCGCCCCATTCGGACGACTCATCTGGCCGCCGCCGCCAAGCGAGCGGCCGCGGTTATGAAGTTGGCAACACGGTCGTTCAGCGAATCCGGCGTTCCCCTGGTCAAGAGGTCGCAAAAGCGATCATGGGACACACACACACACACACACCGGGGCAGGGCAACCATCGTAAACGCAAGTCAGTCGCCGAGAGTCTGAATTTTAATCACATTAATGGTGGGGATGCTGTAAGGGTTGTAAGTTTGAAAAACCGGTCCTAAGTCATGTCTTTTTTAGTGTCGTCGTAGCTTTGAACGGCCGCTAAAGAGAACCGTTATAAAGTCGAGGACTCCCTGAATTTTCATACTGAGAAACTTATTTATCTCAGTGGCAAAAAGGGAGGTGCAGGGCTTTCAAAAAGAAGGGGAGGGGTCCCGCCTATTCTCCAAAGCGCCTGAAGGCAGGACAAGCAACAGGTGGAAATTAATCAAGGGGAGAAGCAACCTGGAACTAAGGAAAAACTTCCTGACAGTGAGTAACCAGTGGAACAGCTTGCCACCAGAAGTTGGGGTGCTGCATCACTGGAGGTTTTTAAAAAAAGACTAGACAATCACCTGTCTGGAATGGTATAGGACAGGGGTAGACAACCTTGATCCATTTATGACTGGTGGACTTCAACTCCCAGAATTCCTCAGCCAGAGTGAGGGAACTATGACCTCCTTTATGACTCGTGGACTTCAAGTCCCAGAATTCCTCAGGCAGCGTGCCTGGCTCAGGAATTCTGGGAGTTGAAGTCCACGATTCATAAAAGAGCCAAAGTTGCCTACCCATGGTATAGGGTTTCCTGCTTGAGCAGGGGGGCTGGACTAGAAGATCTTCACGGTCCCTTCCAGCTTCTATTCTGATTACATATTTGTCTGAAACAGTATAGGGTTTCCTCCCTGAGCAGGAGGTTGGACTAGATGACCTCCAAGGTCCCTTCCAACTTTATTATCAGCATCAGTATCATTGTTATTAGTCTGAAATGGTGTAGGGCAGGGGTAGGCAACCTGGGCTCTTTTATGACTGGTGGACTTCAACTCCCAGAATTCCTGAGCCAGCCATGCTGAGGGGAAAGGGAGAGGTTTCCAAGCTGAGCCATGCTGGCTCAGGAATGCTGGGAGTTGAAGTCCACCAGTCATGAAGGGGGCCATAGTTCCCCCATGCTGGCTCAGGAATTCTGGGAGTTGAAGTCCAGAAGTCATCAAGGGGTCATAGTTCCCTCACGCTGGCTGAGGAATTCTGGGAGTTGAAGTCCACCAGTCATGAAGGGGCCATAGTTCCCCCATGCTGGCTCAGGAATTCTGGGAGTTGAAGTCCAGAAGTCATCAAGGGGTCATAGTTCCCTCACGCTGGCTGAGGAATTCTGGGAGTTGAAGTCCACCAGTCATGAAGGGGCCATAGTTCACCCATGCTGGCTCATGAATTCTGGGAGTTGAAGTTCATGAGTCATCAAGGGAGCCATAGTTCCCCCATGCTGGCTGGGGAATTCTGGGAGTTGAAGTCCAGGAGTCCTCAAGGGGGCCATCGTTCCCCCATGCTGGCTGGGGAATTCTGGGAGTTGAAGTCCACCAGTCATCAAGGGAGCCATAGTTCCCCCATGCTGGCTCAGGAATTCTTTTCGGAACCATGACACCAAGGTTGCCTACCCCTGGTGTAGAGTTTCCTGCCAGAGCAGGGGGTTGGACTAGATGACCTCTAAGGTCCCTTCCAACTTTATTATTGTTGTTGTTGTTACTATTATTATTGTTAGGCAGAACTCCACGGCTCTCATCGACCTCGTTTGACGCTGGAGGAAAAGGACCTTCCCCTCCCTCCCTGACCCCCGGAGCCCTGGCTGAAAGCAGCCCCACCTGGACACCCCCTCACCTTCTGCAGAAACCTGCCCCCCCTCTTCCTGTGGAGGACGACAGCCGTTTGGGGGGTCCCCTCCCCGCCTCGCCCGCTCTCCGGTCCTGGCTGCAGCATCACCGCCAGGCGGGCCAGCGTCTTCAGCACCTCCAGCTGGGCGGGCGGGTGCAAATCCTCGTGGACGAGGGCCACCATCCGGACAACGTTCAGCCCTGGGGGGGGGGGCGAGAGAAGGTTTTTGAGGACATCCCAAGGCAGGGATTTCTCCAGAAAGGTCAGGATTCACGCAGACCTTGGTCAGGATTCACGGAGAACGCCCATGTTTGAAGACCCCCTGCCTTATACCACCCCCAGACAAATGGCCCTCCTTCTTTTGGCTAAATCAGTTTTTTGGGGAAAGTTTCGGACGGGTGGGCTTCAACGCCCAGAATTCCCGGGCGCTAACCCAGTCCTTTTGATATGTACACCTATTTGTGGCCTGCTTACTCTCTTGTAGTCCCTTCCTCTGCAGTCTCTCCGCTTTATGGGAGAGGGGGGGGGGAATCGGGGCGCGATGGAAATCCTGATCCGTGCCCAAAGTGAGCTTCCTGGTGGAGTAAATGCCGAGGAAATTCCTGACTTGTGTCTCAATTTGATTGCTGTGTTTTGAAGGCTGTCTGCCGCCCGTCTGGTATCCCGAGATCCAGTCGGCATGGATCCTTAAGCGACCCCATAAAAAGAGATTTACGCCACCCCGGATATGGGGCTTGTGGGCTCAAACTCAGCCGGAAAGTTTGACTTCCTCCCACTTCGGCAGCAAAAGAGTTAGAGCAGTGGTTCTCAACCTTTTTAATGCCGCGACCCCCAACTGGTCGTAAGTCGAGGACTACTCAACCGGTCGTAAGTCGAGGACTACTCAACTGGTGCAGCACCGTTGGCAGGATGGGACTTTTGGCGGGCTCAGCAGGGCAGAGACAGCCTGGACAATTCCTATTGGCTTTGGAAAGCCAATAGAATTAGACTCTATTCAAGAGAGTCTCTTCTATTGGCTTTCGAAAGCCAATAGAATAAAAGGGAGGAGCACAGCGAAGGAAAAGGGGGAAAAAATGGCGGACTGCGTTGTTTGGCGACCCCCGTGAAATGGTCGTTTGACCCCAAATGGGGTCCCGACCCACAGGGTGAGAACCACTGAGTTAGGGTCTTCGGGCCCCTAGCTATACAGACGGTCCTCGTCTTACAACACTTAGTGGCCGAGATTACAACGGCAACGAATAGAGTCACCCAGGGCCGTTTTTCACACTTACGACCGCTGTAGCGTCCCAGAGTCACGAGATCAACGTTCGGACGCTTGCCAACCGACTCGTATTTACGACGGTCGCCGTGTCCCGGGGTCACGCCATCCCCTTCTGTGACCCTCTGACAAAGCAAAGTCGATGGGGAAGGCGGATTTGCTTAACGACCAGTTACTGATTTAACTGCAGTGATTCACCTAACAACCGAGGCAGAAAAGTGTCGTAAAGAGGGGCAAAACTCACTAGACAAATTTCTCACCTAGCGATATAAATGTTGGGCTTCACTGTGGTCGTAAGGTGAGGATTGCCTGTGCAGGTTTTCTTCTATTCAAGAGCCAGTGGGGTAAAGGGGTTAAGGCGCTGATCTAGAAAGCAGGAGACTGCGAGTTCTAGTTTCGCCTTAGGCACGAAAGTCGGTTGGGTGACTTTGGACCAATCACCAGGAGACGGTGAGTTCTAGTCCCGCCTTAGGCATGAATGCTGACTGGTTGACTAAGCCAATCAGCGGGAGACGGGGAGTTCTAGTCCCGCCTTAAGCATGAAAACTGGCTTGGTGACTTTGGACCAATCACCAGGAGACAGTGAGTTCTAGTCCCGCCTTAGGCATGAAAGCCCACTGGGTGACTCTGTGCCCAGCACTAGGAGACAGTAAGTTCTAGTCCCATTTTAAGTATGAAAGCTGGTTGGGTGATTTTGGGCCAATCACCAGGAGACGGTGAGTTCTAGTCCCACCTTAGGCATGAAAGCTGGCTGGTTGACTTTAAGCCAATCAGCGGGAGACGGGGAGTTCTAGTCCCGCCTTAGGCATGAAAACTGGCTTGGTGACTTTGGACCAATCACCAGGAGGCGGTGAGTTCTAGTCCCGCCTCAGGCGTGAATGCTGACTGAGCCAATCATCAGGAGACGGTGAGTTCTAGTCCCGCCTTAGGCATGAAAACTGGCTTGGTGACTTTGGACCAATCACCAGGAGACGGTGAGTTCTAGTCCCGCCTCAGGCGTGAATGCCGACTGAGCCAATCAGCAGGAGACAGTGAGTTCTAGTCCCGCCTTAGGCATGGGCGACATTGAGTCAGTCCCTCTCCTTCAGCCCAGCCCACCTCACAGGGCTGTTGTTTCAGGGAAGAGCAGAGCCAGGAATAGCTCGAGTGATTTATAAAGGCAAGATAAAAATCGAATAGTAAAGAAAAGCTAAACAAATTGCTGAAAAAGATCCAAGGAAACCTGGACCGGATCAAAAAACCCACCACCAATATTGTCAGCAGCCCCCCCCCCCACGTGCCCCCCCCTTCGCTCACCAGCAGCACTGGCTCTCCTGGGCAGCTGTGCCAACACCTGGCAGACGGAGGGGAAGGGAAGACGGAGGAGCAGCCAGCTGAGGGAGTCCAGCACCACCGTGGCAGATCCCGGGGAGGCTGCGGCCAGGCGGGAGGCCAATTGCGAAGCGGAGAATTCTCCCAGGGTCAAGGCGCTCCCCCTCCCGGACCAGCCCAGGGGATCTGGGAAAGCATCGTGGAACAAGATCCTGGAAGGAGAGCGAGCGACAGGTAAGACCTTGACGTACGACCGCAGCCGAGCCCAACGTTTCTGTCGCTAAACGAGACGTTTGCCCCCCATTTTACGGCTTTTCTGGCTACAGCTTTAGAGAATAATAATAATAATAATAATAATAATAATAAGAATAATAATAAGAATAGGAAGAGGAAGAGGAAGAGGAAGAAGAAGAAGTAGTAGTAGTAGTAGTAGTAGTAGTAGTAGTAGTAGTTGGATGGGACCTTGGAGGTCATCTAGTCCAACCCCCTGCTCAGGAAACCCTATACCATTTCGGACAAATGGCTGTTCAAGTCTCTTCTTTAAAATTTCCAGTGTTGGAGCTTTCACCGCTTCTGGAGGCAGGTTGTTTCACTGGTTAATTGTTCTCGCTGTCGGGAAATTTCTCCTTAGTTCTAGGTTGCTTCTCTCCTTGATGAGTTTCCATCCGTTGCTTCTCATCCTGCCTTCAGGGGCTTTGGAGAATAGCTTGATTCCCTCTTCTTTGGGGCAGCCCCTAAGATACTGGAAGGCTGCTATCCTATCCCCTCCTCGTCCTTCTCTTCGTTAAACTAGACATGCCCAATTCCAGCAACCGTTCCTTATATGCTTTAGCCTCCAGTCCCCTGATCCTCTTTGTTGCTCTTCTCTGCATTTTTTCTAGAGTCTCAACATCTTTTTTACATTGGGATGACCAAAACTGGATGCCGTATTCCAAGTGTGGCCTTACCAAGGCCTTGTAAAGTGGTATTAACACTTCACGTGATCTTGATTCTATCCCTCTGTTAATGCAGCCCAGCACTGTGTTGGCCTTTTTGGCAGCTGCAGCACACGGCTGGCTCCTATTTAAGGGATCGTCCACTAGGACTCCGAGATCCCCTCACAGTTGCTACTATTGAGCAAGGTAGATAAACTTTATTGTCATTTTTTTTCCCGTGGGCACAACGGCACCTATTAAAAATGACAATGAGTGGCTTCCTCCCCAGGTACATAATGCACATTTAAAACCTACTATATACAACGTGTATATAGACCTACATCCTTACGTATAAGTAACATGTAAATATTATTCATTTTTCATCTTGAATACGTCACGGAAAGAGGAAGCGAATCACTGCAGGAGTTAAATCACACAGCGCTAAGTGAGTCTGGCTTCGCCCGTTGACTTTACTTGCCGGAAGGTCGCACAATGTGTATTTTGGACATTATATTTTGTTATGAATTGAGGCGAGGAAATTATAAACATCAAAGGTTCAATTGGAATATTGATGAAAGACTAAAAACTGGGCAAAAATTAACAACAGGACATGGACTGTTTATGAAGATTGAATGTAGTTAAGATAGGTATCGGCTAAAAATTTATTGATAAACGTAATCATGATGTTTTTTATTGAGTTGATATAACTCGAATTGTACTAGCAGGAATACGAGACATATAAACGTAATCATGATTTTTTTTATTGAGTTGATACAACTAGAATTGTACTAGCAGGAATACGAGACAGTGAATGTGAAGGGAAAAAGAGAAGAAATATCTGATGTGGCAGCCTGAGATTTGCACTAAAGATTTGGTTATCGAAGTATTGATTAACCCCGTCGCCACATTGCCTTTTTAAATACTTAAATGTAAAACTGTAAAATTAATAAACTGTTATAAATAAATAAATAAATACGAGTCATTTGCCAAGAAGCCAAATTTTGATCGTGGGGACGCTGGGACAGTCGCAAGTGTGAAAAACTGCGGGAAAGTCGGTTTTTGGAGGGCTGTTTTAACTCTGAACGGTCGCTTAAAGGAATATTTGTCTCTCAAGAGCTAAAACGAGGAATCCTCGGTGCTCTCCGAGCTTGGTGGTTTTCTGGCAGAACTATCCATTCTCAGCGCTAAACAATCAGAACCTGGGGCTTGCCTTGTGCGGCTTGCTGGCTGTGTACACCACACACTGAACCGCAAAAACAAGCCACCCACACAAATCCAGAAAGCCGAGTGGAAGGAAGCTCATTTCACATTGGCGAGCGCCAAAGTTTTTTTTTTTCCCAACTAAATGTTGGCCTCATTTCTGGACTGACACACAGTTGCCGTTCCCCGCTTTTGAATCACACACACACACACACACACACACACACACACACAAGTACAAATTTAGGACTTACCGGGAGGTCACTTCAGAGCTCAGCCCAGCCTTGAATTCCAATTCTGGCAGCTCAAAGCTGAGAACGTGGATGGACTCTACCCTAAGAGAAGAAAAGCCAGATGTGTTTTAGGTTTCTGTAATTCCTAAATGGAAAGACTGTATTGGTCCTGGCAGCTGAATGTAGGTTAGTCCACTCTATTTTGTTCCCCGTAGCTATCTATCTATCTATCTATCTATCTATCTATCTATCTATCTATCTATCTATCTATCTATCTATCTATATCCATCTATCCATCCATCCCTCTCCTCTGTCTCCATCCTATCTATCTATCTATCTATCTATCTATCTATCTATCTATCTATCTATCTACCTATCTATCTATCTACTGTCTGTCTGTCTGTCTGTCAATTTACCTACCTACCTATCCATCCATCCAACCCCATCCATCCGGAGAGGGAGGACCTCTGCAGCAGTATGGACTACAATGTTCATCAACCCCAGCAGTATGGGAAAGATGAGTGGCTGATGTGGAATTGTGAGGTGCAGCGCAGAGTCACTTACTTGGCAGAGGAATAGGCGGAATACAAATTTAATAATAAATAAAAAAACAAATACCCATTTCCCACAGAAACCCGACAGCTAGTGGGCAACCCATTTGTGGGCTGGCATCAAGCAGTCCCGGATGTTTTGCCAAGCCAGATGGGTGGGTGGCCTATCGATTTGATACAGCAACGAATTCAAAGCCTCTCAACTCACCGCTGGGCGGCAGCCACGACGAAGCTCTTCAGCAGGGGGCGCCCTTCGCAAGCAACGGAATCTGCGCCAGGGAAGAAGCCAAATAAGTCCTTTAGGTTAAGCTCAGTTTTCGTATAGTTCTCAATGATCTTTTAATTCTGTGCTCTTTTAATTTTTATAACTATTTTTTTACTCCTTTTATAATCTGCAAGCTCCTCTGCATGTGATAAACTAGGAGGAAATCCCCTGCAGTGAGGAATGGGAAGCCACCAGGAGAAGCCCTGCATGCAACAGACCACTAGATCAGAGGTCCCCAATCCCCGGTCCGTGGACCGGCACTGGGATGCAGCATGCCAGGAACTGGGCCACGCAAACAAATGAAGCCCCACGTGCGGGATGCAAGCAGCATTTGAAACCATGCCCCCTCTCCTCCTCCGGTCCACCAAATCCCTCGTGCTCAAAAGGTTGGGGGCCACTGCAGTAGAAGGTCCCGTGAGGGGATGGGAGGCCACCAGGAGATCCCCTGGAGGGAATGGGAAGCTATCAGGAGATCTTCTGCATGCGATAAGACAACCAGACCTCTGAAGGGGATGGCAGGCCACCAGGTGACCCCCTGCATGCGACAGACTGCGGGGAGATCCCCTGAAGGGGATGGAGGCCCATCAGGAGATCCTCTGCATGCGGGAAGACCACCGGATCCCCTGCAGGGGGGATGGGAGGCCACCAGGGGATCCTCTGAATGCGATAGAGCACCAGGAGATCCTGCGCAGGGAGGGATGGGAGGCCACCAGGAGATTCCGCCCAGCTTTAAGCTAGCCACCAGTAGCAATCCCCGTTCCTATTTGGGCTAAGAAGCCCCTCCCCCTGTCCCATGAAGGGGGGGCGCCCCTCCACAGCAGAGGGGGGGGCAGCAGGGCCAGGCCGGGTGTGGGGGGGAAGCCTCGGCCTCAAGAGGGGCCCCTCCGCCCCGGGCCGGCCGCTCACCCCGGATCAGGATGAGCCCCTCGGCGGCCCCCGAGAGCAGCGCCTCCACCATCCCCGCGCGGCTCTTCGCTCCGGCAGGCGCCGCCCGCGCGCTCCGATGACGTCACCGAACGGCCGCCCGAAAACGCCACAGCCGAGAAAGGACCCTGCGCGCCCCCTGCCGGCGGGCACCTCCATCGCCGCGGAAGGCCATAGGTGGCTAACCGAGTGCCTGATTGGGGGGGGGAAACCCCGCTTTGAGCGTTTTTGACTTTTTGCCTTCGAAAGGAGTTGTGGGGGGGGCGCAGAAGAGAGGTTTCGGCGCCATGTCGGCTCTTCTTAAAGCAAAACACAAAAGACGCTCCAGATTTTGCACCTCCTCCTCCTCTCGCCGGACCCTACAAAGCCCGTGGGGCGCGCGCGAGAAGGGCCGGGCGGCCACGGCTCTCCCAGCCCCGTCCCGTGAGCGACCACAACCTCCGCACACCACCCCCCCCCCAGACGGTCCCTTTGAGGGAAGGCCAGCCGCCACAAACAACCCCTCGGCCGTCGAGCGCGACGCCGTTGCTAAGCTGAGGGTCTCGTTGCCAAGGACGGCCGTCAAGCGCGGCGGCGCTACTACCAGGCGGCCGGTTGGCCCCTCCGGCCGGCAAGAGCGAAGATATTGCTAGGCAACAGCCGCCCGTCGTAAAAGACATTTGTCAAGCTAGGCAGGGGGCCGGTCGTCAAGCGCGGCCGTCAAGCGCGGCGTCGTTGCTAGGCTGGGGGCCGGTAGCCAAGCGGGCCCGTCAAGCGCGGCGCCGTTGCTAGGCAGGGGGCCGGTCGTCAAGCGCAGCCGTCAAGCGCGGCGCCGTTGCTAGGCAGCGGGCCGGTCGTCCAGCGCGGCCGTCAAGCGCGGCGTCGTTGCTAGGCAGGGGGCCGGTCGTCCCGCGCGGCCGTCAAGCGCGGCGCCGTTGCTAGGCAGTGTCCGGTCGCCCCGCGCGGCCGTCCAGCGCGGCGCCGTTGCTAGGCAGGGGGCCGGTCGTCCCGCGCGGCCGTCAAGCGCGGCGCCGTTGCTAGGCAGGGCCGCCGCTGCTCCCGCGCGGCCGCCAAGCGCCAGCATGTTGCTAGGCAGAGCGGCGCGTCGTCCTGCGCGGCCGTCAAGCGCGGCGGTGGCGGCGGCGGCCGCGGCGGCGACATGCCCCTCTGCCGTAAAGCGCGGCCGGGCGCCCTGCTGCTGCGGGGGCCTGGTCGGGGCGGGATGCTGGGCGGAGGCGGTGGCGGCGGCGGGGGAGGGGGCGGCGGCGGGGGGGCCTCCCCGCCGCCGCTGCTGCACCCGCGGACGGGACGGCTGGTGACGGTGTCGCGGGGCGGGCGGAGCGCGGCTCGCTCGCAACCCGGCCAGGAGTTCAACCACGGGCTGGTGCTGAGCCGGGAGCCCCTCGCCCCGGGCGCCGTCTTCACCGTCCGCATCGACCGCAAGGTGAGGCCCGGGGCTGCGGGGGGGGAGGGGGAGCAAGGGAGGGGAGGGGTCCCCAGAGGAAGGCCGAGGCAATGGTGGGGGGGCCTTGGGGATGGAGATGCGCTGTGGGAGGGGGGGAGAGCCTGGAGGGGTCTTAGGGGAGGGGGCTGCAGGAGGGAGGGGAGGGGTCCCGAGATGGCCAAGGAAGGGGGGGGTCTTGGGGATGGACATGTGCTGTGGGAGGGGGGAGAGCCTGGGGGTCGCAGGGGAGGAAGAGGAGGAGGGGAGGGGGTCCCCAGACGAAGGCCGGGGAAGTGGGGGGGGCTTGGGGATGGGGATGCGCTGTGGGAGGGGGAGAGGCTTGGGGGTGTAGAGGGGGGGCTGCAGGAGGGAGGGGAGGGTCCCGAGATGGCCAAGGAAGGAGGGGAGGTCTTGGGGATGGACATGCGCTGTGAGAGGGGGGAGAGCCTTGGGGGTCGCAGGGGAGGAAGAGGAGGAGGGGAGGGGTCCCCAGACGAAGGCCGAGGAAGTGGGAGGGGGGTCTTGGGGATGGAGATGCGCTGTGGGAGGGGGAGCCTTGGGGGTCTTAGGGGAGGGGGCTGCAGGAGGGAGAGGAGGAGGGGAGGGGTCCCCAGAGGAAGGCCGAGGAAGTGGGGGGGGGTCTTGGGGATGGACATGCCCTGTGGGAGGGGGGAGAACCTTGGGGGTGTAGAGGGGGGTCTGCAGGAGGGAGGGGTGGGTCTCGAGATGGCCAAGGAAGTGGGGGGGGGTCTTGAGGACAGAGATGCACTGTGGGAGGGGGATAAACTTGGGGGTTTCAGTAGGGGGGCTGCCAGAGGGAGGGGAGGGGTCCCCAGATGAAGGCCGAGGCAATAGTGGGGGGGGCCTCTTGGGGATGGAGATGTGCTGTGGGAGGGGGGACAACCTTGGGGGTTTCTGGAGGAGGCTGCAGGAGGGAGGGGTCCCCAGAGGAAGGCCGAGGAAGTGGGGGGGGTCTTGGGCCTGGAGATGCTCTGTGGGAGGGGGGAGAGCCTTGTGGGTCTTAGGGGAGGGGGCTGCAGGCAGGAGAGAGGGGTCCCCAGATGATGCCAGTGGTGGTGGGGGGTCGTAGAGGAGGGGTCTGCAGGAGCAGAGCCAGGAAAGTGGGGGGGGAGTCTTGGGGATGGAGAGGGCGCACTATGAGAGGGGGGAGACCCTTGGGGGGGTCGCAGGGGAAAGGGCCAGATGAGCAGAACAGGGGAGGGTCTTCAGGAGGAGGACTGCTCCCCAAATGAGGGTGGGGGGCTTGGGGGATGGAACTGGGCAGCTGCCCTCCCCCTCCTCCCTCGGAAGGGGGCAGAGCCTCGGGATCATGTGGGAGGGGTCCTCAAAAGAAAGGAGGCCACAGGGAGATCTTGGCTGATGGAGATGGGCAGCTGCCCTCTGTGCTCAGAGCCTCAGGGCTGGCGGGGGAGAGGCTGGAGGTGCAGAGCTGCCCCCCCTTGGGGAGGAAAGAGGATACCCCTCCTCTTATTCCCCCCAACCCCCCCCCATTTCTTCCCAACACCTGTCCTTTCCCTTTCCCACTTATCGCTCTCCGGGTTGCAAAAGGGGGGAGGCAAAGAAAGAGACCACCAGGGACCCCCACTCAGAAAACACTCCCAGAACCCAGGGTGGCTTTCCCAAACCCCCCCAACCCAGACTGGGGGTCTCAGAAAGCTTGACCCCCCCCTCCCCAGAATTCCCCAAAACTGCCTCTTCGCAGGAATCTGACGGGTCTAAGTTCTCCCTAAGCCCCATTTGCGGGCGTCGAGTGCGAATCCCGCTTTTAACAAGATTTTATTTTAACCAGTGGTTGACCACCTCTGGGTCGGGACCCCATTTGGGGTCGAACGACCATTTCACGGGGGTCGCCAAACGCAGTCCGCCATTTTTTTCCCCCTTTTCCTTAGCTGGGCTCCTCCCTTTTATTCTATTGGCTTTTGAAAGCCAATAGAAGAGACTCTCTTGAATAGAGTCTCATTCTATTGGCTTTCCAAAGCCAATAGGAATTGTCCAGGCTGTCTCTGCCCTGCTGAGCCTACCAAAAGTCCCATTCTGCAAACGGTACTGCACCAGTTGAGTAGTCCTCGACTTACGACCGGTTGAGTAGTCCTCGACTTACGACCGGTTGGGGGTCGCGGCATTAAAAAGGTTGAGAACCACTGATTTTAACAGACTGGACAGTCGCCGGTCTGAGATGGTCAAGGCCCTCCTGGTGGAGCAGGGGGCTGGACTAGACGACCTCCAAGGCCCCTTCTGGTTTCTATTCCGTTCTCTTCCTGTTTCCCTCAGGTCAACTCCTGGAGCGGATCCCTGGAGATCGGAGTGACCGCCCTGGACCCCAACCACCTGGACTTCCCCAGCAGCGCCACCGGCCTCAAGGGGGGCTCCTGGATCATTTCTGGATGCTCCGTCCTGCGCGACGGGCGCTCCATCCTGGAGGAATACGGGCAGGACCTGGACCAGCTGGGCGAAGGCGACCGGGTGGGCGTCCAGCGGACGGCCGGCGGGGAGCTGCGCCTCTGGGTCAACGGGCAGGACTGCGGCGTGGCGGCCACCGGCATCCCTCCCCGGGTCTGGGCCGTGGTCGACCTCTACGGCAAGTGCACCCAGATCACGGTGGTGCCGGGAAGCCCGGTGGAGGAGGAGGCGGAAGAAGGAGCCTCTCACGATGAAGGTAGCCCCCCCCAAAAAACCGGAGAATTGTTGGGGCAAACAGAAAGATAACCAGGGCAGGTGTAGCGCCAGGTGTGAGTGATAGAATCCAGAATAAGAGAGTTGCGTTGCCTTTCAAATATTCAAATGTAGAAACTAGAAAACCAATACAATTTTCTTTTAAAAAAAGGAAGAATAACAAAGCTGGAAGGGATCTCGGAGGTCTTCTAGTCCAACCCCCCCCCTGTCCAGGAAGGAGACCCTATTACCTCCCAACAGTGAGAACAATTAGCCAGTGGAACCACCTGCCTCCAGAAGCAGTGAATGCTCCAACACGGGAAGTTTTTAAGAAGAGCCTGGACAGCCATTTGTCTGGAATGGTGTAGGGTATCCTGCCTGAGCAGGGGGTTGGACTAGATGACCTCCAAGGTCCTTTCCAACTCTATTATCCTTTTATTTCTCCTCATCCTCCTCTTTAAAAATAATAATAATGATAAAGTTGGAAGGGACCTTAGAGGTCATCTAGTCCAACCCCCTGCTCAGGCAGGAAACCCTATACCATTTCAGACAAAGGGCTGTCCAGGCTATTCTTAAAAACTTCCAGTGTTGGAGCATTCACCGTTTCTGGAGGCAGGTGGTTCCACTGGTTAATTGTTCTCACTGTCAGGAAGTTTCTCCTTAGTTTCAGGTTGCTTCTCTCCTTGCTTAGTTTCCATCCGTTGCTTCTTGTCCTGCCTTCAGGCGCTTTGGAGAACAGCTTGACTCCCTCTTCTTTGGGGCAGCCCCTGAGATAATGGAAGACTGCTATCATGTCCCCCCTCGACCTTCTCTTCATTAAACTAGACATACCCAATTCCAGCAACCATTTCTTATATGCTTTCCTTATATGTTTAAGAAGAGACTGGACAGCCATTTGTCCGAAATGGTATATAGGGTTTCCTGTCTGAGCAGGGGGTTGGACTAGATGACCTCCAAGGTCCCTTCCAAATTCTTCTTGTTATTGTTGTTATTATTGTTATTGTTGTTATTGTTATTTAGACGTCAGCCTTGGTCAACTGAACATTCAAATTACTAGTATTGTTATTATTTTATATTATTATTGTTATTATTTGTCTGAAATGGTCTGAGCAGGGGGTTGGACTAGATGACCTCCAAGATCCCTTGCAACTTGTTGTTGTTGTTGTTGTTATTTAGACATCAACCTTGGTCAACTGAACATTCAAATCATTATTAGTATTGTTATTATTTTATATTGTTGCTGCTGTTATTATTCATTAGACGTGAACCTCAGTCAACTGAACATTCAAATTATTAGTATTGTTATTGTTATTATTTTATATTATTATTGTTGCTGTTGTTATTATTATTTGTCTGAAATGGTATGGGGTTTCCTGCCTGAGCAGGGGGTTGGACTAGATGACCTCCAAAGTCCCTTCCAACTTTATTATTATTATTGTTATTATTCATTAGATGTGAACCTCAGTCAACTGAACATTCAAATTATTACTTACTATTACTACTACTACTACTACTACTATTAATATTATTATTATTATTATTATTAGCTACCCCTGGGGGGGCTTCTGGGCTGCAGGTGGCTGGGCACACTTTACATCTGAAGGGCAGGAATTGAAAGCACCCAGCGGGCACCAAGGCAGGTCAAACCACCGTCTCCCGCCTGGCACTCAAGATGAAGTGGGCAGTCCTGGTTAGCTGCCCCTTCAGAACCTTGAGCCACGATTCTTGGCCTGTTCCCAGCCATCATGGCCTGTGTCTGCTCTCGGAAGCACGTCTGACAGCTTTTCCTTCCTCTCCTCTTCCTCCTCCTCTGGGTAGCCCTGGAAGCGCCTTGCAACCAGACCCGGCCGGATAAATTTCCCAGCAGCCTGGAATCGGAGAACGGTGAGTCTTCTCTCTCTCCGGGGTGCAAAAGTTGAGTTCCTCTGGGAAAAATGTGATAATTTGTAGGTGGAAGTGGTGCGCCGGCTGCCTCCCCTGGCGATAGGAAGCGCTGGTTTTCGTTACTGTTTTTATATATTATTCCCCGCGTTTATTATTCTTATCAAGAGCTCAAAGAAGCGAATGTAATTACTACTGCTCCTTCCTGTTCCCCCCCCCACAACAACAACCCTGTGGGGTGGGGCGAACTGTGAGAGAGGGATTGCCCAGAGTTACCCAGATAGCTGTCATCTAGCTGGCTTTCACGCCTAAGGCAGCACTAGAGTTCACCATCTCCTGGTTATTGTGCAAAGTCACCTAGCTGTCTTTCACGATAAGGTAGCACTAGAACTCACCGTCTCCTGGTGATTGGCCCAAAGTCACCCAACTGGCTTTCATGGCTAAGGTGGGACTAGAACTCACCGTCTCCTGGTGATTCGCCCAAAATCACCTAGCTGCCATTTATGGCTAAGGTGGAACTAGAATTCACCTTCTTCTGGTGATTGGCCCAAAGTCACCTAATTGGTTTTCATGGGTAAGGCGGGACTAGAACTCACCATCTCCCGGTAATTGACTCAAAGTCACCCAGCCGGTTTTCATGCTTAAGGCGGGACTAGAACTCCCCGTCTCCCGGTGATTGGCCGAAGGTCACCTAGTTGCCTTTCAGGCCTAAGGCAGGACTAGAACTCCCCGTCTCCTGGTGATTGGCCCAAAGTCACCTGGCTGCTTTCATGCCTAAGGCGGGACTAGAACTCAAAGTCACCATCTGGCTTTCATGCTTAAGGCGGAACTAGAACTCACCGTCTCCTGGTGATTGGGCCAAAGTCACCTAGCTGTCTTTCATGAGAAGATAGCACTGGAACTCACCACTTCCTGGTGATTAGTCCAAAGTCACCATCTGGGTTTCAGACCTAAGGCGGCACTAGAATTCACCATCTCCTGGTTATTGTGCAAAGTCACCTAGCTGTCTTTCATGAGAAGATAGCACTAGAATTCCCCATCTCCTGGTGATTGGTCCAAAGTCACCCAACTGGCTTTCATGGCTAAGGCGGGACTAGAACTCACCATCTCCCGGTAATTGATTCAAAGTCACCTGGCTGCCTTTCATGCCTAAGGCGGGACTAGAACTCCCCGTCTCCTGGCGATTGGCCCCAAGTCACCCAGCCGGCTTTTGTGGCTAAGGCGGGACTAGAACTCCCCGTCTCCTGGTGATTGGCCCAAACTCACCTAGCTGGCTTTCATGGCTAAGGCGGGACTAGAACTCCCCGTCTCCTGGTGATTGGCTGCTGGGGGCCCCAACGCCACGTGTTGACGTCCCACGCAAAACCCACACCCCCTCGCAGGCTTCTCCAGCATGGAGCTGTCGGAGGTGGTGAGCAACGCCATCCTGTCGGCCTACAACGGCAGCCTGCTCAACGTCAACCTGGGCAGCCCCCCCTCCGACTCGGCCCCCGGCGGAGCCCCCCCCATGACCTCCAACGACGCCCTGCTGTTCCACGAGAAGTGCGGCACGCTGATCAAGCTCAGCAACAACAACACGACGGCCGAGAGGCGCCGCCCGCTGGACGAGTTCAACAACGGTGTGGTCATGACCAACCGCCCGCTGCGGGACAACGAGATGTTTGAGGTAAAGGGGTGCTCCCGGCCCCTCCCTCCCCGCAGCAGCGCCTGGAAAACAACGAGCCCTCCCCAAATCTCCAGCAACCCCCCCCCCCCAAAAAAAGGAAGGAGCCTTTTAGACCAGTGGTTCTCCACCTGTGGGTCGGGACCCCATTTGGGGTCGAACGACCATTTCACGGGGGTCGCCAAACAACGCATATTTTTTTCCCCCTTTTCCTTAGCTGTGCTCCTCCCTTTTATTCTATTGGCTTTCGAAAGCCAATAGAATAGACTCTCTTGAATAGAGTCTAATTCTATTGGCTTTCCAAAGCCAATAGGAATTGTCCAGGCTGTCTCTGCCCTGCTGAGCCCGCCAAAAGTCCCATTGTGCAAACGGTGCTGCACCAGTTGAGTAGTCCTTGACTTACGACCGGTTGGGGGTCGCGGCATTAAAAAGGTTGAGAACCACTGTTTTAGAGCACTTTTTTTTCTCAATCTGGGCAACTTTACGACCTCTGGACTTCAAAACTCTCAGACTTCTCCAGCCAGCTAAGCTGGATTTCAGGCCTAAGGCGGGACTAGAACTCACCGTCTCCTGGTGATTGGCCCAAAGTCACCCAGCTGGCTTTCCTGCCGAAGGGGGGACTAGAACTCAGTCTCCTGTGATTGGCCCAAATTCACTCAGCTGACCTTCTTGTCTAAGGCAGGATTAGAACTCCCCGTCGCCTGGTGATTGGCCCAAAGTCACCCCGTCAGCTTTCCCTCCTAAGGCAGGACTAGAACTCACCGTCTCCTGGTGATTGACCCAAAGTCACTAGCTGACTTTAAGGCAGGACTAGAACTCACTGCCTCCTGGTGATTGACCCAAAGTCACTAGCCGGCTTTCCTGGCTAAGGTGGGACTAGAACTCCCTGTCTCCTGGTGATTGGCTCAGTCAGCCAGCCAGCTTTCCTGGCTAAGGCAGGACTAGAATTCGCCATCTCCTGGTGATTGACTCAAAGTCCCTTAGCTGACTTTCCTGCCTAAGGCAGGACTAGAACTCGCCATCTCCTGGTGATCGGCCCAAAGTCACCCAGCCGGCTTTTGGTCCCAAAGGCGGGACTAGAACTCACCAGCACCTAATTTCCAGCCTGCTGTCTTAACCACTAGACCCAGCTAGTGGACTCTGCTGAGTAGAATTGTTGAATCGACAGCGAATCGAGCAAGGGGGGATTCTGGGAGTTGAAGTCCATGACTCGCAAAGATGGAGAGCAAGGCTGTTTTAGAGCAGTGGTTCTCAACCTTTTTAATGCCGCGACCCCCAACCAGTCGTAAGTCGAGGACTACTCAACCGGTCGTAAGCCGAGGACTACTCAACCGGCCGTAAGTCGAGGACTACTCAACTGGTGCAGCACCGTTTGCAGAATGGGACTTTTGGCGGGCTCAGCAGGGCAGAGACAGCCTGGACAATTCCTATTGGCTTTGGAAAGCCAATAGAATTAGACTCTACTCAAGAGAGTCTCTTCTATTGGCTTTCCAAAGCCAATAGAATAAAAGGGAGGAGCACAGCTAAGGAAAAGGGAGAAAAAAAATGGCGGACTGCGTTGTTTGGCGACCCCCGTGAAATGGTCGTTCGACCCCAAATGGGGTCCCGACCCACAGGTGGAGAACCGCTGGTTTAGAGAGAAAGAGAGCTTCCCGGGAAAAAAAACAACAGGGAGTTCCAGGCGCCGGTTTCCTTCCCCAGATCCGCATCGACAAGCTGGTGGACAAGTGGTCGGGCTCCATCGAAATCGGCGTCACCACCCACAACCCCAACAACCTGGAGTACCCCGCCACCATGACGAACCTGCGCTCAGGTGACTTCCCCACTCGTGCGTATCCAGGGCGGGAGAGAGGGATACCTGACCACCTTTTGGGGGGGGGAGGGTCCGGGGGGGTCTCCGTCACGGAGAGGGCCCGGGGGTGGGGAGTCACAGCAGCCGGCCCTTGTCCCCCACTCAGTTCTTCTTGTCATGCTCCACTCAACCCACGAAGGCACCATCATGATGAGCGGCTGCGGGATCCTGACCAACGGCAAAGGGACTCGGCGGGAATACTGCGAGTTCAGCCTGGATGAGTTGCAGGTGAGCGGAAAGGCCCTCCTCCCCTTTTCACACAACCCCCCCCCATCCCACATTTTCCACGCAGGAACTCCCCACCCTGCTTTCTCTGCCTCCCGCAGGAAGGCGACCACATCGGCTTGACCCGGAAGTCGAACAACGCTCTCCATTTTTACATCAACGGCATCGACCAAGGTGGGCACCGTCTCGGGTGGCGGAGCGTGTGTGTGTGCGTGTGAAACCCTGCGGGCCTTTTGGGGATTCAGAGACCCGGAGAAGGGCTGGGGAGAGGGGAGGAGGGGGCGCTACGTTCCTTCAATTGCTGTACATGGGGCTACCCTTGAAGAGCGTTCGGAGGCTGCAGTTGGTTCAGAATGCAGCCACGAGAGCGATTGTGGGCGCGCCAAGGTACGCCTACGTGTCACCTATCCGCCGCGAGCTGCACTGGCTTCCTGTGGGTCTCTGGATGCAATTCAAGGTGTTGGTTGTCACCTTTAAAGCCCTTCATGGCTTAGGACCAGGTTACTTACAGGACCGCATTCTGCCGCACAGTTCCCAGAGACCGGTGAGGTCCCACAAATTGGGCCTCCTTCAGGTCCCGTTGGCCAGACAATGTCAGCCGGCGGGCCCTCGGGGAAGGGCCTTTTCTGTGGTGGCTCCGACCTGGTGGAATCAACTTCCCCCTGAGATTTGAACTACTCCCACCTTGCTGGCCTTCAAGAAAGCCATTAAAACTCTCCTGTTCCGGCAGGCCTGGGGTTGACGTCCCCGGGGGGGGGGGGGGCCGGGACACGATTGGGACATGCTGTATGAATGCACTCATTTTTATTGTTATATTTATTGTTTTAATTTTGTATGCCGCCCTGAGTCCCTAGGGATTGGGTGGCCTATAAATTTTATTAATAAATAAATAAATAAATAAATTACGACGTTTTGGCCCCAAAACCAGCCTCGGCTTCCCGTCGTCAGAATTGACTTTAACTTTTGGGGAGTCCCGTGACCGGGCGGTGTTCCCTCTCTTGACAGGCGTGGCCACCACCCTCACCCCCTTGGTGGTCTACGGGGTGGTGGACCTCTACGGCATGGCGGTGAAGGTCACCATCGTGCACAACCACAATCACACCGACCGCCTGCGGCGCAACAACGCCATCATGAGGGCCCTCTCGCCCGACGTGGGCCGGCGGGCCATCGACGCCGGAGGGGGCACCGAGCCGGAACCGGAACGTCTTCTCTTCCACCCAAACTGTGGCCAGAAGGCAGCCATCATCAACGAAGGACGGACGGCCCTGCGGCCTCAGTACGTACCTTCGTCCCTGGCTCTATTGAATCGGGATTTAATTATTAAACTTATGGGCCACCCCTTGCCTTGCTCAGTTTTAACCATGAGGACTAGGAAGATCCCAGCTGCTCCGCCTTCAGGAGGGTTGCCAAGCCGCACAAAAGGACCCACAGCTGTGACTAAGCAAGAAAGAAGAGAAGGAAGCAAGAAGGGGACAGGGTTATGGCGGGGAAAGAGTGTTGTGTGAACTAAATTGGTGTCTAAAGCGTATTTGGGTCCAACCGTGGCAACTCTTTAAGACCTGTGGACTTCAACTCCCAGAATTCCCCAGCCAGCAAGAGTTTACCGCAGTGGTTCTCAACCTTTTTAACGCCGCGACCCCCAACCGGTCGTAAGTCGAGGACTACTCAACCGGTCGTAAGTCGAGGACTACTCAACTGGTGTAGCACCATTTGCAGAATGGGGCTTTTGGCGGGCTCAGCAGGGCAGAGACAGCCTGGACAATTCCTATTGGCTTTGGAAAGCCAATAGAATTAGACTCTATTCAAGAGAGTTTATTCTATTGGCTTTCAAAAGCCAGTAGAATAAAAGGGAGTAGCACAGCTAAGGAAAAGGGGGGAAAATGGCAGACTGCGTTGTTTGGCGACCCCCGTGAAATGGTCGTTCGACCCCAAATGGGGTCCCGACCCACAGGTTGAGAACCACTGGTTTATTCATCCCGGAGGGGAGAAGTACAAATGTGGCTAGACTACTTACTCCACATTATCGCGTTATTTTGACAGGGTAACTGGCTTAATTCAGCTTATCCTTGATGTATGACTACAATTTTGAGTCCGAAAATTCTGTCGTTAAGTGTTTTGATCTCAACACTGGCCGTAAATCAAGGACCACCTGTGGCTTCTCTGGTCCACCTCTTGGACTTTGTCCGGAGACGACCTCTAAAAAGAGAGAACTCTGCCTTTCCCTCCCTGTCCATGTAGTGCCACCGACGACTTTAACCACGGCGTGGTCCTCAGCAACCGACCGCTGCGGAACGGCGAGGTCTTCCAGGTGAGGATTGACAAGATGGTGGACAAATGGGCCGGCTCCATCGAGATTGGCGTCACCACCCACAACCCCACCTACCTGCAGCTGCCCTCCACGATGACCAACCTGCGGTCAGGTGAGAACTGGGACCTCAGTATCTTGGACGGGCGGGTCGAAGTTTGGCAACTTGAAGACCTGTGGATTAATCTTAATTAATTCATTAACCTTAAATATTCAGACCCCCTCGGAGCAGAGTTTAGAGTTAGCTTACGTAAAAGGGGCTAAAATTTTGGCCAAACCAACATTCAGGGCTTCCTTTCTGGGAATAGAAGTGGCTTACATCCTCTCTGCTTTTTTTCACCTCATCTCGGAGACGTCCCCTTTCAGCTGCTGATTTTTCTAGACTAAAGAAAAAATTTCATTTCAGAGATGTTGCCCAGACCCCATAATTCTTTGGGGTTTTGTATGACAGTGCTACAATGCCCTTTACAAAATGGGGTCACCAGAATCTATACGTGATATTCTGCAGGGTCCCATCATCTGGAACCAATCAAGTGCCTTCACTGACTGTGTGGTTGCTACGACAGGGTGGGGAGGTTTTGGCAGTGGAGATTAAACTGTAGTTTTTTTAACTCAGGTTTTTAATATAGTATACCACCTGGAGTCACTACGTGAATTGGACAGGTATATAAATCTGTTTAATAATAATAATATCCCAGGTCTTTGGGAAGGACTCAATAGGTGAATAAAAATGCCAAATCCAATCTGGAAACCTGACTGGCTTTGAAATCAGCCATAATAAAACCAAAACATCTGGACCACCACTTGTGAACACCATTGGCATTGACAAAATCTCATTGGTCAGTTGCAAAAGGCAGCTTGACTCAGTGGCATTGACAAAATCCCATCTGTCAATTGCAAAGGGCAGCTTGACTCAGAGTGGCATTGACAGAATCTCTGTCAATTGCAAAGGGCAGTTTGACTTAGAGCGGTATTAACAGATCCTTCTCTGTCAATTACAAAGGGTAGTTTAACTCAGAGTGGCATTGACAAAATCCCATCTGTCAATTGCAAAAGGCAGCTTGACTCAGTGGCATTGACAGAATCCCTTTCTGTCAATTACAAAGGACAGTTTGACTTAGAGCGGTATTGACAGATCCTTCTCTGTCAATTACAAAGGGCAGTTTAACTCAGAGTGGCATTGACAAGCTTCCTGTCTGTCAATTGCAAAGGACAGTTTGACTCAGAGTGGCATTGACCAACTCCCTGTCAGTTGCAGAATGCCATTGTAATCAGGGTGGCATTGACAGAATCCCCATCGGTGAATTGCAAAAGGCAGCTATGCTTGAAACACCCTCCATCCTGCCCAGAGACCTTTAACCCCACCCAGCGGTCACATCTGCCTCTCCCAGGTTGTTGGGAAAAACTCCAGAGGTGGATTGAAATGCCAAATCCAGTCAAAAACATCTGGCAGCCTGTGCAACGAACCGGAATCATCATCATCATCCCCGAGAACACTTTTTATTCTTTTTCCTGCCGCTTTCCTTCATTCCTTGACGACCCTCCGCGGTCGCCAAAGTTTGATGGGTGGGGAGTAAACCCGAACAGCCAGCTTGAGAGAGGAAGGAACAACTGTGTGGTCTTGAAAAAAACTGTTCTCCTCCCTCACCTGGCTGATGTGAGGTTGGTGCCCCTCCATGCCGTTCCCTTGCAGGGACCTGGATGATGACCGGGAACGGAGTGATGCATAACGGTACCACCATCCTGGATGAATACGGCCACAACCTGGATCGCTTGAAGGCAAGTGCAGAGAGGGGCAAAAAAGTTGGTGGGGGGCAGAGGAGAGGGGAACGTGGGGTGGCATTGAATGCAGGATCATAGGACTGTCTTCCAGGAAGAGCTTACGACCTCCCACTTACTGACCAAAGTTACAAAGCCGCCAAAAAAAGTGACCTTCTGACCGGTTTTCCCATTCAACAACTGTCACAGCATCCCCACGATCACCAAAATTGGCGAATGGCTCATATTTACGACGGTGTTGCCCTGTCCCGGGTCGTGTGATCCCCTTTTGCGACCTTCCAACAAAGCAAAGTCCATGGGGAAGTCAGATTCATTTAACAACCGTGTTACCCACTTAACCGCAGTGATTCACTTAACAACTGCAGCAAGAGAGGTCGTAAAATGGGGCAAGACTTACGACCAATTTTTCATTCAAGAACATAAATTCTGGACTGAACTGTAAGTTGAGGACTACCCCTATTCTGGCCCGGGCTCAAATTGCAAGTCTAAGAAGATTCCTGCGAAAGAGGCATTAAGCAATAAAGTAGCGAATCGAACTCTTCGCCTCTGGATCTGCCCTCTCACAGGCTGTTCCCCTCTCCCCCTCCCCTCCCCAGGCAGGCGACACGGTGGGCGTCGTGCGGAAGGAGGACGGGACCCTGCATTTCTTCGTCAACGGCGTGGCGCAGGGCCCAGCCGCCTGGAACGTCCCACCGAATATCTATGCCGTGGCCGATCTCTACGGTCAAGCTGCCCAAGCCACGATCATGGATGACACAGGTAGCAGACATGGAGACCACGTGGGACCGGAGTGGGCTAGGGAAAGGGGTTGAGACAGGAACAAGGAACGTGGCTTATTTTGAAACCCAGGAGATCAGGAAAAGCCAGAAGTTGGTTTACGAGTCAGGAAGGAGAAATTTCCTGACAGTGAGAACAATTAATCAGTGGAACAGCTTGCCACCAGAAGTCGTGGGCGCTCCATCACTGGAGGCTTTTAAAAAGAGACTGGACAACTACTTGTCTGAAATGGTATAGGCCTATACCACAGGTCGGCAACCTGCGGCTCCGGAGCCGCATGCAGCTCTTTGAGCCTTCCCCTGTGGCTCCCAGCTTCCTCTGCCTTTGCAGAGAGAGACAGAGACAGAGAGAGGCAATTGCGTCTCTCTCTCTATATATATATATATGTGTGTGTATGTGTAAAAGAGAGTGGACTCACAGTATTCTCCAAGGAGCTGAAAAGCTTACTGGGCGGAGCTCCTCCCTTTGCTGCATCTCTGCAGGAAGCAGGAAGGGCAGGAGAGAGCTAGCTAGCCCAGCTAGGCTGACTCAGGAATTCTGGGAGTTGAAGACCATGAGTCATAAAAGAGACGAGGTTGCTTCCCCCTGAGCTTGCCGGACAACAGCCTGAAGCTTGCCAGGTGAGCAGCAGATAGGAGGGGGGGGGGAGAAAGAGAGAGAGAGAAAGAGAGGGAGGGAGGGAGGGAGGGAAAGAGAGAGAAAGAAAGAGAATGGGGGAAGAGGAGTGGCAGACCAAGGGCAGATAGAGAGGGAGGGAGAGAGAGAGAGACAGAGACCTTTTGACATCTAAAATGAAGATAACACTGCACATATCCTTTTTTACCTCTGTGTGTGTATGTAATTTTATTCTCTTAAAGCATTCTCTTGGTGATCATTGTTTTAATAGTATGGATATTCCAAAGAGTCATATTTTTACTTTTATTTTTGATGTGTGTGTATGTATGTTTGCATGTATGTATGTGTATGTGTATGTATGTATATATATATATATATATATATATATATATATATATATATATATATATATATATATATATATATGTTTTCTGAGGTTTTCGCGGGTGTTTGTATGTAGGTCTTTGGTTGTTCGGGTTTTCTCCCGCGTAAAATTGGAAGTGTCTTGGCGACGTTTCGACGAAGTCCCATTCGTCATCTTCAGGCTGGTGTTTTCAGCTTCGTGCTTTGAGCAGCAATGTGTGGTCTTAGCTGTTTCTTCCTTTTAACTGCCAGTGGGGGTATGAACTGATTGGGTGGGAGCTTGGCTGTGTTCTGATTGGGTGGGTGTGTGTGGTTAGGGGCTTGGCTGTGCTCTGATTGGCTGGGGGAGTGTTCTGTTTGGTTGTGCTCAGGTTAGTCTGAGTTGCAGAGGGGTTTAAGATTTTGGGCTGCCTTGCTATTTTTTGGCTCCGCGTTCGTGGTCGTGCCTCCTCTTCATGGAGGGTGTCAGTTTGCTTCATGTATGGATTGTAGGGGTTCAAAGTGGCCAATGATGCAGCTGTGGTCTGGCTTCTGGTTTGTGGTCGTGCCTCGTCATCGGTGTGGCTTTGGGTTTGTTTTTTGCGTGGATGTGTGGTGGTGACCTCCTGTGTGGTTTTTGTGAGTGTGGGTCTGGTATCATTTTTTGTGTTAGGGAGTCGTTTGTCAATAAGGGCGGGTTTCCAAATGGCTGGTAGGCGGGAGGTATCATCTCGCTTGTTCATGCTGTGTGGGCGTTTTTCTATCTCGATGGCTTCTCTGATTATTCTGTTATTAAAATGTTCACTTTTGGCAATGGTTCTGGTATTTTTAAAGTCAATTTCATGTCCTGTGGCTTTAAGGTGTTGGACCAGGGAAGATGTTGGTTCCTCTTTTTTGACTGAGTTCTTATGTTCTTCAATGCGTGCATTTATTCTTCTGTTGGTTTGTCCAATGTATGTGGTGGGACAAGTGGTGCATGGGATTTCGTATACTCCTTGATTTTCTAATTCAATTTTATCTTTGGGGTTTCTAAGGATGGTGGATATTTTTCTGTTTGTGCAGAATGCTGTTTTGATGTTGTGTTTATGGAGGATCTTACTGATTCTGTCTGTGGTGCCTTTTATGTATGGGAGGAGGGCTCCCTAACACAAAATGATACCAGACCCACACTCACAAAAACCACACAGGATGTCACCACCACACATCCACGCAAAAAACAAACCCAAAGCCACACCGATGACGAGGCACGACCACAAACCAGAAGCCAGACCACAGCTGCATCATTAGCCACTTTAAACCCCTCCAATCCATACATGAAGCAAACTGACACCCTCCATGAAGAGGAGGCACGACCACGAACGCGAAGCCAAAAAATAGCAAGGCAGCCCAAAATCTTAAACCCCTCTGCAACTCAGACTAACCTGAGCACAACCAAACAGAACACTCCCCCAGCCAATCAGAGCACAGCCAAGCCCCTAACCATTCAGAACACACCTCCACCCAATCAGAACACAGCCAAGCTCCCACCCAATCAGTTCATACCCCCACTGGCAGTTAAAAGGAAGAAACAGCTAAGACCACACATTGCTGCTCAAAGCACGAAGCTGAAAACACCAGCCTGAAGATGACGAATGGGACTTCGTCGAAACGTTGCCAAGACACTTCCAATTTTACGCGGGAGAAAACCCGAACAACCAAAGACATATACACACACACACACACACACACACACACACACATATACATACATACACACACACACACACACCTATAATAAAGGTAAAAAAGGATATACGCAGTGTTATCTTCATTTTAGATATCAAAAGGGTTTTGCGGCTCCCAGTGTTTTGTTTTTGGTGGGAAATGGGTCCAAGTGGCTCTTTGAGTGTTTTGGGTTGCCTACCCCTGGCCTATACCATTTCAGACAAATGGCTGTCCAATCTCTTCTTAAAATTAACTATTTAAATATTGACTAACTCCACCAGGTTCTCTCGCTGTTCTGTTTCTCACAGGCCAGCTTTTGAGTTGAGCACTGCACCCGTTGACTCTCGTCTGGGTTCGGGGTGACCTTTGTGTGTGTGTGTGTGTGTGTGAATGGGGTGGTCTTCAACACAGGGACTCTTAAAGAGCGGGGGGGTGACACCCTACTCGCTTCCTCCCAGACCTCCTCCCGCTTCCCGACGATCTCTCGGAGGGAAACAACCAGCTGGCCCCCAGCAGCCCGTCCTCCGTGGCTTCGGGCAGTGACCTGCGTTTCCACCACCTCCACGGGAACAACGCCGTCATCACCAACGGGGGCCGCACGGCCCTGCGCCAGAACTGCCGCAGCGAATTCAACGATGCCATCGTCATCTCCAACCGGTCAGTGAACGGGAGGGAGGGGATACGCGGTGACGGACAAAGGGTTGAGGCTTTCCGAAAGGGATCGATTTACGACCCACCGTTCAGCCCGAAATTTAGCGGGACGGTCGTTAAGCGAGTTTTGTCCCCCGCTTTACGACCTTTCTCGACGGGGCAAAGTTCAGCGAATCGCTGCAGCTGTTAAGTCCCAGGGTGGTTCGGGGAATCCGGCTTCCCCCCGTTGACTTTGCTCATCAGAAAGGGATCACATCACATATACACACACACACACACACAGCCCCGGGACACGGCACCCGTCGTAAATAGGAGTCGGTTGCCAAGCTTCTGAACTTTGATGGTGGGACCACGGGGGGTCATAAGGGTGAAAAGCGGTTCCCAGTCACCTTTTTTCAGCGCCGTTCTAACTTCAGCCCGTCGCTAAATGGACAATTGCAAGGCGAGGGGTGACTGCTTCGGAATGCCCAAGCTTTGAATGAGAGGAAATGTCGTGCCTGAATCTGTGGAGGAAAATAGGCTGGAACAAGACCTTATGGAGGTCAAGGGAGAGGGGTCTGTGGCTTCAGAAGAATTGGGGAAGAGCAGGCCGAGGCAGGCCCTTCAGGAGTGGGACAGGAGGAACAGGAGAGACAGAATTCAGGTGATGAGCAAGGACCATCCCCTCCTGGTCCTAGAGCACAGAGAGCGGAGAGAAGGAGGGAACAGCGCAGGCAGGCTCAACTACTACTTGGGAGGAGAGCGTCCCGCCCCTCTCCACAAGCCACACCTGGAGACTGAGACTTAAGGAGACGCTGTGGGGAGAGGCATTTGTTGGGAACAAACGCTGATTCCTTGGAGTTTTGTGTGAGTGTGTGTTGCTGCTGATCTCTTGTTCTGTGACTTCTGCTTGGAAACCCGGAAACTGACCATTGGACTGGCTGACCACATTGCTTGGATGTTTAAAGATCTCGGACTGTACTCGGGCATCCCTTTTGAAACCGCGCAGGCACAGACTCGTTGGGTTTATGGTGTATGTGTCATTCCTTGTTATCTCCGTGGCCTTGAGTAAATTCCTGTCCTGATTAGACTGTGTGTGAAACTAGAGGCGGCTGAAGGGGGGTGTGTGTCTTCCGGTGTTTGGAGGCTGGCCAGAAACATGGGAGCATTTGGGGGGAATTTGGAGCAATGAAAGGGTGGTTTGGATTGCCAGCTGACTGTATTGCCTCGGTGCTGTGCCCTGGAAGGAATAGGGGGGTGCTCAATTCAACGACCGTAACCGAGGCCAGGGTTACGGTCGTTGGGACGGCTTTCATCGCAATCTTTGATTCCACAGCCCTCTGCGCGACGGCGAACTCTTTGAGATCGTCATCCAGAAGATGGTGGATCGGTGGTCCGGCTCCATCGAAGCAGGTGAGGAGGGGGTGAAAGAAATTTGGGGGGGTGGGAAACGGAGGCACAGAGGGACGGCCCTCTGTAGTGCTTTTGGTGTTCTCCCTCCACGCAGGAGTCACCGCCATCCGTCCGGAGGACCTGGAGTTTCCCAATACAATGACGGACATTGACTACGATACCTGGATGCTCAGGTAAGTACGGGCGGAGGAGGGGGTTCTCTAAGAGCTGATTGGATACCAATCCCCAGGAGACGGTGAGTTCTAATCCTGCCTTAGGCACCAATGGTGACTAAGTGAGTTTCAGCCAATCCCCAGAAGATGGTGAGTTCTAATCCTGCCTTAGGCACCAATGATGACTAAGTGAGTTTCAGCCAATCCCCAGGAGACGGTGAGTTCTAGTCCTGCCTTAGGCACGAAAGCCAGGGCAAAAAAAGTCAAGATGGCCGCCACACCCTCCGATCCCCGTCTTCCTTTATCCGTCTGCTGTCTTGCAAAAAGAGCTTTTCTTCCCCCCCCCCCTCTCTTTCTCCCTCCTCTCAGCGGCACGGCCATCATGCAGGACGGCAACACCCTGCGCAACAACTACGGCTGCGACCTGGACTCGCTGACCACCGCCTCGCGCATCGGCATGATGCGGACGGCCAAGGGGGATCTGCATTACTTCATCAACAGCGTGGACCAGGGTGTGGCTTGCTCCGGGCTGCCCCCAGGGAAGGGTGAGGCCACGTAGGGAGGGGCCAAAGTGGGGACGCTAGGCTGAGGCGGGCCTTTAAGAGGAGCGGACTTCGATTCCCAGAATTCCCCAGCCAGCAGAGCTGGCTGGGGAATTCTGGGAGCCGATGTCCACCCAGGTGAAAGATCCTGAGGTTGAAAGTAACCAAGGAGAGAAGCAACCTAGAACTAAGGAGAAACTTCCCGACAGTGAGAACAATTAACCAGTGGAACTACCTGCCTCCAGAAGCGGTGAAGGCTCCAACACTGGAAGTTTATCTGAAATGGTCTAGGGTTTCCTACCTGAGCAGGGGGTTGGACTAGATCAGTGGTTCTTAACCTTTTTGAACGAATCGCCCCCTTGAGCCGATGAGGAAGTTGTCATCGCCCCCCTCCCCCAACATAACCTCTGAATCACAACATGGGAAATAATTCTTCAATTTATGCAAACCCTTTTTTTGTTTTCTTTAAAATTGTCATCGGGACATATCGATGCAAATAATTTATTTCCAGTCTTTTTCCCCATATCTCCCATATTCTGGCTAATGGCACGCTACTGTATGGGTAGAGGCTGCTGCGCAATGCGCATGAAGATAAGCCATGCGTCTTCACATATGTACGGCGTTCTGTACTGAAGCTAGCTGGAGGAACATTTGAAAACACAATTCAATCCACCAAGAGCGAGCGATCTGATGTTTTTGTACGACAGATATACAGCCATTCACTGTACGAAAAAGTCTCAAAAGTGTCCCTCAAACTTCTCGCTCCATTGCCCCCATATTGCCCCCTTTTTGTTCCTTTGCCCCCCTGAAAAATGAAATCGCCCCCTGGGGGGGCAATATCGCCCAGGTTAAGAACCACTGGACTAGATGACCTCCAAGGTCCCTTCCGAGTCTGTTATTTTGTTATTCTTTTTTTCCTTCCTTCCTTCCTTCCTTCCTTCCTTCCTTCCCTTCCCTTCCCTTCCCTTCCCTTCCCTTCCCTTCTGCAACACGAAGTTTTTAATGACGTAAGGTTTCCTGCCTTAGCAGGGGGTTGGACTAGATGATCTCCAAGGTCCCTTCCAGCTTCTTTATTATTATTATTATTATTATTATTATTATTATAAATACAGGTAGTCCTTGACTTAGCGGCAGTCGGTTCAAAGTTACCGCAGCTCTGAGGAAGGTGACTGGACGGCCGTTTTTTTTCACGCTTAGCGACCGTTGCGTTGATCCAACATTCAGGCGCTCGGCCTCCGGCTCCGATTTACGGCGGTCGCAGTGTCCCCGATTCCCCTTTCGCGAGCTTCCGACCGGCCGAGTCCGTGGGGGGAGCCGCGTTCACTGAACGGCCGCGCGACGGACTTTACAGCGGCTCCCTTCACCGACTGCGTGGAGAAAGGTCGTGAAAGGGAGCGAAAAACTCGCTCAGGCGTCTGACGTAGCGAGGGACGTGTTAGGCTGCGTGGCGGTCATAAGTGGAGGACTACCTGTGTTCCTTCCCTCTGGGGGTGGGAGGTTTCCAGGAGCCTGATTTGGCTTCTAGGCTCCCTTACTCCTCCCTCTCTTTCTTGCACCCCCCCCCCCAGAGGTCTACGCCGTGGTGGACCTCTACGGCCAGTGTGTCCAGGTGTCCATCACCAGCTCCACCGGCCCGCTGGACAACAGCCTCTCCACCAGCAACATCACGGAGAAATCCTTCCCCATCCACTCACCAGGTGAGCACCCCCCCCCCGAAGGTTTGGGTCAGGGAGGGAGGAGGGAAGGAAGGAAGGAAGGAAGGAAGAGAGAGAGAGAGGAAAATGGAAGGAAGGAGGGGAAAGGATGAGAAGGAGGGAGGGAGGAAAATGGAAGGATGGATGGATGGAAGGAAGGAAGGAAAAGGAGAAGGAGGGAGGGAGGAAAATAGAGGGAAGGAAGGAAGAAGAGGGAGGGAAAAAGGGAAAGGATGAGAAGGAGGAAGGAAGGAAAATAGAAGGAAGAAGGGAGGGAGGAAAATGGAAGGGAGGGAAAGAGGAAAGGGATGGAAGGAAGGAGGAAAATGGAGGGATGGGTGGAAGGAAGGGAAAGGATGAGAAGGAGTAAGGGAGGGAAATAGAAGGAACAAGAGGGAGGGAAGGAAATGGAAGGGAAGAGGGAGGGAAGAAGTGAAAGGAGGAAGGAAAATGGAAGGAAGGAAGAAGAGGGAGGGAGGAAGGAAGGAAGGGAAAGGATGAGAAGGAGGGAGGGAGGAAGGAAAATAGAGGGAAGGAAGAAGAAGGGAGGGAGGAAAATGGAAGGATGGATGGATGGAAGGAAGGAAAAGGATGAGAAGGGAGGGAGGAAAATAGAGGGAAGGAAGGAAGAAGAGGGAGGGAGGGAGGGTAATAGAAGGAAGGGAAGAGGGAGGGAAGAAGGGAAAGGATGAGAAGGAGGGAGGGAGGAAGGAAAATAGAGGGAAGGAAGAAGAAGGGAGGGAGGAAAATAGAAGAAAGAGAAGAGGGAGGAAGGGAAAGGATGAGAAGGAGGGAGGGACAGGAAAGAAGGAGGGAAGGAGACAGGAAGGGAAATGGAAGGAGGGAGGGAAGGAAGTCGCCAGGCCCCACTGACCGCCTGGCCTCGTCCCCCCCCCCTGCCCAGTGCCCGGGGTCGCCCACCGCTTCCACAGCACCTGCGGCAAGAACGTGGCCTTCCAAGACGACGGGTGCCGGGCCCTGCGGGTCTCCGGCTTCTGCCACGGCATCGTTTTCAGCATGAAGGAACTGAGAACGGGCGAGGTTTTCGAGGTGAGGGTCTGGCGAAGCCATCCGGATGGGCCCCAGCTGCACTCGGGGTGGGGGGCCCCAATGGAGATGCCCCTGGAACACCGGAGGGGAGGGGAGCCGTGCTGGGTGTCGGGCAGTCCTCAATAAACAACTAAAATCGATCCGGCGCATTGCAGGGAGTCCTCAACTTAAACAACGGTTTGTTTAGTGACCATTCAGAAGGTCCCGCTTCTCCTTTTGTCTCCCCAGGTGAAGATTGACGAGGTGGACGAGAAGTGGTCGGGATCCGTCCAGGTGGGCTTGACCACGCTGCTGCCCTCGGATGCCACCTGCATGGCCACAGGGCTGCCCTCCTCCCTATTGGAGCTCCGGTCGAAAGTGACCTGGCTAGTGACGGGTTCCGAGGTCCGACGCAACGGCGTCCTGCAGAAGCAGAATTACGGATGCTCTCTGGAGCGTCTCGGGGTGAGTTGGGGGTCTGGCGGGGTCTGCAAGCCAAAACTAGGTGAAGGTCAACCCCACGGAAGTCATCCTTCTCCAGCCTGGGAAACCGTAAGACCTGTGGACTTCAACTCCCAGAATTCCCCCTGCCAGCTTGTTTTTTTTTTTTTTTCCTCCTTCGTCCCACTTGGCCGGTCAAGATATATTACATCGACCGCCTTCCCACCATCTATTAAGAAAGTCCTACTATCAAAATAAAAATTAAATTAGCCATATTTCTTCTCGCCCTTTCTGGCTGAATTCCGAGAAGGGCGTGCCAGCTGAGGAATTCTGGGAGTTGAAGTCCACAAGTTGTCAAGTTTGCGCCAGACAGACTGGCTCTGTCCTCAACTTACGACCCGGCACGTTTCCTTTTGGTTAAGCGAGGCATTTGTTGAGGTGAACCGCTGCAGGCGAGGGGCCTGTGGGACTCCCGATAAGCCAGTGGTTCTCAACCTTTTGAATGCCGCGACCCCCAACCGGTCGTAAGTCGAGGACTACTCAACCGGTCGTAAGTCCAGGACTACTGAACTGGTGCAGCACCGTTGGCAGACTGGGGCTTTTGGTGGGCTCAGCAGGGCAGAGACCGCCTGGACAATTCCTATTGGCTTTGGAAAGCCAATAGAATTAGACTTTATTCAAGAGAGTCTATTCTATTGGCTTTCAAAAGCCAATAGAATAAAAGGGAGGAGCACAGCTAAGGAAAAGGGGGGGAAAATGGCGGACTGCGTTGTTTGGCGACCCCCGTGAAATGGTCGTTCGGCCCCAAATGGGGTCCCGACCCACAGGGTGAGAACCGCTGCGATAAGCAGAGCCCGTGGGCTCCGTTTTACGACCGTCCTGCCAGAGTTGTGAAGGGAACCACTGCCATTCACTTAGCAACGGGTTCGTTAAGCGAAGCCCACTTGCCTTGTCCAAAGGTCCCAAAAGGGGACGACAGCGACCTCCTCCCCCCTCCCATGGGAAGCTGCGACCGTCATAAATAGGAGCCGAATTCTGATAACTGACCGCCTTAGCGATGCTGCGACGGTCATTAAGTGTGGAAAAACGGCCACAAGTCCCTTTTTCCAGTGATGCTGTGAACTGTGAGCCGTCGCTAAGCGCGCCGTCGTAAACTGGGGGCCCTGCCTCTGTTTCTCCTGCAGGTGGGGAACCGTGTGGGCGTGAAGCGCTGCACGGACGACACCATGCATGTGCTGGTCGACGGGGAGGACATGGGGCCGGCCGCCACTGGCGTGGCCAAGGTGAGGGGGCCACGGGGGGCCGGGCTGGCTGAGGGCCCGGCGAGGGGCTGTGGGTGGGTGGGGGGCCGCAAAAATGGGGGCATCCGGTCCCAGCAGGGCGTGTGCCATTTGCAGAGAGGGGGTCCAGCAAGAGAGGGCAGGGCTCTCCCCGTCCCACAGGCCGGCCGGCCCTCATGTGATGGCCACAGGGAGGGTTGGGAGGGCTGGAGACCCCCCCCCCAATTGGAGGAGTCTGCTGGGGAGAGCGGACGGAAAAGAAAGAAGGGGAAAGGAAGGATGGGAGGAGGAGGAGGAAGGGAGGAAGGAAGTGGGAGTGAGAAGAAGGAAGGAAGGGAAGGAGGGAGGGAAAGGAAAGGAAGGAAGGAAAATAGAGAAGGAAGGAAGGCGATGGGAAAGAAGAAGGGAGCGAAAAGGAAGGGAAGGAAGGAAGATTAGAGGGAGGAAGGATGAAAGATTGGAGGAACGAAGGAAGGAAAAAAGGGAATGGGAATGAGAAAAAGGATGGAGGGAGCGTAAGGGAAGGAGGGAGGGAAAGGAAAGGAAGGAAGGAAGGAAAATAGACAAGGAAGGCGATAGGAATGAGGAAAGACGGAGGGAAATAAAAAGGAAGGGAGCGAAAGGAAAGAAGGGAAGGAAGGAAGGAAATGGGAATGAGAAAAGGAGGAAGCAAAAGGAAAGAAGGGAAGGAAGGAGGGAGGGAAAAGAAAGGAAGGAAGGAAAATAGACAAGGAAGGATGGTGAGGGGAATGAGAAAGGAAGGAAGGAAGGAAGGAAGGAAGGAAGGAAGGAAGGAAGGAAGGAAGGAAGGAAGGAAAGAAGGAAGGAAGGAAGGAAAGGCTGATGGCGATCCCGTCTCTCTCTCTCTCTCCCACCGGCGTGCAGAACGTCTCCATGGTGCTGGACCTCTACGGCCGGGTCACCTCCGTCTCCATCGTCAGCTCCAGCCTGCTGGAAGAGGCCGAGGCCACCCACCCGCCCTCCGTCGCCTCCGAGCCCTACAGCGAGGAGGAGGAGGAGCCCACCCCGGTCCGTGCCCCTGGCTCCCTTCCCTTCGCACACTCCGGGGGGGGGTGAGGGGCTGGACAGCCTAGCGGCTAGAGCAGCCTTCCTTTCTCTCTCTCTCTCTCTTCTCCCTCTTCTCTCTCCTCTCTCTCCCTCTCTCCCTCCCTCTCTCTTCCTCTTTCCCTCTCTCCCTCCCTCTATCTCTCTCATCTCCCTCTCTTCTCTCCTCTTTCTCTCTCCCCCTCTCGCTCCTCTCTCCTCTCCCTCTCTTCTCTCTCTCTTCTCCCTCTCCCTCCCTCTTTCTCCCTCCCCCCCCTCTCTCCTTTCTCTCCCTCTCTCCTCTCCCTCCCTCTCTCCTCTCTCTCTTCCTCCTCTCTCCCTCTCTCCTCTTTCTCTCTCTCTCCTCTCTCTCCTCTCTCTCTCCTCTCCTCTCTCTCTCTTCCTTCCTCTCTCCCCCCCTCTCTCCTCTCCCTCTCTTCCTCCTCTCTCCCTCTCTCCTCTTTCTCTCTCTCTCCTCTCTCTCCTCTCTCTCTCCTCTCCTCTCTCTCTCTTCCTCTTTCCCTCTCTCCCTCCCTCTATCTCTCTCATCTCCCTCTCTTCTCTCCTCTTTCTCTCTCCCCCTCTCGCTCCTCTCTCCTCTCCCTCTCTTCTCTCTCTCTTCTCCCTCTCCCTCTTTCTCCCTCCCCCCCTCTCCTTTCTCTCCCTCTCTCCTCTCTCTCTTCCTCCTCTCTCCCTCTCTCCTCTTTCTCTCTCCCCCCTCTCTCTCCTCTCTCTCCCTCTCTCCTCTCCCTCCCTCTCTCCTCTCTCTCTTCCTCCTCTCTCCCTCTCTCCTCTTTCTCCCTCCCCCCCCTCTCCTCTCTCTCCCTCTCTCCTCTCCCTCCCTCTCTCCTCTCTCTCTTCCTCCTCTCTCCCTCTCTCCTCTTTCTCTCTCTCTCTCCTCTCTCTCCTCTCTCCTCTCCTCTCTCCTCTCTCTCTTCCTCCTCTCTCCCTCTCTCCTCTTTCTCCCTCCCCCCCTCTCCTCTCTCTCCCTCTCTCCTCTCCCTCCCTCTCTCCTCTCTCTCTTCCTCCTCTCTCCCTCTCTCCTCTTTCTCTCTCTCTCCTCTCTCTCCTCTCTCTCTCTCTCCCTCCCTCTCTCTCCTCTCCCTCTCTTCTCTCTCTCTCTCTCCCTCCATCCATCTCTCTCTTTCTCTCTCTCTCTCTCTCTCTCTCACTGCTCTGCCGCAAGGGTGGGGGGGAGCCCCGGGGGAGGGACCGAGACCGAAAAATGGGGGGAGAGGAAGGGCCCAGTGATGGCTAGTGAACCCCCCTTTCCTTCCTGTTTGGGTCACCATATTATAAAAAAAAAAAAAGACATTAAGACTCTGGAAAGAGGGCAGAGAAGAGCAGCAAAGATGATCAGGGGACTAAAACACACGAAGAAGCGCGGTTGCAGGAATTGGGGGTGTCTAGTGAAAAGCAGGGCTAGGGGTGATACGCAGTCTTCCAGTATTTGGGGGGGCTGCCCCAAAGAACAGGGGGGGTCCCCCTGTTCCCCAAAGCACCCAGAGGGAAGGACGAGAAGCAATGGATGGAAACCGACCGAGGAGAGAAACAGCCTGGAATTAAGGAGGAATTTCCTAACAGCGGGGACAGTTCGCCAGGGGAACTGCTTGCCACCAGACGTCGTGGGTGCTCCATCGCCGGAAGGGACTGGACAGCCCCCTGTCTGGGAGGGGATAGGCTCCCCTGCTGGAGCAGGGGGCTGGACTGGAAGGACCCCCCCCCCAACCCTGTCATTCTGTCCTTCAGGGCGAGAGCGACCTGCCCACCTCCGCGACGCCCTCCATGGAATTCCTGGAGAACCACGGGAAAAACATCCTCCTCTCCAATGGGAACCGGACGGCCACCCGGGTCTCCAGCTACAACCAGGGCATCGTGGTGGTGGCCCAGCCTTTGCCCCAGCAGCAGCTCTTCCAGGTGGGGAGGGGGCGGGTGGGAAGGGCTGGGCTGGGCTCTCACCCCCTTGGGGTCTGTCCGGGTGGGGAAGGGGGAGGGTCTTCTGCTGCCTCCGCCATGACGGACACGTCCTCTGGGGATGGGAGAAGAAGCTGGCAGCTGGCAAGAAGAGCAAGGAGGCCGTGCTTTGGGGTAGGCACAGGCATGTGCAGAGTGCCGTCCGTGGCCCCGGACCGGTAGCAGCCGATGCTGATGGTATTGGTCAGACTTCCCTTCCCTCGTGTCTTTCCTTCCCTTCCTCCCGTCCATCCGTTTTCCTCCCTCCCTGTCTCCTTCCTTCCTTCCGTCTATTTTGCTCCCTCTCCTCTCTTCCTCCTTCCTTCCCTCCATCTTTCCTTGTCTGTTTTCCTCCCTTCCTTCCTTCCACCCAACCTTTCCCTTCCTTGCTTCCTCTCTTTCCCTCCCTCCTTCCTTGTCTGTTTTCCTTCCTCCCTCCCTTCCTCTCTCTCCTTCTTCCTTCCTTCCCTCCATCCTTCCTTGTCTGTTTTCCTCCCTCCCTCCCTTTTCCTTCCTTCCTCCTTCCTTCCTCTCCTTCTTCCCTCCCTCCGTCTGTTTTCCTTCCTCCCTCCTTCCCATCATTTCCCTCCCTCCCTTCCCTTCCTCCCTTTGTTCCTTCCTCTCCTTCTTCCTTCCTTCCCTCTATCCTTCCTTGTCTGTCTTCCTCCCTCCCTTTTCCTTCCTTCCTCTCCTTCTTCCCTCCCTCCTTCCTTGTCTGTTTTCCTTCCTCCCTTCTTTCCCTTCCTCCCTCCCTCCCTTCCTCTCTCTCCTTCTTCCTTCCTTCCCTCCATCCTTCCTTGTTTGTTTTCCTCCCTTTTCCTTCCTTCCTTCCTCTCCTTCCCTCCATCCTTCCTTGTCTGTTTTCCTTCCTCCCCATCCTTTCCCTTCCTTCCTCCCTCCCATCTTTCCCTCCCTTCCTTCCTCTCCTTCTTCCTTCCTTCCCTCCATCCTTCCTTGTCTGTTTTCCTTCCTCCCATCTCTTCCTTCCTCTCCTTCTTCCCTCCCTCCTTCCTTGTCTGTTTTCCTTCCTCCCCATCCTTTCCCTTCCTTCCTCCCTCCCATCTTTCCCTCCCTTCCTTCCTCTCCTTCTTCCTTCCTTCCCTCCATCCTTCCTTGTCTGTTTTCCTTCCTCCCATCTCTTCCTTCCTCTCCTTCTTCCCTCCCTCCTTCCTTGTCTGTTTTCCTTCCTCCCTCCTTCCCATCCTTTCCCTTCCTTCCTCCCTCCTATCCTTTCCTTCCCTCCCTTCCTCCCTCCCTCTCTTTTCCTTCCTTCCTCCCTTCCTTCCTTCCTCTCCTTCTTCCCTCCATCCTTGTCTATTTTCCTCCCTCCCTCCCTTCCCTCCCTCTTCCTTTTTCTCCTTCTTTTTATTTTCCTCCCTCCTCCCGTCTCTTTCCTCCTTCCCTCCTGTTTTCCTCCCTTCCTCCTCCCTCCTTCCATTCCTTCCTTCCATCTTCCCCAAATGCGCTGGTCACGGGAGAGGAAGGCGGCCGGTGTGTGTGTGCCCGCTTTCCTCCTCCCCCAGGACCCCCTTCTGACCTCCTGCCCCCCCCCCTTCAGTTCCAGATCGACTCCCTCAACCCCCAGTGGACGTCCTCGCTCTCCCTGGGCGTCATCGGCAACTCCCCGGAGCGGCTCAACTTCCCCGCCACGGCCTGCTCGCTCAAGCGCTCCACCTGGCTCCTGCAGCGGGACTCCGTCTTCCACAACTCCCTCAAGGTGCCGGGAGGGGCCGGTGGGTCTTTGGGGGGGGAAGGAGAGAGGGAGAGACCCCTCCCGAAACTGGGGCGCTGAGCCTCCCCCCCCCATCTCTGCCCTCCCGCCCGCTGCAGGTCTGCGAGAACTACGGCCCCAACCTGGACAACTGCCCGGAGGGGACAGTGCTGGGGGTCCTGGTGGACGCCAGCGGCTGCCTTCACCTCTATGTCAACGGCATCGACCAGGGGGTGGCGGCCCAAGACGTGCCCAGCCCTTGTTACGTGCTGGTCGACCTCTACGGGCAGTGCGAGCAGGTGAGGGTCCGGCGGGGGGGGGAGGGAGGGGGAGGGAGGAGGGCCTGAGCTGGAGAGACGGAAGCAGCAGCAGCTGCAGAAGGACCCAGGTGGTCCTCAGCGGCCACGGAAGGAAGGAAGGAAGGAAGGAAGGAAGGAAGGAAGGAAGGAAGGAAGGAGGGAGGGAGGGAAAGGATGAGAAGGAAGCGAGGAAGGAAAACAGACAGAAGGAGGAAGGGAAAGAGGAAAGAAGGAAAGGGAGGGAGGGAAATGGAAGGATGGATTGAAGAAAGGGAGGAAGGAGGGAAGGAAGGATGAGAAGGAGGGTGGGAGGAAAATAGATAGGAAGGGGGGAGGGAAACGAGGGAGGGAAAATAGAATAGAGTATAGAGTAGAATAGAATAATAAAATACAGATAGAATAGAATAATAAAATACAGAAGAATAGAATAGAATATGGAAAGAATAGAATGGAATAGATTAAGAGATGGAATAGAATAGAATAGAATAGAATAGAATAGAATAGAATAGAAAATATGGGATGGGATAGAGAATAGAATAGAATAGAATAGAATAGAATAGAATAGAATAGAATAGAAAATATGGAATGGGATGGGATGGGATGGGATAGAATAGAATAGAGAAATAAGAACAGAAAGAATAGAATAGAATAGAATATATAAATGAGAACAGAATATAGAATTGCGAACAGAATAAAGAAAGAATAGAATAGAATAAATAAGAACAGAAAGAATAGAATAGAGAAATAACAGAAAGAATAGAATAGAATAGAATAGAATAGAATAGAATAAACAAATAAGAATAGAATAGAACAGAAATAGAAATAAAATATGGAAAGAATAGAATGGAATAAAATAGAGATAGAATGGAGTAGAATAGAAATAGAAATGGAATGTAGAATAGAAGAGAACAGAACAACAGAGTAGACGGAATAAGAATAGAATAAAATAAGAAATAAGAGAATAGAAGAGTAGAGTACTAGAGCTGGGAGGGACCTCGGAGGTCATCTAGTCCAGCCCCCTGCTCAGGCAGGAGAACCTACATGCCATCTCAGACCATCTATTCCTGCGGTTCAGTTGCCCACCGTGGCTCGTCCACCCTCCAAGCCAAGCCATCCGCTCTTAAGGGTGACCTTGAACCGTCACTAACTGAACCGTTTTGTACACCGGGCATTAGCTCTGAAAAGTAACGGGCTGAGCTTCTCCACGGTGCCAAACCGCGGTTTGAAGAAACCACCTTGTCGCTTCTTCCCAACCCGGTCTCCAGCTGTGGGAGGGAGCCAGCTGCCCCCAAAAGTCACCCCTCCCCCCAAGCAGATGCCGGCTTGCATCGGATACACCCCCCCCCCAAATTTGGTGGGGCAGAGTTCGCACTGCGTGCGTGTCGAAGGGTTTCCTGGATCTGACCCGACTTACGACGAGAGACTCTTGGGTTTTTTTCCCCCAGGTCACCATCACGACCAATGACCCTCCCGCCGTGGGGGCCGAGAGCACGGACCCCCAAGGGCAGGGGGACATGGAGAAGGCCGACATGGTGGACGGTGAGCAGGGCCTGGGGGGCTTCCGGGGACTCAGCGCCTTCCCCTTTCGACAATCCTGGTTGGGTTTTAAACAAACTGGGTTTCTTTGCTCACCACTCACCTTGTGGGTCTACGATTTGGGGAACGGGGGGGGGTCTCTGCTCTTTGGGGCTTGGTTTCCAAAGCAAGTGGGGTTCGTGAGCCCCCCACCACCACCCCCAGCCTCTGCCTTCTCCCCACCCAGGGATCAAGGAGAGCGTGTTCTGGACGCCCCCCGTGGACCTCAACCCCGCCAAGACCTGCGACTACCAGTCCCTCTGCACCCGTTTCAAGGACCTGCTGCTGTTGCCCGGTGAGCCCTGGGCTCCGGGGGGGGGACAGAAAAGGCCCCTTTTAGGTAGACAGACAGACATAGAGATAGACAGATAGACAGATATAAATAGAGGATAGATGATGATAGAGAATGAGAGAGAGACACAGATAGATAGATAGATAGATAGATAGATAGATAGATAGATAGATAGATAGATAGATAGATAGATAGATACAGAGACATAGAGATAGATATAGATATAAATAGAGGATAGATGATGATAGATGATAGATAGAGAATGAGAAAGAGAGACAGACAGAGAGAAAGAGATAGATATAAATAGAGGATAATGATGGATGATAGAGGATGAGAAAGAGACAGACAGACAGACAGATAGAGAAAGAGATAGACATATAAATAGAGGATAGATGATGGATGATAGAGAATGAGAAAGAGAGAGAGACAGACAGATAGATAGAGAAAGAGATAGACAGATATAAATAGAGGATAGATGATGATGGATGATAGAGAATGAGAAAGAGACAGACAGAGAGAAAGAGATAGACAGATATAGATATAAATAGATAGAGAGATAGATATAGATATAAATAGATGATAGAGAAAGAGAGAGACAGACAGACAGACAGATAGATAGATAGATAGATAGATAGATAGATAGATAGATAGATAGATAGATAGATAGATAGATAGATAGATAGGCAGGCAGGCAGGCAGGCAGGCAGGCATAGAGATAGACAGATATAAAAAGATGATAGAGAAAGAGAAAGACAGGCAGATAGACAGACACAGAGATAAGAGATACAGAGACAGATATAGATATAAATAGATGATAGAGAATGAGAGAGAGATGATAGACAGATATACAGACTGACTGACAGATTGACATAAAAGGTGCTGTGGAGTTGTTGTGTTTTTTGTTATTTCGGTGTCGGGCTTTTCTCTTCGTAACTTGCCTGAAGTCACTTAGACTGATTCGGGCTTTATCTGAAACAAATGAGAAATGAAACGAAACGCAGTGATAACAGGAAATGGAAACAGTCCTTTTTTCTTTTTTCTTTTAATGCACACACACAGAGAGAGACAAACTAAAAACCGAATTAATTCGAGGCCAACACCCCCACCCCCGAGACCTTCCTTTCCGTGGGCAGCCACCTTCCTAACCATGTCCCCCCCTCCACCCCACAATCTCCCCCCAGACGCCTATTTCACCGAAGACCCCAAGCCGAGCCTTTGCTACTGCGAGTCGTGCCGCAAGCCGCGAGGGGACGAGGCCTACTACAAGCGGGGGGAGCCCCCCCGGGACTACGCCTTGCCTTTCGGGTGGTGCCGCTTCACCCTCAGGTACCTTTGGGGGCGGAGGAGGCCTGGGGGGGGGGGGGCTAAACAGCCGTTCGTTTAACGCAGAGGTCTTCAAACTTGGCCCTTTGATGACTTGTGGACTCCAACTCCCAGGATTCCTCAGCCAGGTTGCCTGGTTGAGGAATTCTGGGAGTTAAAGTCCACAAGTCATCGAAGGGTCCTAGTTCCCTCACACTGACTAAGGAATTCTGGGAATTGAAGTCCACAAGTCATCAAAGGATCGTAGTTCCCTCACGCTGGCTGAGGAATTCTGGGAGTTGAAGTCCACAAGTCATCAAAGAGTCCTAGTTCCCTCACGCTGGCTGAGGAATTCTGGGAGTTGAAGTCCACAGGTCATAAAAGGGCCAAGTTGGAAGGCCCCTGGGTTAGGGTGTGGATGGGGGGACTTCAACTCCCAGAATTCCTCAGGTAGCAATGCCAGCTGGGGAATTCTGGGAGTTGAAGTCCACAAGTCATGAAGGGGGCCATAGTTCCCTCATGCTGGCTCAGGAATTCTGGGAGTTGAAGTCCACAAGTCATCAAAGGGTCCTAGTTCCCTCACGCTGGCTGAGGAATTCTGGGAGTTGAAGTCCACAAGTCTTTCAGCCATTACCAGGGCATTGAACAAAGTGACAGATGGCCATTTTGGATTCTTAGCGCTTCACGGTCCCGGGATCCAAATTCGGACGCTCGGCAACCAACTTGCCTTTACGACAGTCACAGTGTCCCGGGGTCACCTGGTTCCCCTTTTGTGGCCTTCCCATAAGCAACGGGGGGAAGCCAGATTCACTTAACAACCGTGTGATTGACTTAGCCCCCGCTGTGATTCGCTTAACGGCAGCCCTGGCAAGGGAGGTCGTAACACGGGCCAAATGGAATTTGCTCATCGGACGTCCCAAACGCCAGTCCCTGCAGGGATTCGCTTAACAACAGAGGCAAGGGAGGTCATAAAGTGAGGCGGGACTCATTGAACGACCGGCTCGCTTAGCGATGGAAATTTTAGGCCACAAGTTGAGGATTCCCCGCATGAAGATGAGGCCGAGTTGATGAAGGCCTTTCCTTCCTTTTCACCACCCCCCACCACCCCCCATTTTTTTTGTAGAACAAACCCCTGCTTGGAAGGGGCCAGCACCGCTAAGAAGTGGCACATGGCCTATCACGGGACGAGCGTCGGAGCCGTGCGCCGCATGTTGGATCAAGGGGAGTTGGTGCCGGGTAAGCAACAGCGCCCGTTGGCCCGAGGCACCAGGCCGGAAACCGGGAGGCCGGGAGTTCTAGTCCGGCTTTCAGCACAAAGCCGGCCCGGTGATCTTGAGCCGGCCAGTCTGTCTCAGCCCTCGGAAGGACACAATGGCCAATCCCTTCTGAAAAACTAAGGAGAAACTTCCTGACAGTTAGAACAATTAACCAGTGGATCTACCTGCCTCCAGAAGCGGTGAATGCTCCAACACTAGAAGTTTTCAAGAAGAGACTAGACAGCCATTTGTCCGAAATGGTGTAGGGTTTCCTGCCCGAGCAGGGGGTTGGAGTAGATGACCTCTAAGGTCCCTTCCAACTCTTGTTATTCTTTTTTCTCCCTCCCTTCCTTCCTCCCTCCCTCCCTCCCTGGAAGTTTTTAAGAAGAGACTGGACAGCCATTTGTCTGAAATGGTACTATAGCAGTGGTTCTCCACCTGTGGGTCAGGACCCCATTTGGGGTCGAGCAACCATTTCACGGGGGTCGCCAAACAACGCAGTCCGCCATTTTTCCCCCCCTTTTCCTTAGCTGTGCTCCTCCCTTTTATTCTATTGGCTTTTGAAAGCCAATAGAAGAGACTCTCTTGAATAGAGTCTAATGCTATTGGCTTTCCAAAGCCAATAGGAATTGTCCAGGCTGTCTCTGCCCTGCTGAGCCCGCCAAAAGTCCCATTCTGCCAACGGTGCTGCACCAGTTGAGTAGTCCTCGACTTACGACCGGTGGAGTAGTCCTCGACTTAACGACCGGCTGGGGGTCGCGGCATTAAAAAGATTGAAAACCACTGTACTATAGAGTTTCCTGCCTGAGCAGGGAGTTGGACTAGAGGATCTCCAAGGTCCCTTCCAACTTTATCATCATCATTATTGTTAACTCGTGGAGAAAGCTGGCGGGGATGGTCCAGGAGTCAACCCCCCCCCTTCCAAATTGTACCCAGTGCTGTATTTGGGGATCCCCAAAACAGGAATGCAGGGGGGGGGCTGAGGTAGAAAACTTGGGGGGCTCAGCTAGGAGGCAGCCTCACTCGTTTGCTCTCTTTTGTGACTGGCGGTGCCCCCCTCTTCCACTGATGCTAATGGGGGGTCAGCCCCCCCCACGCTCCCGCAAAACGCACAACGACACCCCCCCCTTCCTTCCCCTGTAGGGATAACGTCCATCCTGAGCTGCCGCCCGGTGAAGGCCGATCCGCAGGGTGGGGGCGCCGGCAGCGGCACCAACGGGGGCTACCTGGAGGCGGAGGAGAACAGCGTGCAGGGGCGCGAGGAAGCCCACCACGTCCTCCTCTCGCCCACCCTGCGCTACGCCGGACTGGAGCCTTTCGCCACCAAAGTGCAGTAGGTGTCGCCCGTGGCCGGCCGGATTGGGGATGGTGCCGAGATGTCCTATCGGAACACACACACACCCCCGGGAGGGTGGGTGGGGGGGAAACCTGGAGGGTGGGGGTGGGGTCAAAAAAGTCAGAATTGGATCAGCCTAGAAAGAAAGAGAAATTTTCTAGCAGTGAGAACAATCAGCCGGTGGAACCGCTCGCCACCAGACGTTGTGGGAGCTTCATCCCTGGAGGCTTTCAAGGAGAGACAGCCTGGACTGCCATCGGTCAGACATGGTGTAGGCTCTCCTGCTTGAAGGGTGGGGGTTGGACTAGATGACCTCCAAGGTCCCGACTTTGCTGTTCTGTTCTGTATTTTATTATTCTATTGTATTCTATTCTATGTTCTATTTTATTATTTCTTATTCTAATCTATATTCTATTCGAATCTATATTCTGTTCTATATTGTATTATTTCTTATTCTATTCTATATTCTGTTCTATTCTGGTCTGTTCTATTCTTTCTCTTCTATTCTGTATTTTATTCTATTATTTTTAATTCTATTCTATATTCTATTATGTTCTATATTTTATTCTATTCTATATTCTATTATTTCTTATTCTAGTCTATTCTCATTTCATATTTTTTATTCTTTTCTATTATTTCATATTTTCTATTCTGTTCTATTCTCATTTCATATTTTCTATTCTATTCTAACCTAATTTCTATCCTATCCTATTCTATTCTTATTCTTATTCTAACCTAATTTCTATTCTATTCTAACCAAATTTCTATCCTATCCTATCTTATTCTATTCTGTATTTTCTATTCTATTCTTATTCTTACCTAATTTCTATTCTATTCTATTCTAATTTCTATTCTATTCTATTCCTTATTCTATTCTATTCTATTCTATTCTACTCCTTATTCTATTCTCTTCTATTCTACTCTATTCTATTCCTTATTCTATTCTATTCTCTTCTCTTCTAATTTCTATTCTATTCTATTCTATTCTATTCTATTCTAATTTCTATTCTACTCTATTCTATTCCTTATTCTCTTCTCTTCTATTCTATTCTATTCCTTATTCTAATCTATTCTATTCAAATGGCAGCCGAGACAGTACACTCAAAGTTAACATTGTTTTTCATGCCCCCTGTGGGCGTGCAGAACAAAACAGAACATAGCTTTGATTTGTCTCTTTGACGGCTGTCTTGAATTTTGGGCCCCACCCTGAAGACTCTCCTTCCAGAAGCCGTTTGGGACGCAGGAAAAGCCGAGCATGGCTAGAAATTATTATTTTTTTTAATGTCTGTTTTATATTCTTTGTATGCACACTGGCGAAAATGACCTTTAAACTTCAGGAAGGAAAAAAAACAGGAAGGCGAAAGACAAGCTAAAAAAGATTTTAAAACAAAAATAAATAAATAAAGGGAGGGAGGGGGGGAAATATAACATACCGGCCTCCACGTGATCAACCGGCAGTCCTCCTCAACGCCTCAGCCCAACGATCTCCGCGTGTAAGTAAGCCCAGCCGCGTTTTTATTTTATTTTATTTCTTCTCCCCCCCCTCCTTTTCCAGATTCAAAGACCCCAAGTCTCACCGACAGCACTCCGCCCAGGTGGCCTTGCAGGTGTGCGTGCGCCCGGGCTCCTACAAGGTCTGCCCTCCCTCGCAGGCGGCCCCCGAGCCCGTGGACCCCCGCTTCAGCAGTGCCGAGATTGAGTGGGTCACCAAGGAAAAAGGGGCTACCGTCCTCTTCGGCCTGCTCATCCGCGTAGAATGAGACCCCCCCGCCCGCCCGCCGTCCGCGGGGACGCCGCAGCTTTTGCCAAAAACCTGTGCTCCCCCCCCCCGGGGGGGGACCGACAGCACATAGACCGGGTGGAAACGGCACGTCCAGTCGATTGGGGGGGGGGGACACAGCTCTTTTACAGCCAGATGGACTCCCTTGGGAGAGAATTTTATTGGGGAGGGGGCTGCCTCTGGGGGTGGGGGCCGTTCGCCTCCTTTTATTTTCTTTTTGCACAGAGACTAGACAAGCTAACCGGGGGGGGGGGGGCGGACTGGGAGTCTGTTAAGAGCATGAAGGGGCGGGTGGGTGGGGAAGGGGGGGGTCTTTAGTTGCCACAAAAGGACTTGGGGAAGGGTCTTTTTGACAACCCCCCGGGGATTTCTACAGACTGACAACGTCCTTTCTCCTTCCCCTCCCCCCCCCACGATTCAGATCACGTTTTCTTCCTTGCACCGAGGCCTCTTTTCTTTGGGAAGGGATCGGGGTGGGGGTCTTTTGGGGCAGAGGGGGGGGTCTTCCTCCTCTTCTTCCACGAGGGAGACCCCCGGCAGGCACTTAGACACGAGTGGAGCTCGGGACGACGGGCTCATCTCCACCCCTTCCCCTTAATCCAGAGTTTGGAGCTCTGGACGACGGGCTCATCTCCACCTCTTCCCCTTAATCCAGAGTTTGGAGCTCTGGACGACGGGCTCATCTCCACCTCCTCCCCTTAATCCAGAGTTCCTCGTCCGGATTCCCAGGCTGGATTTTAAAAAAACGTCTCGGCGTCTTCTTTCAACACGATGCTGCGTTCAAACCCCCTCGGTTTGCTCCTCACCCACCCAGCTTGGTTCATTCTTTTTGGGGGGGGGGGTCTGGCAGTAGGTCAGCAGTGGCCTGCAAGCACTTCCCTTTGTTTTTGCCTTCAGTGGGGGGTCTTTTTTCCTAATTTTGCGTGGATTTTTCACCAGAAGGACACACGTCGGACCGGCCGTGCCCCCCCCCTCCCCATAAAGCAAAGGAAAAAAAAAAGCACAGCTTATTCCAATTTCTTTCGTTGCTCTTATTCTCCCGGTCCGACAAGTGCTCGTCCCCGTTTACCAGGATGGGGGGGGTCCTAGCGGGATACGTGTGCAAAGCCCCCCACGTGCGCACGCACACACCCCCTCCCCTCCATTCTCCTGCCCCCCCTCCCCTCCCTTTATTTATTGATGTGCTGATGGTCAGACAAACAAATGTGAATTTTTTTCTGGGGGGGGGGGAAGGGCACCCGGCGCCCGATCTCATTCCCCTCCGATTTGTATTTTAAATGCTATTTATGCTGCTTCTTCACTTTATTGGTTGGGGAAAAAAAATATGCCTTTTTTTTTTTTTTTTACATCTTGTCGGAAACTTGGGGGGGGGGCTTGTTTCTCTGTATGTTTTTCTTTCCCCCCCCCCTTTTTTTTGGACAAAACTTCAAAAAAAAAATATTCCCATCCTTTCCAAGGGTTTATAAACCACAGTTCAACTGGTTTTGTGTCTGTGTCCTTCGTGACTCTCCCGACACCCGCCCCCCAAGTGGTGTTTTCGAGTCCCCCCCCCCCAATTTCCCCTGTTCTCTTTATTTATTACATTACCAGAAAATTCCCAGCCTGGCTTCCAATAAACTTAGAAATAAAGCAGACCGAGAGAAAAGAATTTCTATTTTAGCATCCAGACAGCAGCCGATTCCGCAAAGGCAGATTCTGAGGTTCTTTGAGAGAAGAGACAGCTGTGCAATTTGTGTGTGTGTGTGTGTCTGTGTTTCATAGGTAGTCCTTGACTTGACAACAGTTCGCTTAGGGACTGTTCAAAGTTACAACGGCGCTCAAAAAAAATTTCAGAGTTAGAATCTCTGGCATCGTCCTCATGACCGTGTGATCGAAATTCAGATGATTGGCAACTGATTCATATTTATAATGGTCACAGCCTCCTAGAGGGGCCATGTGATTCCCTTTTGTGACCTTTGGACAAGCAGAGTCAATATTAACTTAATGACCATGAGAATAGAATAGAATATAGAACAGAACATAAGAATAAAATAGAATAAAATAATAAAATAGAACAGGACAGGACAGAATAATGATAAAAGAATAGAATAGAACAGAATAATGATAGAATAATTAGAATAGAATAGAAATATGAAAGAATGGAAAATATGGAATAGAATAAAATAGGAAAAGAAATATGAAGAGTAGAACAGAATAATAGAATAAGAATAGAATAGAATAATTAGAATAGAAATATGAAAATAGAAAATATGGAATAGAATAGAGCAGCTAGAAGGGACCTTGGAGGTCTTCTAGTCCAGCCCCCTGCTCAAGCAGGAGAACCTATACCATTTTAGACAGACAATAATAAAGTTGGAAGGGACCTTGGCGGTCATCTAGTCCAACCCCCTGCTCAGGCAAGAAACCCTATTCCATTTCAGACAAATGGCTGTCCAGTGACACACCGGCCTCAGGACTCTGTGACATATGCCTGGCTGAGGAATTCTGGGAGTTGAAGTCCACAAGTCATCCAAGGGCCAAGTTTGAAGACCCCCCCCCCGATTTAACCCTTCCCAACACAAAAAGTTAGGGACACACACAGAGACAGAGAGAGAGCCTCCAGCTCAAGAAGGCATCCAGACCACCCCCTGTCCCTCATTCCCAGCTTTGATGGGAAGGGGCTCCAGCATGTGTGCTCCGAAGACCCCCCCCCCTCACTTTGTTCCCCCTCCCCCCCCACTGCTGGACTCTGGGCGCTCTCTGCCCTCGTCCTACCTCGCAAGGGCGTTGTTGGGGCAGGAAAGAAGCAGGGTTGGAGTGGGAGGGGCAAAAGGGGGAGGGGGGAAGCTTCTTCCCGGCCTGGGCATCTGGGGCGCCCCCTAGCTGGGGAGGGGGAGACCTATCAGGCGGGGGAGGAGGGTCCCCCCCACTTTCCCCCCCTTCCCTGCTGCAGAGGACAAGGCAGGAGGAGAGACTGGAGGGGAAGCCACGCCCGTCCCCGCTGTCATTTGCATGTGGGCCGCGCCTCTCTCCGCTGAATATTTGCATATGCGGGCCACGCCCTCCCTTGTTCGCTGCTGCCGGGTTCTCCTCGCGGGGGCGGGGCTGGGCGTGGCCACGGCGACCCGGAAGAGAAAGCGGCGGGGCGGAAGAGCAGGACGAGGAGGGGGCTGTGTGTGGGGCGGGGGTCTTCGCTGCCGCCGCCGCCGCCTTCCGGGGGTCTCCGGGCGCCGCGAGGATTGCGACCGCCGCCATGCCGGCCCTGCTGGAGCGCCCGAAGCTGAGCTCGGCCATGGCCCGCGCCCTGCACCGGCACGTCATGGTGGAGCGCGAGAGGAAGCGGCAGGGTGAGAGGGGGGGGAGGCAGAACACACACACACACACCACAACACACACACAAAACCCGGAGCCCCCCTCCCCCGCCTCCACATTCCCCCTCTGCAGCCCCCCCAATTGAGACCCCCTACTAGGACTTCCAGCGTCCCCAGAGACTCTCCACTTGACCCTTACAGACCCCCCACTTTCAGATCCTCCCCCACTTTCAGCCCCCCAAGTGACCCTTACGGACCCCCCATTTGACCCTTACAGACCCCCCACTTGACCCTTACAGACCCCCCCACTTTCAGATCCTCCCCCACTTTCAGCCCCCCACTTGACCCTTACGGACCCCCCATTTGACCCTTACAGACCCCCCACTTGACCCTTACAGACCCCCCACTTGACCCTTACAGACCCCCCACTTTCAGATGCCCCCCCACTTTCAGCCCCCCACTTGACTCTTACGGACCCCCCACTTGACCCTTACAGACCCCCCACTTTTAGATCCTCCCCCGCTTTCAGCCCCCCCACTTGACCCTTACGGACCCCCCACTTGACCCTTACGGACCCCCCACTTTCAGATCCTACCCTGCTTTCAGCCCCCCACTTGACCCTTACAGATCCCCCACTTGACCCTTAGAGACCCCCCCGTTTCAGATCCTCCCCCGCTTCCAGTGCTCCCACTTGTCCCTTACAGACCCCCCCCACGGCCCTTATAGACCCCCCCACTTGTCCCTTACAGACCCCCATTCCAGATCCTCCCCCAGTTCCAGCACCCCCACTTGACATCCCCCACGTCCAGCCCCCCCACTTCCAGAGCCCCCAAGTAGCTGATCCCCCTTCCTTTCAGATTGCCCCCACATATAGACCCTTGTTTGAGACACCCCCACACTTCTAGGCCTCCCCCCCACACACACCCTTGCAACCCCCCCCCCACTTCCAGCTCACATATTTCTAGACTCTCACTTGAGACCCCCACACATACACACACACACATCCATCCGGACCCCCTCCCTTTCAGATCTCCCCTTTCAGACACACACACAGACGCACACACACACACACACACACACACACACGTACAGCCTATTTCCACATTCCCCCTTCATTCTAGCCCCCCCTTCCAGATCCCCCCACTTGCAGACCCCCCCCATACTTCCTAACCTCCAGACCCCCAGGACCTGCATGCTTCCAGACCCCCCCCCCACTTCAGGCACTTATAGACCCCTCCCCCACTTACAGATCCTTCAGACGCTATCCCCTTCCAGAGCCCCTCCCCATTTCTCCCCCCCCCCCCGTTTCCAGATTCCCCTCAGTTCTAGGCACCCCCCTCCCCCGTGAATGAGGAGGGTCCCCGGGCCTCACTGTCCCCCTCCCCTCAGCCAGGGGCTTCCCCGGGGCCACCTCCCAGCCCGGAACTGGGCCAGGGTCTGCCTTCTGGATGCCAAGCTTGGCTGGAAGACCCTCATCAGGGGGGTCTCGGCCAGTAACTTTGGGGCAGGATGGTGCCCTGTGCCCATGGACCAGGGCCGGGCCATTACGGCCCCTTTAAGCCCTGTGAACTTCAACTCCCAGAATTCCCCAGCCCTTCCTTCCTTCCTTCCTTCCTTCCTTCCTTCCTTCCTTCCTTCCTTCCTTCCTTCCTTCCTTCCTTCCTTCCTTCCTTCTAGCACTGATGATGTTCCCTAGCTGGGTCATGAAATGTCTGCAAGGACACCACAGTTCTCCTCCTACTCGCTCCCTTCCTCCCTCCCTCCCTCCCTCCCTCCTTTCCTTCCTTCCTTCCTCCCTCCCTCCCTCCTTTCCTTCCTTCCTCCCTCCCTCCCTCCCTCCTTTCTTTCCTTCCTTCCTCCCTCCCTCCCTCCCTCCCTCCTTCCTTTCTTCCTCCCTCCCTCCCTCCCTCCCTCCCTCCCTCCTTTCCTTCCTTCTTTCCTTCCTTCCTCCCTCCCTTCCTCCCTTCCTCTGAAATCAAGATATATTACGCCAACCGCATTCCCACCTTCTATTACAAAAGTTACCCGATCAGACAATTAAGCAGCCCGGTGACATTTGTTCTTCTCCTTTACACACTGGCTTCTGGTAAAACCTTGCCGGCTGGGGAATTCTGGGAGTTGAAGTCCACGACTCTTAAAAGATTGAGGAACCCCCCCCCCCGGTCTGTGGGACTCTCATTCGCCCAAGGAAGGAGACCCTCGGAGCGACGTTCCCTCCTGGATATGGGGACATCACCTGGGGGTCTCCCCCAGTCCTTCGGCAGCTGGTGGGGCACAGCTGGCCATACGGGGGCGGGGGGGAGGGCGGTTGTTCATGCCCAGCGATTGGCCCTATTGGATCCTGGGGAATTCTGGGAGTTGGGAGTCCACCCCGTGGTCAAAGGTGGACACTTCTGGTCCTCCCCCCCCCAAAGGGGTCCCAGAGCTCCTGGGAGGGGGTGGGGAGAAAGAGCCCCTGGTCCTGTCCAGATGGGTCAGCCCCTGCCCCTTTGCCAAGGGAGGGGGGCAGGCAGTTGACCCCCCCTCGGTAGCAGCTCCCGCCCTCTGTCCCGCAGAGGAAGAAGAGGTGGACAAGATGATGGAGCAGAAGATGAAGGAGGAGCAGGAACGGCGGAGGAAGAAAGAGATGGAGGAGCGCATGTCGCTGGAGGAGACCAAGGAGCAGGTGGGTTCCCCGGGGATGGGAGGACCTTCAAAAGACCCCTCCCCAGCCTGGGATGCCCCCCCCTTGACCACCCCGCTCTCCCCCCCCCCAGATCCTGAAGCTTCAGGAGAAGCTTCAAGCTTTGCAGGAGGAGAAGCATCAACTCTTCCTCCAGCTCAAGAAGGTCCTGCACGAAGAGGAGAAACGGCGTCGCAAGGAGCAAAGGTGGGTGGGGGTCTCTCCCCTCCCCTCTCTCTCCCCCCCAGTGCCCCCCCCTATTCTGCTCTGGCCAGCAACTCCTGGCATTGTGTCTCCCAGCCGCATCTCCAGCAGACCCCAGGTTGTCTTCTTGAGGACTAGCCCAGCTGGCCTCCAGGGCATTGGTGGAGGTCGGGAGAGACCCCCCCCCCATTTGGTGTGATGGCTTCCGGTGCCTCTTGACCCCCCGCCCCAAACTAGCGCGATCCAGTCGCTAATAAAAGAACATTTGTGGCTGGGGGTCCTTGGTGCTCTCTGAGCTGGGTGGTTTCCTTGCAGACATCTCGTGACCCAACCAGGGAATGTCATCAGTGCTAGAAGGAAGGAAGAAGGAAGGAAGGAAGGAAGGAAGGAAGGAAGGAAGGAAGGAAGGAAGGAAGGAAGGAAGGAAGGAAGGAAGGACAGACTGGGGGGTCCTTGGTGCTCTCTGAGCTGGGTGGTTTCCTTGCAGACGTCTCGTGACCCAACCAGGGAACGTCATCAGTGCTGGAAGGAAGGAAGGAAGGAAGGAAGGAAGGAAGGAAGGAAGGAAGGAAGGAAGGAAGGAAGGAAGGAAGGAAGGAAGGAAGGAAGGAAGAAAGACTGTGGGGTCCCTGCTGGTCTCTGAGCTGGGTGGTTTCCTTGCAGACGTCTCATGACCCAACCAGGGAATGTCATCAGTGCTGGAAGGAAGGAAGGAAGGAAGGAAGGAAGGAAGGAAGGAAGGAAGGAAGGAAGGAAGGAAGGAAGGAAGGACTGCGGGGTCCTTGGTGCTCTCTGAGCTGGGTGCTTTCCTTGCAGATGTTTCATGACCCAACTAGGGAACATCATCAGTGCTAGAAGGGAGGAGGAGGAGGAGAAACAAGCTCTTTATGCTGGTTTGTTTCTTGGAGACGTTTCATGACCCAACTAGGGAACATCATCAGGGCTACAAGCGATTGCAGGGAGGAGGAGGAGGAAGACTGTGGGGTCCTTGGTGCTCTCTGAGTTGGGGGGGGTCTCCTTGCAGACGTCTCATAACCCAACTAGGGAACGTCATCCGTGCTGAGAGGGGGTTGAGGCCAGAGGGTCTTCCTCTCTCCTCGGGGTCAGGGACTCGTGATGTGTTTTCAACCAAGTGAAGAGTGGCTCGCTGCCAGCCACTAAGCGGGGGGCTCCATGCTGCTTTGGGGGGCACTGACCGCTTTCCCTTCCTCTCTCTTCCCCCCCCCCCCCCAGTGATATGACCACCTTGGCGGCAGCTGCCTATCAGCAGGGGATGGCTGTGCACGCTGGGACCCACATCCTCAACATGCAAGGTGGGTGGCGGTGGCGGTGGGTCCGGCCTCCGTCAACGGGGTGGGTGGGGGGCTGAGATCCAGGCAGGGGGGGGGTCTGCAGCACCAGAGAAGCAAATGCACTGGGGGTGGTGCTGGGGGGGGGCTGGAGAAGCACCCCCAAAAACCTTCTTTACAACGGAGTCCCAAATCTCCGTCGCTGCACGAGAAACGGACGTTGTGAATTTCTGCCCCGTTTCGCCACCTTCCTGGCCACCGCCGTCGTTAAGCGGATCGCTGCAGTTTGTAACGTTAGCCACCCGGTCGTTAAACAAATCCAGCTTCCCCCCACCAATTGACTTTGCTTGCCGGCAGGTCGCAAAAGGGGATCGCGTCTCACACACACACACACACGCACGCACACACACACGGGATGCTGTGACCGTCATAAGTGCGAGTCGCTTGCCGAGCGTCTGAATGTTTTGACGGTAGGGGATGCTGCGACGGTCGCAAGGGCGAAACAGATGAGATCTCCCCTTTTTTTCCCCACGGCTGCTCTGATTTCGAACGGACACTAAATGAACGCTTGGCAAGTTGGAGACGCCCCCCCCGAACAGCTAGTCCTCAACATAACGACCGCAATCGAGGCCCCCCCCAGACTTCTGTCGTTAAGTGAGACATTAGTTGAATTTTGCCCCGTTTTTACCACCTTTCTCTCCACGGACGTTAAGCGAAGGCCGCAAAAAAAAGGGGGGGATCGCGTGACACACAAACACCCCCCCCCATGGACGCTACGTCCGTCATAAACGTGAGTCAATGGCCAAGCCTCTGGATTTTGGATCACGTGACCCGGGGGGGGAGAATGCAGCGACGGTCGTTAAGTGTGAAAAACAATCCTAAGTCACTTTTTCAGGTGCCACTATAACGTCAAACGGTCACATTTTTACATTTCTCGTATCTTCAAAAAAAGAGAGAGAAAACGGGGAAAAACATTAATTTAATATAAACCCTCCCAACATGTTTAGATATTTCTCAGGTCAAAAAAAAAACAAAAACCCCAAACACGAAAGGAAAAAAAGAAAGAAAGCGTACTATATTATTATTATTTTAGGCCAGTGGTTCTCCACCTGTGGGTCGGGACCCCATTTGGGGTCGAACGACCATTTCAAGGGGGTCGCCAAACAACGCAGTCCGCCATTTTTTTCCCCCTTTTCCTTAGCTGTGCTCCTCCCTTTTATTCTATTGGCTTTGGAAAGCCAATAGAATAGACTCTCTTGAATAGAGTCTAATTCTATTGGCTTTCAAAAGCCAATAGGAGTTGTCCAGGCTGTCTCTGCCCTGCTGAGCCCGCCCAAAGTCCCATTCTGCAAACGGTGCTGCACCAGTTGAGTAGTCCTCGACTTATGACCGGTGGAGTAGTCCTCGACTTACGACCGGTTGGGGGGGTCGCGGCATTAAAAAGGTTGAGAACCACTGTTCTAGCATAAGAAGAAGAGCCCAGCCAATAAATTTAATAAATTTACCATCTCTGTGCCTTCTCCGCAGGCAGTCCGAGTGGGCACAACCGGGCGGCCACCCTCATCCCAGCTGACCGGGCCAAGCAAATGTTCGGACCGCCGGTGATCACGGTAAAGACCCCAACAGGGGTGAACAAACGGAGGGGAGCCTGTTTTTACTCAAAATCGGGGGGTCGGTTTGGATCCCAGCCAGCCTTGTCTTACCTGGTGTGTGTGTATGCGTGTGTGTGTGTATGTGTGCGTGTGAATTCGGAATAGCAGAGCTAACCCTAATCTTATAGATCATCTAATCCAACCCTTTGCTCAGTTTACCATTTCGGACAAACGGCCGTCCAGCCTCTTCTTGAAAACTTCCAGTGTTGGAGCATTCACTGCTTCTGGTGGCCAGTAGTTCCACTGGTTAATTATTCTGTCAGGAAGTTTCTCCTTAGTTCTAGGTTGCTTCTCTCCATGATTAGTTTAATAATAATAATAAAGTTGGAAGGGACCTTGGAGGTCATCTAGTCCAACCCCCTGCTCAGGCAGGAAACCCTATCCCATTTCGGACAAATGGCTGTCCAGTCTCTTCTTAAAAACTCCCAGTGTTGGAGCATTCACCGCTTCTGGAGGCAGGTTGTTCCACTGGTTAATTGTTCTCACTGTCAGGAAGTTTCTCCTTAGTTCTAGGTTGCTTCTCTCCTTGATGAGTTTCCATCCGTTGCTTCTTGTCCTGCCTTCAGGCGCTTTGGAGAATAGCTTGACTGCCTCTTCTTTGGGGCAGCCCCTGAGATACTGGAACACTGCTATCCTGTCCCCCCTCGTCCTTCTGTTCATTAAACTAGACATCCCCAATTCCAGCAGCCTTTTCTTATGTTTTAGCCTCCAGTCCCCTAATCATCTTTGTTGCTCTTCTCTGCACTCTTTCTAGAGTCTCAACATCTTTTTTACATCGTGGTGACCAAAACTGGATGCAGTATTTCAAGTGTGGCCTTACCAAGGCCTTGTAAAGTGGTATTAACCCTTCACGTGATCTTGATTCAATCCCTCTGTTTATCCAGCCAAGGATTGTGTTAGCTTTTTTTTGGCTGCTGCTGCACGACCGGCCACCTCCTGTTTAAGGGATCGTCCACCAGGACTCCGAAGTCCATCTCACTGTTACTACTATTAAACCAGGTTTCACCTAATCAGTACGTGCACTTTGGGTTCTTCCTGCCTAAGTGTCAGACTTTAACTCATCTCTGCGTTTGAATTTCATTCCGTTAGAAAAGTAAATGTTGCGGCACGAAATGAAAATTTCACTCGCTGGTTACGGTTTGTGTGGAGATACTGTGGGTACCCCATCTGGATTTGCACCCAGTGCCCACTGCAGAACCCTTTGGTGCCCTCGCAGACGTCTGTGACCGGTTCGCACGTCGCGCTAAACCTGGTTTGATTCGTTGCAGCTGTTTGAACAAGCCACGATAAGCCAGGCTCAGCTGAGGCCACCAAGTGTTGTTTACAAACCCCGAGCAATTGAGTTCACGCAGCACACGAAACTCAGTTACAAGCCGGTTTATCAAAATTTGTGATCACGGCTAGCTGGGGAATTCTGGGTTTTGAAGTTCCCCGAGTCTTGGATGTGTAGTCCTCGGCCTCGCGACGGCAATTGAGGCCAGAATTTATGTGGCTAAGTGAAACATTTGTTTCGGTGAGTTTGACCCTCTGCTAGGACTTCGGTTAAGCGAATCGCCGGCGTCGTTAAATGAGTAACAGTGTTGTTAAGTGAATCTGGCTTCCCCTCCCCCCATTGCTTGTCAGAAGGTTGCAAACGGGAGAATCGCACAATCCCTGGACATGGCGACCGTCGTAAGTGTGAGTCGGTTGCCCAAGGCCTGAATTTGGATCACGTGACCCCCAGGGTTGCTGCAACGGTCGTTAAGCGTGAAAAATGGTCCTAAGTCTCTTTTTTTTTCAGTGCCAGACAGTCACTAAATGAACCGTTGTAAGTTTGTGCAACTTTGAGCAGGGAAAATTCCAGCTTTCGGGACTGGACCCGAGGCTGCTTCTGATCCCCACTTTTTTTGGGCGGGGGGTCTCTTCTCCCCGACAGACACGGCACTTTGCGACCCAGCCAGCTTTCCCGGCCGGCACCCCGGAACACGGGCAGTACCAGGGCAGCCAAGCCGGGCACAGCCCCTACGCCGTGGGGCAGGGCCAGCACACGGTGCCCGTCAGCTACGCCAGCAGTCAGTCCATCCGAGGTGAGCAGGAAGAGAGGACGGAGGGGGTGGCTGGCTCCTGCGACACCTGTGGGGTAGAACAGGCCAGGATTAAACCAACATCCCATCTCCTCCTCTTCTTCCTCCCCCTCCCCCCCTCCCAGGACCCTCGGCTTTCTCCACGATGCAGTACTTGCCCCAGCAGCAACCTGGTTACGCCATCCACGGTCACTTCCCCGCCGCCCAGGCAGGTGAGTTCCAGGATCGGGAGAGGGTCCGTGAGGTCATCCATCCCATCCCCACCGACTCGGAGCGGGCGGGCGGCCAGCCAAGGAATCGTTGCTCGTCTCCCCTTTTTTTGAGGATGATTTGCGCCCTTTTTTTGCCCCTGCTTAAGGATTCATCCCGCCCAGCACCACCATCCCTCTCCAGAAGCAGCTGGAACACGCGAACCAGCAGTCCGGGTTTTCCGATTCGGTGAGTTCGGATCCTGAGCGTTTCCTGGCGTGGCAGGATGTGGCACAGGCGTTTTTCAGAGGGGCGGGCTGTTAAAGCTGGCAGGTTGGTCTAGCGGTTGAGAGACCAGACTAGGAACCAGGAGGCCCTGGGTTCTAGTCCCACCTTAGGCATGAAAGCCAGCTGGATGAGTTTGGGCCAATCATCAGGAGGCTGTGAGTTCTAGTCCTCATTTAGGCATGAAAGCCAGTCGGTGACTTTGGGCCAATCATCAGGAGGCTGTGAGTTCTAGTCCCGCCTTAGGCACGAAAGCCAGCTGGGTGAATTTGGGCCCATCACCAGGAGGCTGTGAGTTCTAGTCCCGCCTTAGCCATAAAATCTGGCTGGGTGACTTTGGGCCAATCACCAGGAGCTGTGATTTCTAGTTCCACCTTAGGTATGAAACCTGGCTGGGTGATTTTAGGTCAATTACCAGGAGCTGTGAGTTGTAGTTCCACCTTAGGTATGAAAGCCCCCTGGATGACTTTGGGGCAATCACCAGGGGCTGTCATTTCTAGTTCCACTGTAGGTATAAAACCCGGTTGGGTAATTTTAGGTCAATTACCAGGAGCTGTGAGTTGTAGTTCCACCTTAGGCATGAAAGCCCCCTGGATGACTTTGGACCAATCATCAGGAGCTGTGAGTTCTAGTTCCACCTTAGGTATGAAACCTGGCTGGGTGATTTTAGGTCAATTACCAGGAGCTGTGAGTTGTAGTTCCACCTTAGGTATGAAACCTGGCTGGGTGATTTTAGGTCAATCACCAGGAGCTGTGAGTTGTAGTTCCACCTTAGGTATGAAAGCCCCCTGGATGACTTTGGGGCAATCACCAGGGGCTGTGATTTCTAGTTCCACTGTAGGTATAAAACCCGGTTGGGTAATTTTAGGTCAGTTACCAGGAGCTGTGAGTTGTAGTTCCACCTTAGGCATGAAAGCCCCCTGGGTAATTTTAGGCCAATCACCAGGAGCTGTGAATTCTAGTTCCACTGGGTGACTTTGGGCCAATCGCCGGCAGACGGTGACCGGTCCTTATTGAGCAACTCCACGCAGGACCTCATGTGGGAGGATCCGAAGCCCTGTTTTCCTGTTAAATCCGGAAGGCAGAAAGGCATCTATGGAATAAAAATATTTCGGGGGCCACCTGAGGGCATCTAGACGGGCTGAGTGCCCCCCCCCCGCCTCTGCCCTCCAGCGGAGGGGGTCCATTTCAGAGAAGGTGGGGGGCTGATCCTTTGTGCCTCCCCCCCCCTTTTGTCTTTCAGTCCACCCTTCGTCCGATGCACCCCCAGGCCCTCCACCCCAACCAGGGTCTCCTCCAGGCCTCTCAGCTCCCGGTCCAAATGCAGACCACCGCCAAGGTAAGGCCGGGATTGGCAGAGCTTGCCCCCAAATCTGTGTGTGTGTGTGTGTGTCTGTGTGTGTGTGTGTGTGTGTACGCACACCACAATTGCAGTTCAGTTTTGCTGCTTTCCTCCAGCGAGTCGAGTCACTGATTCCAGCCCTTTCCTTTCTCCGTTCTGCTCCGAACTGCTAGCTTTTATGGGCGCTTTTATTCTTTTTAGTTATTTATTATCTTTAGTTATTTATTACATTGGTCTGCCCCCCCCTCCCTCCCTCCCTCCCCGTGAGGGCTGGCAAGATAATCCAGCAAGCAGAGATGTAGAAACAGGCGATAAATGATTAAAAAACGGATGACAAATGCCGAAGGGAAACTGTTCAATCATCTTTCTTTCTTTCTCTTTCTCTTTCTCGCTTTCTTTTTCTTTCTTTCTCTTTTTCTTGCTTTCTTTCTTTTTCTTTCTTTCTCTTTCTTTTTCTTGCTTTCTTTCTCTTTCTTGCTTTCTTTCTTTCTCTTTCTTGCTTTCTTTCTTTCTCTTTTTCTTTTTCTTTCTTTCTTTTTCTTTCTTTCTCTTTCTTGCTTTCTATCTTTCTCTTTCTTTCTCTTTTTCTTTCTTTCTTTTTCTTGCTTTCTTTTTCTTTTTTTCTCTTTCTTTCTTTCTCTTTCTTTTTCTTGCTTTCTTTCTTTTTCTTGCTTTCTTTCTTTCTTTTTCTTGCTTTCTTTCTCTTTCTTGCTTTCTTTCTTTCTCTTTCTTGCTTTCTTTTTTTCTCTTTCTTTCTTTCTTTCTCTTTCTTTCTTTCTTTCTTTCTTTCTTTCTTTCTTTCTTTCTTTCTTTCATCTATCTATCGCGCTGCAGCCCACTTTGGCCTACACTCACCCGGCCCGGCCTGCCTCTCCGGGGACCTTCCCACAGCAGCCACATACGGTAGGTTTTGCTCTGACCGACAGTGGGGGGGGGGCGGCGAGGGAATTAAAGCAAAGGCCGCTGTGGGACTAGAATTCCCGGTGCCTGGTGACTTCTCCAAAGTCACCCAGCTGGCTTTCATACCTAAGGCGGGACTAGAACTGACCGTCTCCTGGCAACTGGCCCAAACTCACCTAGCTGGCTTTCATGCCTAAAGCGGGACTAGAACTCATGGTCTCCTGCTGACTTATCCAAAGTCACCCAGTTGGTTTTCATAAGGCGGAACTAGAACTCACCATCTCCTGGCGATTGGCCCAAACTTACCCAACTGCTTTCATGCCCAGGGTAGGACTAGAACTCACCGTCTCCTAGCGATTGCTTAAAGTCACCCAGCCGGCTTTTATGTCTTAAGGCGGGACTAGAACTCACCATCTCCTGGTTTCACGCCGAGGATGGGACTAGAACTCACCGTTGCCTAGTTATTGGCCGAGGTCACCCAGACAGCTTTCATGCCTAAATGAGGACTAGAACTCACCGTCTCCTGGTCATTGGCCCAAAGTCGTCCCAACTGGCTTTCACGCCCAAGGCAGGACTAGAACTCACCGCCCCCTAGTTTCTGGACCACCCCTTAACAGTTACATCATCCGCTGATAACGTTTTGTGTTTTTAAACCTCTTTTTTTCTCTCAGTCTGGCTTCCAAGCTTCACCCCAGGCCGCACCTCGGCACCCTTTTATACAGCACCCGCAAGGTCAGCGTTTCTACCACAAGTGAGCCCCGACAGACACACACACAGAAACACACACACATACACACACCGGCTGCTTCAGCGTCCTACCCCGCCCGCGTGCCCGGCCTGAATTTGAAAAGTCTCCCTCGGAACGAGTGTCTGCCCGGGAATCCTTGTCTGCCTTCCTCTCCAGAACTGTCATGCATTTTGCCAAATTGCAACCGTGGCGTTCTCCAAATACACTTGTGCGGCTTTCGTTTCACGCAGGACGAGCCTGGTGTGGTTTCTTCCAGCCTCCCGTCGCCCCGTGGAGCATTGGGGTGGGGAGGACGCGAGTGCAAATCACGCTGCAGCGAAGAAAGGGAAACCGGGTGTCTTTGCACACAATGTAGGGGTCTTCAAACTTGGCCCTTTGATGGCTTGTGGACTTCAACTCCCAGAATTCCTCAGCCAGGAATTCTGGGAGTTGAAGTCCATAAAAGGGTCCTAGTTCCCTCACGCTGACTGAGGAATTCTGGGATATGAAGTCCACAAGTCATAAAAGGGTCCTAGTTCCCTCACGCTGGCCAAGGAATTCTGGGAATTGAAGTCCACAGGTCATCAAAGGGTCCTAGTTCCCTCATGCTGGCTGAGGAATTCTGGGAGTTGAAGTCCATAAAAGGGCCCCAGTTCCCTCACGCTGGCTGAGGAATTCTGGGAGTTGAAGTCCATAAAAGGGCCCCAGTTCCCTCACGCTGGCTGAGGAATTCTGGGAGTTGAAGTCCATAAAAGGGCCCTAGTTCCCTCACGCTGGCTGAGGAATTCTGGGAGTTGAAGTCCACACATCTTTAAGGCTGGGAAACACTGAGGTGGCTTCACAATCCTGTGCCACTTACACAACAGGCTGCAATTTAAATCATTGCAACTGATCAAATCATAGTTTCCCCAAGATCTTCCAGGATAATCCAGGTTTTGTTTGTTCGGAAGCCATCCAAAGCGGAGCTAAACCTGCATCTGGGTGGTTCCACAGATGGACAATTTAACCATCTTCTGCATCCTTTTAGCTTACGTGTGGACAATCTATGGGTCAAAAAAGATCTCTGGACTTCAACTCTCAGAATTCCTGAGCCAGCCAGGCTGGCTCAGGAATTCTGGGAGTTGAAGTCCACCGGGTGTAAAATGGGCTCATGGGTGCCCATCCTGCTTTAGCTGAGGAAGATGTTACCTGTTGGACAGGTGGGTCTTCCTTAAGATGGTGAAATACAGAGTCTCCCTAGGACGAAGCCAACGGTTCTTAGATGTTGGCCACCAACGGAGATCCTTGACCACTAGGGAATACTGCCCCTGTTGGTTGACCTCTGATGGCAACCAGGCCACCATATTCCATATCCATGATGGGTTTTGGGTGGTCTTCCAAGGCCTGTCCATTTGGAAAGACGGCAAAGGGGCGGAGGTGGTAAGCTCCGGATAGGAAGCCATCATACTCCACATATCCATTTAGTGACCAAGGTCACAATGGCGCTGAGGAAAGCAACTTGTGATCCTTTTTCACATAACTGCGGCAACATCCCCGGAGCCGTGATCAAAACTTGGACGCTTGGCAACCGAGTCACATTTAATGAGTCTGGAACAAGAAAGATTTTAAACCTCTGTAGCCGTGTTTCTTAAAATACAGCCTCTCAACGTTTGTCTGCAACATCAAAATCATTTGCCATGCGTTGAATATATTTGCAAAGCTATATAAAGCAGTGTCTCTTTTTTATATTTTATGGGTTGAAAAATCACGTAGGGTTCTTGCGTGAAAAATATTCATGTTAATATCTAGTTATTTTTCCGTTAATTCGTTCAGCAGTGGTTCCTTTCTGGGGACGAATGCATTTTGAAAATTAAAAGGGTGCATCTCGATAAAGACAATGCATATAAAACAAAAGCTCCTTGGGGGGGTTTCTCGATTTTAAAAGTTTTAAAAGCAGGAAAGAGTCGTTAAGGATAAAAGGTTTTTAAGGAACACTTAGCCCAATTTCAGGGGGTTTTTTTGAAAACACTCGTCTCCTTTCTCAAATCTGAGCAGGGGGCTGGACTAGATGACCTCCAAGGTCCCTTCCAACTTTATTATTGTTATTACTATTAAACCTAACCATCCTCATCTCTTTCCGTGTCTTTTTAGTCGTGTGTGTACTAAGCGTTAAGACACCCAAAGATAGTATTTATAATACTTAGGTCACGCGATCCCCTTTTGTGACTTCCTGGTAAGCGAAATCAACGGGGAAATCAGGATTCGAACTCGGGATCCGTCGAATGAACTACGGCAAGTCGTTAAAAAAAAGGGGGCAAAATAACAGCTGTCCGTGCTTAGTGACGGACGCTCTGGGCTCCGTTGGGTTTGTAAAAATTACTGGCTTCCCATCTTTCTGTAGGGTGACTGGCCGGCTTACAGTTACATACATTGTCGTCGTAAATCAGGGACTCCCCGTATTTCCTCCTCTCACCCCCACCCTCCCAGGCCAGGCTCCTGCAAGGGTGTTTTCGCCTCTTCGGCCGAGCCGGCCCTTTTTGCAAAGGACAGTGCTGGCCAAAGACATCGGCAATCCACCCCCCCCAAAAGGAGGCACGTTGATGCGCTGACGGACGCGGCCAACCGCACCCCACCTTCTCTCTGTTGCTGCACCCCACATCCCTTCCCCTTGGGTCTCTGGGCAGAGCCCTCTCCCCTGGCCAGGGCAAGGCTGTCCCCCCCCCCCCCCGGCTGCCCCCTTGCAAGGGATGGGAGGGGGGAGAGAGGAGGAGGAGAGGGAAAGGGAGAGGGAGGGACAGTGGGAAGGAGGGAGAGGGGCAGGGAGAGGAAAGGGAAAGAGTGAGAGGGAAAGAGGCAGAGGAGAGGAAGGGGAAAAGGGAGGAAGAGGGGAGGGAGGGAAAGGGGGAGGGGAAAGTGAGGGAGAGGGAAGGAGGGAGGGGAAAGGGGAGGGAAAGGGAGAGGGAAGGAGGAAGGAGGAAGGGGAAAGGGAGGGAGAGTGGGATCGAGGGAGGAGGGAAAGGGAGGGAGAGGGGAGGTGAAAGGGAGAGGGAAGGAGGGGAAAAGGGAGAGGAAGAGGGAAGGGGAGGGAGGGAGGAAGAGGGAACGAGGGAGGGAGAAAGGGAAGGAGAGGAAGGGAGGGAGGGAGGGTGGGATCGAGGGAGGAGGGAAAGGGAGGGAGAGGGGAGGGGAAAGGGAGGGAGAGGGAAGGAGGGGGAGAGGGAGAGGGGAGGGAGGGAAAGGGACAGAGTGGGAACGAGGGAGGGAGAGGGGAAAGGGGGGAGGGACAGAGAGTGGGATCGAGAGAGAGGGAAAGAGGGAGGGGAAGGGGAGGGAGGGGAAAGGAGGGAGAGGGGGAGGGAAGGAGGGAGAGGAGAGGGAGGGGGAAAGGGAGGGAAAGGGAGAGGGAAGGAGGAAGGGGAAAGGGAGGGAGGGAGGGTGGGATCGAGGGAGGAGGGAAAGGGAGGGAGAGGGGAGGGGAAAGGGAGGGAGAGGGAAGGAGGGGGAGAGGGAGAGGGGAGGGAGGGAAAGGGACAGAGTGGGAACGAGGGAGGGAGAGGGGAAAGGGGGGAGGGACAGAGAGTGGGATCGAGAGAGAGGGAAAGAGGGAGGGGAAGGGGAGGGAGGGGAAAGGAGGGAGAGGGGGAGGGAAGGAGGGAGAGGAGAGGGAGGGGAAAAGGGAGGGAAAGGGAGAGGGAAGGAGGAAGGGGAAAGGGAGGGAGGGAGGGTGGGATCGAGGGAGGAGGGAAAGAGAGGGAGAGAGGGGAGGGGAAAAGGGAGAGGAAGAGGGAAGGGGAGGGAGGGAAAGAGAGGGACAGAGTGGGAACGGGGGAGAGGGAAAGGGAGAGAGAGAGGGAGAGGAAAGGGGGGAGGGACAGAGAGTGGGATCGAGGGAGGGAGAGGGAAAGAGGGAGGGAGAGGGGGAGGGAAGGGGAGGGAAAGAGGAAAAGGGAGGGACAATGGGAACGAGGGAAAGGGAGAGGGAGGGAGGAAGAGGGAAGGAGAGAGGGAGGGGAAGGGGAAAGGGAGGGAGGGAAAGAGGGAAGGGGAAAGGGAGGGGGGAGAGAGGGAAAGGGAGGAGGGAGGGAGAGGGAGGGAGAGGAAGAGGGAGGGACCCCGAAAGCCCCCATCGCACAATGAAGACACAGCCAGAGCCAGGCGTTCATATTAAACTTGTTTTTATTGAGGTTGATTAACAAATGGGTTGGATTAACAGGGCGGGGGGGGGGGAAAGGGGAGGGGGGGCGCCACAGCTTGACCTGTGAACAGCAGAGGAGAGTAAATATGAACCGAGGAGACCATTCGGGGTGCTAGTTGGTTACCCGGCCTGCACCCCCCCCCCAAGATTCCCTAACCTTAAAACAGCTCTTGGGTGGCGACAGTTACCCAGCATATGGGGGGGGGGGCCTGCTCAGGGCCGAAGAGATGCCGGCGATTTCTAACTCCCAAGAACGAGGAGGGGGCTCATAGGCAGCTACAAGCACTGGGGAGGGGGGGGAGAGGGGGAGGAAGGAGGGGAAGGGGGGGGGCGAGGAAAGGAAATCCAACATGATTGACAGGGAGCAGAGTAACCCCGCCCCTACGCCGCAGAGGGCAGTTCCCCATCGTCCCAGGCCTGGCGGGGGTCTTCTTGTCCCCCCCCCCACCGTTGCAGATAAAGAGGGGGGAGGGCTCCAGTGAGGAAGAGGAGGAAGAGGGTTTAAGCAGAGCTCAGCAACCAGAGTGGGGATCTCCCCCCCCCCCCAAAAAACAACGCACTTTGTTGGGAAATGACCCAAACCTGCTGCAATGCAACCATCCAGCAGACAGGTGATGGGGGGGGAATAAAAAAAAAATCAAACGGCCCCCCCACCCACCCTTTCAACAGAAAGGCTCATGGGGGGGAGAGGAAAGAGCGCAGCCAGGCCGACAAGCCTCCCTCCCCGGCGTCTTGCTTCGGGGTGGGTGGGGGGAGAAAAGGGGATGGCTTCGCAGCCCCCTCCCCTCTCAAAAACTGCCCTCTCCCGAAAAGAGGATGAAAAACAACGGGGGGGGGGTCAGAAAAAAAGGTTAAAACGAAAGAATCTCTCCCGGTGGTTTTCTTCTCCTGCCCCCCCCCCCTTCTCCCTTTCCAGCGGTTTAAATATTTTTTTTTCCTCTTTTTTTTTTTTAAGTGCAAATTTTCCCGAACTTCTCTTGGCCAGAAACAACAACAAAGAAAAAATCCACAAAAAATAAGCCTCAGCTGTAGTGTGACAAGCACCCGAGAGAGGAAGAGGAAGAAAGGGGAGGGGGGGAAAGCAGGGCAGAGGAAGGGGGTCTTGTGGGTGGGGGGGGGTCAAAACAAGGGAGAGAAAAAAAAAAACCCCGATTATGTCGACATCCAGCTCTTGTTGGGAGGGGTGTGGGGGGAGGACGTATTTATTTTTATTTATTCGTATGCCTCGTTTTTTGCTCTCTCTCTCTCTCTCTCTCTTTTTTTTTTGTAAAAAGACCACAAAATAAAAAGCTTGGTTTTCTTTGTTTTAATTCAAAAGGGGGAATGGGGGGGGGACGGGGACAGGGAGGATCAGAAAGGGAGGGGAGGGGCCTTCGTTCGTTTCGATGGAAGAGAAAGAGGAAGAGGAGGAGAAGAGGAAGAAGAAGAAGAGAGGAGGGAAGAAGGAAGGAAGGGAAAAAAAAAAAACCAAGATTTTGGGTGGTTCGGAGCCCAATCTGACAAGTCTGCGGGTTGCGATCCTCTCCGATTCGCGACAAGGTTGGTGGTTGCGGCTGCGGCAGTTGCCTGTGGGGGGGGGGGAAAGGGGGAGGTGATGGGGGGAGTTAAAGAGCCCCCCCAGGGAAAAAGAACCGCCTCTCCCCCCCACGCTGCTCCCCCCCCACCCTCACCTGGACTCACCTGTGGTTCCTTTATTTAGCCATGGCTTTGATAGCGACAGCAGCTTCCTCGGTCATTGCAGACAGAACAGTGATCTGGGGGGGGCAGGGGGGGAGGAAGAGAGCAGGTCAGGAGGAGGAAAACTTGGGGGGGTCCCCCCCAAATTGCTGCATCTTCCCTCCCCCCCCCCAAAAAAGCAAGAAGTCTTTCAGTGCTGGATCTGCTATGCTCGAATTTCTCAGCTTGGGAAATATTTGGAGGGGGAGAGAAAAGACTTCAACTCCCAGAATTCCCTGCTGCATCTTCCCCACACCCCCGGGGAGGCTGGCTAGGGAATTCTGGAAGTCCTCCCGCCCCCCATCTTCCAAGGTGGAGGAAACATCACCTTTGAAAACTTGCCGGATGGCCGTTTTCCCGCATCCCTGGTCCTTCCCCCCCCCCCTTGGTACAGGTAGCCCCTGGGTTTACGGCCACAACTGAGCCTGGGCTTTCTGCCGTTAAGTGAGACGTTGAACCAAGTTGATTTTGGGTCCCGTTTTCTGGACGCAGTGGTTAAGAGAAGCACCACAGCTGATAAGTCAGTAACCGGGATGTTAGTTATAAGGATTTATATCTCTATGTCTAGAGATAGATAGATAGATAGATAGATAGATAGATAGATAGATAGATAGATAGATAGATAGATAGATAGATAGATAGATAGATAGATAGACACAGACAGACATGGACAGATGATAGATAAATGATAGATAATACAGACATGGATAGATAGATAGATAGATAGATAGATAGATAGATAGATAGATAGATAGATAGATAGATAGATATAGATAGACACAGCAATTAACTACAGGGGGGAGAGAGATTTAGATACATAGATACACAGATAGATACAGATAGATAGATGATAGACACAGACAGATATGGATAGATGGATGGATGGATGGATAGATGGATGGATGGATAGATAGATAGATAGATAGATAGATAGATAGATAGATAGATAGATAGATAGATAGATAGATAGATAGATAGATAGATAGATAGATAGATAGATAGATATAGATATATATAGACACAGCAATTAACTACAGGGGGAGGGAGCTGAATAGACCAGTAACATGGTCATTAGCCAAACGCTTGGAGTCACAAAGACTATAAGAACGTGATTCTCAATCCTGACTAGAACTCTGTCGATGTCAGCAGACGCTGACAAAAGCGAAGTTTTTAAATACATTTTTAGTCTCAGTGATCTGTGTTTTAGTTTTTGAATATGAACGTACCCGAGTCTCGTATCTTCAAAACCATTTTAGATAAGACATAAATATATACACACACACACACACACACACACATTTCATTCTGATGCTTTAGCTAAGCACGTGTATCCGCCACTGCCCAGGCTCTGCGCCCAGTGAATGGGCCAAGCCCGATAGGCCCGGGGCTCCTCCTCACCAGTATTTCTTCTCCGCTGTCGTATTTCTGTTCGATCTCCTTGCCCAGGTCTCCCTCAGGGAGACGCAGATCCTCCCGGACATCCCCGCTGTCCTGGAGCAGAGACAGGTAGCCATCCTGGATGCCAATGAGCTGCGACACAAGAGCGGAACGAAGGAGAAACAACTCGACCGTGAGGACAAGTCACCAGTGGAACAGCTCGCCACATCCCATCCACCCCCAAACCCCCTGGGCCTACCTACCTGGAAGTCATTTCTCTTGATGTTGGGCACGTCCATGTTGTGAGTTGAGGGGCAGATATCTTCGTATTTTTTCCCAGTGAAGATGTCTATGCCGACGAGATGCACCTAGGATCCCAGCAGAGGGAGAGAACGGCCTCAGCACATTGCCAGAGGGGAGAGGGGGGGTCCACGTGGACACGGTCCATATGGGGGGGGAAGGAAGGAGGAAGAAGAAAAGGACTGTGGGGTCCTTGGTGCTCTCTGAGCTTGCAGACGTCTCTTGACCCAACTAGGGAACGTCATCAGTGCTAGAAGGGAGGGGGTTTGTGGAGAGGAGGAGGAGGAGAAACTGTGGTTTCCTTGCAGATGTTTCATGACCCAACCAGGGAACATCACCAGTGAAGGAAGGAGGAAGGAAGGAAGGGAGGGAGGGAGGGAGGGAGGGAGGGAGGGAAGGAAGGAAGGAAGGAAGGAAGAAGAAGGAAGGAAGGAAGGAAGAAGGAAGGACGGACGGACTGTGGTCTCCTTGCAGGCATTTCATGACCCAACTAGGGAACATCATCAGTGCTAGAAGGAAGAAGGGAAGGAAGGAAGGAAGGAGGGAGGAGGGAGGGAGGGAGGGAGGGAGGGAGGGAGGGAGGGAGGGAGAAGAACTGTGGTCTCCTTGCAGATGTTTCATGACCCAACTAGGGAACACCATCAGTGCTAGAAGGAAGGAAGGAAGGAAGGAAGGAAGGAAGGAAGGAAGGAAGGAAGGAAGGAAGGAAGGAAGGATGGAAGGAAGGAAGGAAGGAAAGAGGAGAACTGTGGTCTCCTTGCAGACGTTTCATGACCCAACTAGGGAATATCATCAATGCAGGAAGGAAGAAAGGAAAGAAGGAAGGAAGGGAGAGAGGGAGGGAGGAGAACTGTGGTCTCCTTGCAGATGTTTCATGACCCAACCAGTGAACATCATGAGTAAAAAAAAAAGGGGAGGGGGTTCGCAGAGAGGAGGAGGGGGAGAAGGACTCTCTGAACTTGATGGGTTTTCTGCAGACGTCTCTTGACCCAACTAGGCAACGTCCTCAGTGCCAGAAGGGAGTGGGGTTTGCAGGGAGGAGGGGGGGGGGGAAGCCAGCCCTGCCTGGCAAAGCAGCTCCAGGGAGCCCCTTTCCAACAGCAGCAGCAGCACACACACACACCCCCGGCTGTCCTGCTCCTCCGTTCTCCTCCCTCCCAGATTTTATTTTATAATGGAGGATTTTAATGTTTCACTGGGTCTACGTTGTAAGCTGGCCAGAATCCCTGCAAATAAAATGTCATAATAGATTAAAACTTTCAGGCATTCCAGCAGCATCCACACATCTTAAAAGAGTGGATGAGGTTGGAATATATGTCTCTGGGGCCTCCTCCTCTCCACACACCTCTCCCTTCTAGTACTGATGCCGTTCCCTAGTTGGGTCATGAAACGTCTGCAAGAAAACCACCCAGCTCAGAGAGCACCAAGGACCCCGGGGTCTGTCCGTCCATCCTTCCTTCCTTCCTTCCTTCCTTCCTTCCTTCCTTCCTTCCTTCCTTCCTTCCTTCCTCCCTCCCCCTCCTTTCCACAACCCCCCTCCCTTCTAGCACCGATGATGTTACCTACTTGGGTCATGAAATGTCTACAAGAAATGCGTTGAGACCCCCAAGGACCCCACAATTCTCCTCCTCTTCCTCTCTTCTAGTCCTAGTTCCCTAGCTGGGTCACCAAACGCCTGCAAGGACCCCTCAATTCTTCTCCTCCTCCTCCTCCTCCCTCCACTCAGCAAATCCCCCCTCCCTTCCTGGGGAAGGACAGCAAAGGCTACTATGCCCCCAGGTGAGTCCTGCGCCCAGCCTTTGGGACCTAACCACCCTATTTTGCATGGGGGGGGGAAGGAGGAGGAACAAAGGGTTTCCCTGGAAGATCAAGACCCCCCCCCCATAGTTTGCATCTGGGAAAAGTTGCAGACTACGACCCCGAGCACTGATGGTGTTCCCTAGTTGGGTCATGAGACGTCTGCAAGGAAATGCCCAATTTCAGAGAGCCCCAAGGACCTATAGTTCTCCTCCTCCTCCTCCTCTTCTTCCTTCCTTCCTTCCTTCCTTCCTTCCTTCCCTCCCTCCCTCCTCCTCCTCCCCCCTTCTTCTTCTCTGCAAACCCCACTCCCTTCCAGCACTGATGATGTTCCCTAGTTGGGTCATGAAACGTTTGCAAGAAAACCACCCAGCTCAGAGAGCACCAAGGACCCCACAGTCGTCGTCGTCATCCTTCCTTCCTTCCTTCCTTCCTTCCTTCCTTCCTTCCTTCCTTCCTTCCTTCCTTCCTTCCTTCCTTCCTTCCTTCCTCCCTCCCTTCCAGCACTGATGACGTTCCCTACTTGGGTCATGAAACTGCAGGCCACTTTAGCTGACTGTATTCAGCAGGTCAGCGGTTCAAATCTCACCGGCTCAAGGTTGACTCAGTCTTCCATCCTTCCGGGGTAGGTAAAATGAGGACCCAGATTGTTGGGGGCAATGTAAATATATATATATATATACATTGCTTACTGGTGTACGCCGCTTAGAGAGTGCTTGCACTTAAAGCGGTATATAAGTCTCATAAATAAATAATAAATAAATAAATAAACAGCTGCCAGAAAACAAGCAAGCTCAGAGAGCACCAGGGACCCCACAGTCCTCCTCCACCACCTCCTCCTCATCATCTCTGGAAACCCCACACTCCTTCTAACACTGACGATGTTCCCTAGCTGGGTCATGAAACGCCTGGAAGAAAACCACCCAGCGCAGACAGCCGCAAGGGCCCTGGGGTCCAGCTCCTCTCCCCCTAGCACTGACGACGTCCCCTAGGAGGGCCACGGAAACGTCTGCGAGGAAAAACGAAGATCGGAGAAAGCACACAAGGCAAGGACCCCCGGGGGTCCTGCACACCCTCCTCCTCCTCCTCCATCTGGCCAGCTGCACAATGGGACACACACACACACACACACACATGGGGCAAGCAAGGGGGAAGATGCCACTCAACGCGTGCCAACTCAGGCGCAACCAGGAGCGTCCCCAAGGGGAAAAAAAACCCCTCCCGCCGCAGTTGCCAAAGCCTTCTGCTCCCCCCCCTTTGCCGGGCACTTACTTTGGCGTGGCCGTGCTTGCCCGTCTTCGAGGTGGACATCTCCACAATCTTGCAGGGACGGCCTTTGAGCACCACAAAGCCGTTCTTGCGGAGGGCGGAGCACTGCATGGGAAACGTGGCGGAGGCACCGGCGTCCCCGGTCTCAAAGTCGAGGTCGTCAGCCATGGTGGATCAGGTGTTGTGGAAACCGCTGGTCGAAGAAGAGGAGGAGGAAGAGAGAGAGAGAGTCAGAACAACTGCTGGCCGGCTGGAATGAGAGACAAAGCCCGTCGGGGAAAAGACGGAGGCGGAAACCCCGGGCACAGCAACCGCTTCCAAGGCCGAGGAGGAGAAACACACCCACGGGAAGTCGCGATACCCGCCGGTTGGCACGTCACAAGCACACAAGCGCACACCCCCGGCTCGCCAAGCTGCAGGAGCCGGAAAAGGAAAGGTATAAAATACAGGATGGTGCCCTGGGATGCATAGAAAGCAAAGGAGGGGGGAGGTATCTTCTTCAAGGATGGGCCCTTTTAGGACTTCAACTCCCAGAATTCCTCAGCCAGCATGAGATTCAATTCTGGGAGCTGAAGTCCACAAGAAGGGGTCTTCAAATTCGGCCCTTTGATGACTTGCGGACTTCAACTCCCAGAATTCCTCAGCCTTTCGAACCTGGTCCGTTTTAAAATAGGGGGACTTCTACTCCCAGCTGGGGGATTCTGGGAGTTGAAGTCCAGCCATCTTTAAATGGTTAGGGCGGGTGGGGGTGTCTTCCAGCTTGGCCCTTGGATGACTTGTGGACTTCAACTCCCAGAATTCCTCAGCCAGCGTGAGGGAACTAGGGGGCAACTGGACTTTGTTTTTCTTTGAAGGCGTTTCCCTTTTCCTCCAAGAAGCTTCTTCAGCTCTGACTTCCATTCCCCACCGTCCAGTCAGAGCCGAAGTTGCTTCTTGGAGGAGAAGCAAAACGCCTTCAAAGAAAAACAAAGTCCAGTTGCCTCCTAGTTGAAGTCCACCAACGGGTCCTAGTTCCTTCACGCCGGTTGAGGAATTCTGGGAGCTGAAGTCCACAAGTCATCAAAGGGCCAAGTTTGAAGAGCCCTGCAGCAACTGTGAGAGGGACCTCGGAGTCCTAGTGGACAATCACCTAAATAGGAGCCAGCCGTGTGCTGCAGCTGCCAAAAAGGCCAACACAGTGCTAGGCTGCATTAACAGAGGGACAGAATCAAGATCGTGTGAAGTGTTAATACCACTTTACAAGGCCTTGGTAAGGCCACACTTGGAATACGGCATCCAGTTTTGGTCACCACGATGTAAAAAAGATGTTGAGACTCTAGAAAGAGTACAGAGAAGAGCAACAAAGAGGATCAGGGGACTGGAGGCTAAAACATACAAGGAAGGGCTGCTGGAATTGGGTATGTCCAGTTTAATGAAGAGAAGGACGAGGGGGGACAGGATAGCAGCCTTCCAGTATCTCAGGGGCTGCCCCAAAGAAGAGGGAGTCAAGCTTTTTTCCAAAGCGCCTGACAGAAGCAACGGAGGGAAACTAATCAAGGAGAGAAGCAACCTGGAACGAAGGAGGAATCTGCAGACAATTAGAATTAATCCGTGGGACGACTTGCCTCCAGAAGTTGTAGGCACTCCATCACTGGAGGTTTTTAAGGCTAGACAGTCACTTGTCTGAGATGGTGTAGGTTCTCCTGCCTGAGCAGGGGGCTGGACTAGAAGACCTCCAAGGTCCCTTCCAGCTCTATTCTAATGAAAAGGACTAGGGGTGACATGAGAGCAGCATTCTAGTATTTGAGGGGCTGCCCCAAAGAAGAGGGAGGGGGTGTCCTTCTATTCTCCAAAGCACCAGAAGGCAGGACAAGAAGCAACGGATAGAAACTAATCGAGGAGAGAAGCAACCTGGAACTAAGGAGAAACTTAGAACACTTAAACCAGTGGAACAGCCTGCCACCAGAAGTTGTGGGTGCTCCATCCCTGAAGCCTTTTAAGAAGAGACTGGATAACCCTTTGCCTGGGACTGTACAAAGTCTCCTGCTTGAGCAGGGGGCTGGATTGGAAGACCTTACGACATGCCGCCACAACTCAGCCCCAAATTTCCGTTCTTAAGGCATTCGTTAAGTCAGTTTTGCCCCATTTGAGGACGCAATTATTAAGCGACTCGCTGCGGTTGTTGCGTTAGGAACACGGCGGTTCAGTCAATCTGGCTTCCCCTCATGGACTTTGTCAAGTCGTAAAAGGGGATCACATCACACAGACACACACACACACACACACACACACACACACGGACGCTGCGACCATCATAAACATGAACCAGTTGCCGAAAGCCTGAATTTTGATCACGTGTGCACAGGGAGGCCACGACGGTCGCCAATGTGAAAAACGGTCGTAAGTCATGCTTTTCAGCACTGTTCTTGACTCTGAATGGTCACTAAACAAGCTGTTGGAAGTCCTGTAGCCCAGCTGCCTTTTGCAAAAAGCAACTTTGAGACCTCGATGACCGAGAAAATCTCCAGACATTTCTTTCGTCTATACCAGTGGTTCTCAACCTTTTTAATGCTGCAACCCCCAACCGGTCGTAAGTCGAGGACTACTCAACCGGTCGTAAGTCGAGGACTACTCAACTGGTGCAGCACCGTTTGCAGAATGGGACTTTTGGCAGGCTCAGCAGGGCAGAGACAGCCTGGACAATTCCTATTGGCTTTGGAAGGCCAATAGAATTAGACTCTATTCAAGAGAGTCTCTTCTATTGGCTTTCAAAAGCCAATAGAATAAAAGGGAGTAGCACAGCTCAGGAAAAGGGGGAAAAAAATGGTGGACTGCGTTGTTTGGCGACCCGTGAAATGGTCGTTCAACCCCAAATGGGGTCCCGACCCACAGGTTGAGAACCACTGATCTATACTAACTTTCTCTGCAGCTCTCAGTTCAGCTTGTAAGATTGCTTTCCAGGCGAGTCGTCAGGCCAAGATTTAGCAAAGATCAAGCCAGAATACTACTTCAACCACACCTTCCGCTCCTTGGATTCTCCCTGCTCTATTTTGGGATCCCCTGCTTCCCCGGTTGAAATGGATAAGGTTTTACAAGGCTTTCAAGCCCTGGATTCCATACGCCCCAGAGGGCCCCCTGACGACAAATCCAAATTTCGGTCAAATATTCTTGCAAAACGTGCCATTTTTAAAATCTGCCACTGCCGGAGAAAGCTCATTCAGCCTAGTTTTTGTTGGTTTGTTTTTAAACTTCCAACTTAGGTTTTAGCAAAAGACGGGAGACTTTACGCCCAAAAAAGAAAAGGGGAAAAAAATCCACCTTCCCAACAGGCAAATAAGATCAATTGCTCCGTCAAGCAAAGAATCTTCCCTAAGGCTTGAAAGGTCGAAGAATAAACAGAGGGTAGAATTGGGGAAGCCCCCCTCCCCCCAACCCAATCACCCTAGTTGTTGGGGAGGGGGGGGTCCAATAAAACCAGACCTACCCACTCTGGAAAGGCCTTTAAACCCTAGGCATCTCAGCTCTCCGGGAGGGGCTGCTCTGGAGGTGGGACAAGAGGGGCGGGGGGGGGCGCTCCGAGGGAAGGGGAGCCCCCTTACACCACAGCTGGGAAAACCCAACTCCCTCCCTAAAAGAAGTGCTGGCTGGAGGTTCACCCTCCACACAGCTGCTAGGTCCTTCCTCCATGCCGGCCCCCCACTCCCAGGAGCCCCCCCAAAGCACTCCTTCAACCGTGCAAGACATCAGCTGCCCCATCTCCTGCAAAAGCTACCCCAACCTGGTGGAGAAGAGGAGGAGGAGGAGGAGGAGGAGAACTGCCTGCTTCCCTGCAGACTGACAGCGGCTCCTTTAAATGGTCGTCAAAGCGGTAGTAGTGGTGGTGGCAGCCCTCTCTCTGCCACAGCTGGAGCCGCACGACGGGCCACGTGCTTCCGATTTTGTGTGTGCTGCAGCTCGGGAGCCAAGGGGAGAAAAAAGGAGGGGAGGCAGGAAGTTTGCACCCACTTTGCTAGAGAGAGAAAGCAGGAGAGAGAGAAAGGGAGAGAAGGAGAGCAAGGCGGCAGCCCTCCGGTCCACATGTCTGGAGGGAGCCTCCCCTCGGCGCTTGCCAACCCGAAGCATGATTCAGCTAAGCTGCCACTGCGGAGAGCCAGGCTCCACCATGTGACCGGCTCGGAGGTTGGGGAGAAAGGGGGGGGGGTAGGAAGGAAATGAGAAGCCACATTTAGGCGGAAAGGACCCCTCTTTCGGTCTTGAGGGCCCCCCCCCACCGTCCCAAGCTGCTACAATCACCAAATCTTGGGGAGCCGAGTGTATCCCGAGAAAAGGCTTCTGCACATGTGCTCCCCCAAGACTCCCGGCAGGAGCAGATATCCTGCCGCCCCGTGCCTAAAAAGTCTGCTCCGAGTTCAAATCCAGCTCCTCTCATCTATGGGGGGGGGAGGAAGGAACCCCCCCTCCCTCCTCACCTGATCTAGGTAGCCACGGAGGTAACAGGCGCAGCTAAGTTAGGAAGGTGAACTCCCCAAGGGCGCGTTGCATGGAACCAACCCCAAAGAGGGGGGAAAGGCGACTGTGAACGTTTCGAAACCCACCTTGGTGGACTTCGACTCCCAGAAATTGCTGGTCTGGGGAATCCTGGGAGTTGAAGTCCACAAGTCTTTTTTTTTTTAAACAAAAAAAAAGCAGCCCCTGCTTTACAGCCTGAAAAGGGGGGGGGGTTGTGCTCCCAGCCTGGAGGAAAAGTTCAAATCCAGCCGTCGCCCTTTTGTTCTTTTGCGCCAGCGTCGCCGTCCAGAAGTTCTGCTCCTATTTGTCCCCCTCCCCCCAAAAAAGAGTCACCTGTCTCCCCCCCTCAAGGGCCTGACCCCCCCCAAGTTGCAAAACAAAGCCGCCTTCCCAAATGCCAAGCCCTTCCAACCCACCCACCCACCCCACTTCGCTTCCCGCCGGGCTCCCCTCACCCCCCCCCTCAATCAGGGGAGGGGCTGGCGGGCCTTCCCTTTAAAGGGCAACCATGTGCTCTCCCTTCCCCCTCCCTCCCTCCCTCCTCCCCCCCCTTAAAGTAAGTCACACAACCGGCTCCACTGGGCGTAAGAAATTCGCTTATTGGGGGGGGGGGTTTTGCAGAAGCCACAAGCAAACCACCAAGACGGGGGGGGGGGAGAAAGCAAAAGGGAAAAAGAAACTAGCCAAGCTTTAACATTGGGGAAAGGCGGCCAGGCTGGCGGGGGGGGGGGAACAGAGCGGAGCCCTATTTGGGTCTGGGGGCGGGAGGAGGGGGGGTTGACTCTGAAACCCCCCCTGAACCCCCCCCCAAGGTGCCTCTCGCCCCCCCCGGATGGCTTCTCCCCAGTTTTGGGGGAGGGGGCGCCTCCAATCAGGACCCCCCCCAGGGGTCAAGCCAGGACACGCTCCCTTTAGCCCCCACCCCGCACAAAGCCGGGTAGCCCCCCCCCACCGTGGGGTCTGGGGGCTGCCACTGAGAGAGCCCCCCCAACCCCCCCTTCCCAGGGCCCTGCGGGACTACAGAGCCCATCAGGCGCCGCCCCCCCCCACCGAGCCAGCACACGTGGACCCCGCCAACTTTCCTCCCCGGAAGAAGCCCCCCCTCCTTCTCCTCCTCCCCAAGGCTTCCCCGCCCAGCGCAGGCCCCGGCCTGGCTCCGCACCACGCGAGCGGCGGCGGCTGTGGCGGCCGCCTCTTCCTCCGCCGCCGCCGGGCCACGCGGGGGCGGCCTCGGGGGCGCGCGTGCACGCGCTCGCGGCCGCCCCCCCTCTTCCGGCCTTTCGGCCGCCCCCTCCCCCCCCCCGCGCGCCGCCTCGGCGACTCACCCGCCCGCGAGCTCAACCGCCGCCGCCGCCGCCGCCCGCCGCTGCCTGCTGCAACCCAGCCCGCAGTGCGCACGCGCACTTATCGCCTCCGCCTCCGCCTCCTCCCCTTTTCGCGCTCGCGCCCCGTCGCCGCACGCGCACTGGCGGCGAACGCCCAGCCCAAAGCCGGGGGGAGGGAGGGGGAAGAGAGGGAGGAGCCTGGTCGCGCGCGGCGCCTGCGCCACAGGGGAAGCCCGGCCGGTTCCGAGCGGAGAGAAGCGACGCCGCGCATGCTCCGCGCCTGGGAGGGGGGAAAGGGCGGAGAGGGGGAAAGAAAAAAAAAAAGAGCACGAATCGTCAGTGCGCATGTGTTCCAAATCCCGAACTAGGAAACGTCCTACTACTTCACCAGGCGGGCGTTGCGTTCAGGCAGCGCGCAGGCGCGAGGAGCGGCCTTCTTCTTCCCTCCCCCCGCCCCGCGGCCATTTGCTGGAGAGCACGCATGCTCCTAGGCCCCGCACGCCTCGCGTTTGGCGGCCTGCGCGGACGCTCCCCCGCCCGCCCGGCGCGCGGACGCCCGCGAAAGCGCATGCGTGCCTCGGCTTGCGGGAGGCCGGACTCTTCCTCACCCCTGTACCACCGAGTGTGCGTGCGAGCGGCCCAGAGCGGCACGCCCAAATGGCTTGTTCCCCTAACCACGCGGGCCTCGGAGGCCATCTTGGCCGGGCCGCGGCCGCCATGGTTGCTACGGCAACGGCCGCGGCCTCCATTCCACGCCGATCCCCAACGGAAAAAAAAAATAAATATAAACTAGGACTTTGGGATGAACGATAGGAGTCTTCTTTCTGAACGGGACGCCAGACCCGTCACTACTGAAGCCAACCCTTCCTTACCCGACTCGGTGCCTGCCGATGGCCTGGACTCCAAGTCCCATGCTTCCCAGCCGAGAGACAGCAGAGGCCTATGGCGTCGCGATGGGGGGGGCGGGTGTCCCTTATTGAGGGTCCCCCGACAGGAGTTTCTGGAACCCAGTTAGGCCTGGACCCTACTGCTCTGTGGCTGTGGCTCTCAAAGGGGCTTGGACTACAAAACCCATGCTCCCCGGCTGAAGGCGTGCATTAGGGTGCTGGGAGTCGGGGGGACCACCCCCCCGTGCCCTCCAATGGGATCAGCAGCCTGAGTAGCATCCTGGCTGGGAGAAGCCAAAGCTTTTGGAGGCCAGGAGGGGAGTGGGGAGGCTAATAATAATAATAAAGATGGAAGGGACCTTGGAGGTCATCTAGTCCGACCCCCTGCTCAGGCAGGAAACCCTACACCATTTCGGACAAATGGCTGTCCAGTCTCTTCTTAAAAACTTCCAGTGTTGGAGAAGGGAGGGAGGGAGGAAGGAAGGATGGAAGGAAGGAAAAAAGAATAACAGAATAACAGACTCGGAAGGCACCTTGGAGGTCATCTAGTCCAACCTCCTGCTCAGGCAGGAAACCCTATACCATTTCAGACAAAATCGCTTTTGGGGGGGGCAAATATTGCCCCCCAAGTCATACTTGTTACCCTCAAGATGGGCAGGGGTCTCTCCCTTGCCCCATGCCCCTCCTCTTTTCCCCCCTCCCCCCCAAAAAATCGAGCTTCATTTAGGCCATGTTCTCCCAGCCCTGCTCGCCTCGCAGGGTTGTTGTGGGGAAAATAGCAGGAGTGAGGAAGATGACTCAATCATTTTATTTGATTGATTGTTGTCCCCAGGGAGTGTGGGGGCGTTACTTTTTATTTTTATTTATTTTTTACTGTTTGTCTATTGGGCTTTTTACTTTTGGCAAACCCCCCCATATTCAGAGAGCACGGGGGCTTCCCTAAAAATTCTCTAAATAAATATTTATTTATATTCTCTAAATAAATACTTATTTATTTATCGTATGGCACACTGGCGTTGTGTTTCAGTAAAAAAAAGGAACACGGGCAACAATGCAGAAGGCAGAAAGCCAAATCTGAAGTCTTAAATCTAAGCTGCAAACACGTATATTTTTTATTTCATTTTGTTACGGCCAAATCCTGGTAGTTTTTCACCTAACATGACCCCGGGACACTGCAACCATCATAAATACAAGTCAGTTGCCAATCATCCAAATTTTGATCTCACTATGGGGGTGCTGCAATGGTCATAAGTGTGAAAAATAGTAGTAAGTCCCTTTTTTCAACGCCGTTGTAACTTCGAACAGTCCTTAAACAAACTTGTAAGTTGAGGGCTACCTATAATAACAATAAATCTAAATAAATAAAAAATTAGATATGCTCGCCCCTCTGAGTTACTTTATAAAAATGCAATAAATGAAATTGTCTTTGGCACCAGGAACATGTTGCTTCTATACCAAGACACTCCGTGGTGCCACAGTTCAGGCCGTGTCTTCATTCTCACCCTGTTGCCCCTCTAAATAATGGAGCATGTCTAAAGTGCAGGCGGAAAACCAGGACCAGCCTAGAGTGTGCAGAGTATCTGGACAGCAGAGGGCAGAATGTGCCAGCCAGCCCCGTACAAAGTACAAGCCACCAGTCATGTTCTGCCAACACACTTTGTGCGTGTGTGCCCTTCAGTATACGTTGTGTGTGTGGCCAGCAGAATTGGGATAATTGAATAAACCACAGTTTGCCATGCAAACTAGAATTGAGAAGAGAAGAGAATAATGATTAGAATAGAATAACAAATAGAGTAGAATAGAATAGAATAATGATAAGAATAGAATAGAAATAGAATGATTAGAATAGAATAATAAATAGAACAGAAATAGAATAATAACAGAATAGAATAGAATAATGACAATAGAACAGAATAGAGTAGAATAGAATAGAATAGTAATGATAAGAATAGAATAGAAATAAAATAGAATAATGATTGGAATAGAATAGAAAAATAGAACAGAAATATAATAATAAGAGAATAGAATAGAAGAATGAGAATGAGAATAGAATAGAATAATGATTAGAATAGAATAGAAAAATAGAACAGAAATATAATAATGATAATAGAATAGAAGAATGAGAATAGAATAGAATAGAATAGAGTAGAATAATGATTAGAATAGAATAGAAAAATAGAACAGAAATATAATAATGATAAGAGAATAGAATAAAAGA